TGTTATTAATTGTTCTAATTTCAATAATATGTGTCTCAGAATTGGGAGGCCCAAGAGAGGGGAAAAGATGGGGAATGGCTGGTTGGTAGAGCAGTCAGTACACACACAACATTTATCAATTAATTTCACTGTCTTATATGGGTACAGTTTTGGCACCCAAATTGATTACAGTAGTAACATCAAAGATCACTGACCACAGATCACTATAACAGATATAATAATAATGAAAAAGTTTGAAATATTGTGAGAATTACCAAAATGTGACACAGAGACATGATGTGAGCACATGTTACTGGGAAAATGGTGCCAGTAGATTTGCTAAATGCAAGAGTTGCCACAAACCTTTAATTGTTTAAAAGAAAAAGAGTAAAGCACAATAAAACGAGGTATGCCTGTATGCAGGGGTCAAAGGGACAGGTGATATAAAAACAGACAACTATTTGGTTCAGTCAGCCTATAGTTTGTTTCTTAGGAATTTTCCCATTCCCACTGCTTCTCTTGGCTGCTTGTCAGCCACTGTCTTAGGGCCAGAATTACTGTGGACCTCCAGTGCATGTATGCCATTGGTTCCCACCCATCAACGCTAGGACAGCTCTTTCCTGGGGCAGTAATCATATCCTTTCACCAAAACTCTCCTTGTGTTACTTGATCCTCTTCCTTTTGAGCTGTTAGAGAGCCCAATTAGATGTGATATTTCAAACCAAAGCTCAATCTGTCAGTCATTTATTTTAACTATCATTTATTTATTTATCAAGCATTTATTAAATGCCTACTATGTGCCAGCCAAAAACAAAAAAGGGAAAACAGTTCTGTATCCATGGACTTTACAATCTAACCAAGGTTGACAACGAGAACACGTGGGTATATGTGAAATGTATGCAATAATATACATATTACAATATATAAATAATACAAATTGTACAATATACAAATATTGTATACAACGCATACAATAGATACAAAGGAAAGCACTTCGAGCTGAGATCAAGAAAGGCTTGTAGAAGGTGGTTCATGGATTGTACCTCAAAAGAGCCCAGGAGTTCAGAGAGATGGAGGTGAGAAGAGATTCCATTCCAGGCATGGTGGGGAGGGGACAACCAGTACATCTCAGGGACTGCCTTATTGCTTTCTATGAATAGTGATTTAAGGAATTGAGAGATAAAGGGTGGAGCCCAAGTATTAGAGGCTTTCATTTCCTTCGTTAACTTCCCTCCTCTGCCTAGGGCCAAGAGATGGTAGGATCCAGCTAGGCTGCCTCTTAAGCCAAGCTGGAAGCTGTGGAACTGTACAGTTCCATAATTCCATGTTGCACTTGTTGGGTATTTTGTAATAAAGATAATTGAAATCAGTAGACTCCTCCCATCATCCAGATGCCCTCCCTTGCAGTTTGGACCAGCCCCTAGATAATCTTTAGGACTGTATGAACTAGACTTTGGGAACAACTTTTCTAAACCTCCCCAGTTTTTTTGGAACCATTGCTCTCCAGTGTAATCACAGGCTTTTTAAGCAATTTTAAGCAATCCTAGCTCTTCTGTGATTAAGATCACATTGAATATTTATTTGCTGATAAGGCCTTGGCTGTATTTTCTCTTTAAAAGAGTAAAGTCAGATTAAGTAGGAAATCTACTGGAGACTATGGGCTCCTTGATCACATTGAATATTTATTTGCTGATAAGGCCTTGGCTGTATTTTCTCTTTAAAAGAGTAAAGTCAGATTAAGTAGGAAATCTACTGGAGACTATGGGCTCCTTGAGGGAAGGGACCATTTCTTTTTTGTCTTTGAATCCCCAGGATCTAGCCCAATGCTATATAGCAAGTGCTTAATAAAGGGGTATTGAGTAGCAGAGGTATGGTATCATAGTGTGTTTTGATTGGGCATCAAGGAGACCTGGTTTCAAATCCTCCTTTTGAAATTTACTAGCTTGAGACAACCTGTCTGAGCCTTAGCACTCCCATCTCTAGGATAGAGAGGATAGATGAAATTCTAGAATGGCTTTTGTTTGTCTTTGTAAATTCTAAAGCTTTATATTAATGTCAGTTACTTTTATAATTGTTTTCACTATTATTGTAAGCTAAATTAGTTTCTGCATGATGTCACTGACATGTCAAAACTTGGTGAATATTCACTGCTTTTATAGTTATTGGAATCATAGGGTGCCAGAACCAGAATGATGTACCTTAGGGATCATCCAGCTCAAACCCCTACCTCCAGTCAGGTGATGATGGTGGGTGTCACGTGAGCAGTGGGGCCAGCACTGGAAACTCAGCCTTCTGCCTGTCGTCTGAGAGTCATCTCCCCGATGTCCTGAGAATCCACCAGATGCTACTTACAATAATCCCTGAGTCAGGTTCTAGATCCTATAGCCCTCTTGTTCCTTATGGATGAGGAGTAATAGTAGCTGTCATGGTTAAATTGAGAGAACTGTTTCCCTTGAGGATAGGTGGCGTAATGATAATGATGAGAATCATGATGATAATAACAGAAATTTATAGAGGACGTTACCATTTACAGACATTACTTCATTTGATTTTCTTAATGCTATCACGTGGGAAGTGGTCTTGTAGGCATTAGTACTCTTATTTTATAGGTCAGGAAACTGGCACTCAGTTGTGGTGACTTGCCCCATGTCATACCATTAGACAGTACCAGAAGCTTCTTACTACAAAGCAGCTGCCTCCCACGTGGTTGTATCATTCTCTTTATACAAAGTCCAATAGCACTAGGCAGCAGAAATGTCTAATTTTTTTTTCTCATGGTGACAAGGAGCAATATTTCATCTATTATGTTAACTTGATATTGCAAAAGAAAAAATAGGAAAATGTTATTCTCTGTTTTCTTCTATGCTGTGTTCTTACGTTGCCTGTTTTATATGCTGGGAACCAAACAGTAAGGAATTTAAGTGAAACCACTAAAATAAAGATTGAAGACTATTAATCCTAACTCCTGACAGTTATTTTGTTTGTGTGTATAATATGCTGATCTATACATCTCTCTGTGTGTATGCATATACATACATACATATTTATATATATATATATTTATTTTATATATATATATATATTTATATATATATATATTTATTTTATATATATATATATATATATATATATATATATATATATATATATATATATATATATTTCTCCTCTTAATTTTCATGAGGCAGCTTTAACTCTGGAGTACGTGTGATTATGTGTTGGGCAGAATCAATCAGTCAGCCCATCTGTCAGATTTCATCATGATTATAGTGAAGGGACCCTCTGGTCAACAGGTGCTGAGAGAATTTGTGTTACTTTCATTATTCAGTGGAGCAATGTTCCAGCAGAATTCCAGAATTTTAAACTTGAAAGTGACTTCCAAGGTTAACTATTCTAACTTGTATCTGAACAGAAATCTCCACCACAAAATCGCTAATAAGTAGTCATCCAATTTCCATTTGAAAACTTCTGTATTGGGGAATCCACTACCTTGTGAGATGGTTGACTGATTACTAGATCTTGAAAGTTAACTCAGAACCAGAGTCTGAAATAGAGGTGTAGTTAGAAAGTAATCTGTCAGTGATCAGGCAAGCATCCTGTTTAACAAAAATTTTAAATACATTCTATTGAAATGCGGAAGCTGCTCTAATATTTGGTTTGGAATATTATACATTGTGTACATCTTGGAGCAAACTAAAGGATATTGGAAAGTGGTCTGTGGCTAGTAATTGGTATGTTTCATACACTATGTTTGAAGCCAACTCGAACATACTTTGACTAAGTCTGAGAAGAGTTAGTAGGTAAAAACACGGCCAAGCCAGTGACTAGGAGCACAGATACTGTGAGGTAGGCAGTTCATTCACCCCTCCCCATCCCTCACTGATGCTCATGCTGTGTCTTGTTGCCACCTTATCACAGAACCAACCACAGTCTTAGAGCTGGGAATTTGGAAATGACCTCAGCAGTCCAAGTAGTTCTTCAAAAGGATTTTTTCTTGAATACACCTGACAATAGTCATCTAGCCTTTGCCTAAAGACCTCTACTGAAGGGTTCCTGGTTCCTGGGTCTGTACAATTCCTTTTTGGCTATTTCTGATCATTTCCAAGTTTTTCTGTTCATCAAACTGAAATTTGTCTCTTTGCCCTTCCATCCATTCAGCTTCATTTTGCCCCATGGAACCTAACAAAACAAGTATAATCCTTTTTCCACTTGAAAATGAAAGAAGTATCCTAGCAGAAAATAAATGTGAAAGAAAGTATTAACTCATATCAAGTGGCCTGAATTTTAGTCCTGTTCTGCATCTAATTAATTATGTGACTCTCAGCCAATCCCTTATTCTCCCTCCCAGTTTATATTTACTCATCTGCAAAATAAGGAGGTTGGATTAAATGATTACCAGTGGCCCTCCCAGCACTAAAATTCTGTTGCTGTAGAAAATCTCAAGAATGTCCCATAGCAATGAAGATAATGAATGACCTTATGGATTTCTGCCACTGCTTTTAATATCATTTTCACTTTCCAGAAATTAGTCATACTTCTTTCATGTGTAAAGTAGTTAGATGTTTGGCTATTCAACTTGGCAAAATGAATTATGCTAGGTTGCCAGATATAGTTATCTATGGTTAACATCACTGTTTTCTAACCATAAGAATATTTAACATTATTTGCTTTTTACTGAAATGACATCGATGGAAGGGATACTGTGTCTGATAGCAAGCAATGCCTCCAGTAGAATCTTTTGGGGGTTCCTTAAACTACTTCTATGTTGGATGAAGGCATTTGCTTCTCAAATCTGCTATTGGTGATTAGGACTTGACTATTTCAGTTTCAGGAATCCCTGTGGCATCACTGCAAACCCAGCTGAAAAGTGCTTCCTTTTTAAAAAATTGGGAATTCTCTTCATTGAAATCTGTGGGCTATTTGTTTGTTTGGGGGGGGCAGTTAAGTTTTTTAAGCCTTTGTATTATTTTTTAAAATGCTAATAGAGAATGATCTGAAGTTTTGTTTTCTGCATATGGTAGCCCAGGGAAACCCAAACATGAGTGGTTTCTCCAGAAAGATTCCGAAGGAGACACACCTTCACTTATCAACTGGCCTTCCAGGTATCTCTCAGATTGAAACCGTGTGAATAGTTATTGCATCTGTTGCTTCTGTTCTTTTTTCTTCTGGTTCTTCTCACCCATCATTTCACACCAGTTCCCTGCTTTTCAATGTCTGTGTGCTAGAAATGTGCTCAACAAATGGCTGTAAGAAGTCATTCCGTAAAAACCTGCTTGATCCCTCCCATTTTCCTGCCTGCCACTTACACATTTCTCTTCTCCTCTCCCCTCCCCTCCCCTCCCATCCGTTCCTCTCCCCTCTACTCCCCTCCCCTCCTCTTCTCTCCCCTCCTCTTCTCTCCCTTCCTCTCCCTCCTCCCTCCATCCCCTTCTCTTCCACTCCTCTCTCCCTCCCTCCATTCCTCTACTCTCCCTTTCTCTCCCCTCCCCTCCCCTCCTCTCCCTTCCTCTCCCCTCCACTCTCCTCTCCTCTCCTCTCCTTTCCTCTCCCTTCTTCTCTTCTCTCTCTCTCTCTCTCCCTCTCCTCCCTCCCTCTTCTTTTTTATTCCTGTAATTCCTTTTCTGTTCCTTCTTCTCCTTCTGATACTTAATTGAACAATCGTGTGTTTGGTGAAGAACTAAACAGCATTTTTAGTGGGTTTTCCCCCTCCTAGTTGTTTCCCTTTGCGATCTGGCTAACTTCCAACATGTTTCTCATCTTGTCTACCCCAACCTTAGCCTGTTTTCATTTCCTCTGCCATCCAAACTTAACAGCTTGTTTTTGGTAGCCTTTTGAAAAGGCAAATTCAGGGTGTGGTCTGAAAAACAGATTTTTAAAATCCACTATCATTTCATTTTTAAGGTGGGGGAAGGGGGAGGAAGACCTTAGAAAGACAAAGCTCCCATATACAGTTTCAAACAAGCCCTATGCTCTAGTCTAGTGACAGCGTCCAAATTATCCCTAATTAGAAGCACACATTCCACTGGGAAGTTTAAGCCCCATTGCAGCCATCTTTTGATTAACAAATGTTATGAATATGAAAACCTCCAACACTGCCTATTTTCTAGGAGGAAATAATAGCTGACTATGCTTATTTCCAAGGCTTTGGGGAATAAACAGCCTTTTGTGTGCTTCTTTGCTTTTTAAAAATGAAGAGGGACATTGTAATCACAGGCATTTCACATCCTGTGTCAAAAAAAATCCATCACAGCTGGGAAAAACCAGGTTATTTAGAAAAAATCTATTATTTTTTAACATATATGTTGCAATTGAAAATGACCTTGCCCATTAGTGTTGATACGGGTGAACTCTTTGATTTGTTTTTAGAAATGACTTTTTCCCTTGCCCTACCAATTCTTCATTAAAAAAAAAAATCCGTATCAAGTAATTAGGTATATTCTCCACCCGTTTGTGTGTGTGTGTGTGTGTGTTCCTTTACTCCTACTTTAATGCAGAATACTTGAGCAAAGTGTAGACTTTGAAGTGACTTTAGTAACTTTCAGAAAATAGTTCTGTGCTATTTTAGGGCATTTATATGGCTCTAGAAATTACAGTCATGCCTGCTTTAGATTTTGAAATATATAAACTGGTGGCATATTTCAAAAAGTGGTTTTGTTTTGCCAAATGTAATGCCACTATTCTTCTCACTTCTCCAAAGATCAGCAGCAACAATTGTCACAATTGGGGCAAGTGTCTGATTGTCTCAGCCTGACATTTGGAATGTTGCTGCTATGTCTATTTTCTATCCTTTTGTTATCAGACCCCACAAGTATGTACCCGAATCAGAGCTGCAGAGAAATCCTGTGGTCAGACCCTTCCTTTTTGTGGATGAGGAAACAGACCCATGGGGTCAAAATGACTGCCTATGGTCATATAGCTACTTAGAGGCAGAGTTAATGATAGCTTTCTTCATCCAGTGCCATCATACAGCAATAGACATAAAAACCTTCAAACATTTTCCCTTCTCATTTTTTCACTCAAAACCAAAATGGCAGCTCTCATGCTCTGAGTGTTCATGCTTTTATTTGCCTCTGTGCATCAGTGTTCCACTATTCTATTTAAGGAGAGGAATTTGTATGTCTCTGTTTTAGAAATGATTAAAACTTAGTATGTGTTGTTTGAAAAATATGAACAGTTAGCAGGTGCAAAAGGAGTTCTCAAGGATGATTTGGTTTTTTCCCTCTTTGCTTACTTTTTCTGAAAATAGTCCCAAAATTTTGAATCATCTTCTAAGTGATAATGAAATGACAATGATTTTACTTATTGGAAGTGTGTATTGGAAGTGTTAGCCTACATTTGAGACTATGCATGTCTGAAGATATGCTGATCTCTGCAACCTGGAATTGTACTTAGGTTTGTTGACCCTCACTTCTGGGTTTTTGTCACAAAAATTCAGAAACAAAACAAAACACTTTGCATGGGTTACTGGAAATTGGAAAACATGCCAATGGAGTGGGGTACATAACTTGGAAGTTTAACAGGCACCTTTGATTCAGCACACTACGTATTACCCTTTATGCCTTCAAATTCAGAGGGCACAAAATATTGGATTACTTTCCTTGTCCTTTATGGCCCACGACTGATGCATGCTTTTCTCCTCCTTCAAGCGTGACTGTGTTTCATGGTTTTCACCCTTTTTCTTTCTTAAAGAGTAAAAGTTAGAGAGAAATTGGTGAAAGAGGAAAGTGCTCGAAGCAGCCCTGAATGTACCTCAGATTCTTTACCTCAGAGGAAGCACCAGCCAGCCTCAGTCCATTGCATGTCTCTGCAGTCAGAAACGTCTGCTTTTGACAGGGTGACCAGCAAGCCAGTCACTTCCACCCGCCAGCCAATCCATGGCTACATTCAGCCGGCTGGTCATGCTTACACTGCTAAGCTGGTAGCCTCTGAAAAACTAGAGAGTTTCTCTGGTAGCAGCCAGGTGGAACCATCCGCTCCTGACATAACAAAATGTCCCATGCCCAGTGCTACAGAAGAGGAAGGAAGAGATGGGAACGTTGAGCTTCATATCTATGAATCTGACACCAAAGAAGACACCTTTAGAACAGAAGCACTTGGGAAAAGCAGGAAAACCTACCTTGAGGCTCCCGAGCTGGTGAAGAATGGCGAAGACTCTTCTGGAAGTAGCAAGCAAAGGAGGCCAACCATTAGCTCAGCTATCCCAAGCAAGCAGAGAACCAATGCCTCAGAACCTTGGCAGAACCTTGAGAGCCAAACCCAACCATCCGAAGCCCAGTGCCATCCCCCTGAGCAAATTGGAAGGAGCGAAACGGTCATGTATATACAAAATCGACCTGCTTCCGAGGCCGCTCCACCCAAACGCCACAAGCAGGACGTCTCCACAATGAAGCACAAACTCCTCACTCGATCACTCTCTGATCACACTGGTGACCCCAAACCAGAAATCTTTAAATGCATGGAAACTGTTTCAAAGAAAGAGCCACAGTTTCAGCATGCAAGAGATGAGGCACAACCTGGAGAAGTTGGCACAGTGGACACAAAAGTCTCTGTTGCCCAGCTCCGAAATGCCTTTCTGGAGTCTGCCAATGCCAACAAGAAATCTGAACTGTAGGTGACGTTTCAAAAATATTCCTGGTGTGTCACTTGCACGCTCTTGGCAGTCTTTTTTTTCCCTCACAATCTCAACATTCATTGTGTCCTGCATTGAAGCATATAGCTTAGCTCACAGACACATATAGGGCAGACTGGTTAAGGAAATAGCACCAAATCTACTCTTTTGCTTCTGCTTGCTAATGGAACAAGTATAATATTGATCAGCTGGAATGATTGGGTTTTTTTTTTACCTTATTTCCATGCATGATAAAGGCATGCAGAGTGAATTAACAGTATCAGTGGATTGAGATGCATATGTCTATGCTTTTATTCTATTTCTCTTTCTTCCTGTTTTCCTTTTTCTGTGCACTTTCTGTCCTCTGACTGTAAAAGTCAATCACGGGTTGAGCGGTCAACCACAGGGATTGATTTACCTACCAAAATGGAACGGGAGAGAGGGTCCCGGAAGCCGAGACGGTATTTTTCTCCTGGCGAAAGTAGAAAAACTTCTGAGAGATTTAGAACTCAACCCATAACTTCAGCAGAACGAAAGGAGATGGATAGGTAGGCATGTGTGTATGTAGTTCTATAGGGAAAATTATGGTGTATTAGCAAAAAATAAAATTTCATAGCGATGGTCCCAATGTCACTTAAAACAAAATTTTTGGCTGTTGTTTCTGTTAACTGTAAATCAGCAAAACCAACAAAACAGAATTTGACTGAAATGTGTTTGACTCGTTAAAAATATTTCTTTAAGAAAGTTGCAGATTGAATTGCAATAGTGTTCCTTTTAAAATAACAATACCAATTATACAATTCTGAAGTTACATAGAATTGTAAAAGAAAAATTGACAGTAATGCTTTTATGAAAAGAATATAAACTCAAATAATTTCTATACAAACCTTTTATCCCATTTATATTTTTATATTTACTTTTTGTATTTTATTTTATGCATTTTACATTTATATTTTATATTTATATTATTTTATAAAATGGAAAAAAGTAAAATACAGCTTATTGCAGCTGTTGTCATTCATTCTTGCAAATGATGAGATAGTTTTGATGCGCCTGAGTTTTTACTAATAAATTGTTGTAACATCCTCAGTCCCCTGTATAGAAATGGTGAGAATTGGCCCCTAACTTAAATATTAATCACATTTTAAAAGATGTACTTGGTCCTCATTTTCCTCCACAAATTCTATGTTTTACTATAACTGCTTCCACCTACTCTGCTGCGTCAACAGTGACTGCACATGAGTTGCTCACAACCCAAATGCTACCAAGGTTATTTTCTTCTTCATCAGAATATCATTGTCTTTTTCTTTTGGCCTTAAAAATGATGATTCATTTGTGTCATCCACTCCAAACTAATTAATTTTCATTATTATTATTATTATCATTTTTAGATCTACTTCAAATTCAGAAATGCCAACTGCTGAGGGTAAGAATATCTGTCTATAATACTACTACTGCTGATGCTAATATATCTTCTTTTTGTACCTATCTTTCAACTTTAGATGAAAAAAAAAGAATTTAGGTTTTGGAACAAATAACATTACAAACTGTCATGGGACGTATTAGATGCCTGTCTGCTTTCTTTATCAAATACATCACATTTCAGCACAATGGAGAATTAAGTTGCCAGGCCTTGAATAATCTTGATTTTTTTCCTCCACTGGGTTCTTGGACACAAGGGCTTTCAGAAATGCTTTTAGAGAACAGTATAGAAAAAGTGATTTAAACCAAAAAGGCATCTTTTTCTTGTTGTTGATGTCAGTTAATATAAAAAGGAAAGTGACTAATGAATTTATCAATCCTTTCTATAAAGCTGATCTGTCTTTTTAAAAATGCAATTTTATTGATATATTCTGTTTTCACATCATTTACATTTCCCAATTTGCTATTTCCCATGTCCCTCCCAGAGAGACCTCCCTTATAGCAAAGAATAAAAAAAGAGGGGGAAAAAAAACATTCAGCAAAACTAACCAACATAGTAGAAAGAAGGGACATTGTTGGTAGTGTTCCACACTCATAATTCCCCACCTTTGCAAAGAAGAGTTGGGGTAGGTTCCTTCTTAAAACTATTTTTTGGGAGCCAAGCTTAGTCATAACTTCCCAGGATTCAGTCGTTTTGTCATTTCTTTCTTTTGAAGTCATTGTGCATATTTTTCTGGTTCTGCTTCCTTCATTTTGTATCCATTCGTCTTGTTTCTTTTTTTTCCATCATAACCATGTCTTATACCACATTAATTTTCCATTACATGTACTGCAGTTTGTTCAGCCATTCCCTAATCAATGAGCATTCACTTTGTTTCCAGTTCTTCCCAATTACAAAAAGTGCTGTTATAAATATTTTCAGCATCGCTGGGCAAATATCCTTAAAGCACAATTATGCAGTCACTTAGTGGAAAACTAAGGAAACAGGAAAGGGCTTATTATTCCTGGTGATTGCAATAAACATTTCTTTACTGAAGCTTCATTCCAGTTGAAAATATTACTGATTGTTATTTTTCTTAGTAAACTTACTATTGTGGTTTTAAAGGACTAAATGCTTTAAATGGAAAACTTACATGATTTTTAATTCATTGTTCTTTGCAGATGAAGAAAAAGTGGATGAACGCGCCAAGCTGAGTGTTGCTGCCAAAAGGCTTCTTTTCAGGGCAAGTGTGCAGGCTAGGCCATCTTTCTAAAAATCCTAGTACAGAGAATCCCAGATGTTAGCATTAGAAGAGGCATCAGGGATGATCCAGGCCAACGTATACTCCAAGCATAAATCCCACTCTGCAACATTCAGGCTCTGTTTGAGTACCTTTAATCGAAAGCACTATTCAGCCCTACCACTTCCATCTACAGCTCACAGGTCTGTAGTTAATGCCAGTTCATGAGAGATTCTAAAAGTTATCCTGTCCTGTCCTGCATAACATTCCAGCTGTGCCCCTTGAAGAGTTTTCAGGGGCTATATTTTTACTCTCTCCATGGTGCCAGTTTTCACAACATGTGTGTGTCGCTGGTAGTGAGAGCTACCTCTCAAGAATGACACCTGGCAAACTCAGCAGATACATTTTGCTAGGGCAGCCTTCTTCTTCCCCATGTCAGACATTCAAAAATATTTCTAATCCTAGGAAATGGAAAAATCATTTGATGAAAAAAATATTCCAAAGCCACGTTCCAGAAATGCAGCCGTGGAGCGACGCCTGCGCCGTTTGCAGGACAGATCTCACACACAGCCCATCACCACTGAGGAAGTGGTCATTGCAGCGACGTAAGTCTCCCTCCTGTGTTGGACTTGGCTTAAGATCCTGTTTTGGAAGTTAAGAGCCAGTGGGGGAAATCATCAAGTGAAAGTTTGTGGCTAGACAATGACTTTCTTCCCTCTAGCACATGACTTTCTAAATATAGCACTCTTCCAAGGAGATTTAGACCCTGAAGAACTAACTATCTAGCAGAAGATAATCTTGAGTAATGGGAGATTTGGGGTTTGGTCTTAAATCTACAGCCAATTTGTGCCCCAATGTGCAGAAAATTGGCTTTAACTTCAATTTCATCTCCTTCAAGGATTTTTTTTTATTACAGTTTACTACCAGGTCTTCCTTAACTTTAATGTTTTGTTACCTGAAGGTCCTGTCAAATGCTGGCAGAACCCTGCCAAGTAGGAAGGGCTTAGAGTAAGAGACTAGCAATGGATGATGTATCCATTGCCTGAGGACCAGACTGATCAATTCCATATATACTCATCTTCAGAAGGTTGGCCACCAACCAAACTTTTTTGACCACAGCAATTCATGAGGACAGTTGACTAAGATGGTCTGCATCAATGGATGGAGGCCCCCAGCCATTGTGAAAGCAGAGATCTTGACATTTTGAAGTATTTTCTGATCTTATATTTAACCTTAATTTAACAACAAACAGCAACAGCAACAACCCAGATTCATTCAGGAAGTTACTTTTTCCCCTGAGAAAAGATTTTAGATTTGTTGTTGTTGTTCCTGTTCTTGACCCTTATGAATTTGCCCAATGTAGCCCCCTACCCAAACCGTTCTTGACATCTGTTGTACAGAAGTGTAGATCACTTGGGTGATTGACACCTTCAAATGGTTCTTGTCATGCCTTATGTGTTAAAGTTTGTGAATTTCTTGGCCATAAAGTGAGACACGCATAATGCCCCTATTTTCCATATATTGAAATTATGTGGGCTTGGACTAAGTTCTCTCCAAACTGTTACATACTTCAGTTCATGTTAAAAACAATGATAATAATAATTATAATAGTAACCAGGCATTGGCTCTGGGAAGAAAAAGTTAACTCAAGCAAAAAAGATCAAGGTAGAGGATCAAGAAATACTTCTTTTGCTGTTCCTCTATCATGTGGTTAAGAGAGCAGTGGCTGGATTAATGAAGTATTAAGTTAATAAGGAAAACTGTTGACCAGGTTACAGTCTTAATTCACTGGTAGTTTGTTCAATGATGATTGATATTAGGTGGTTCATGGACTTTAACCATTAAAATGTATATGGCTCCCATTTCGATGGATGCTCCTGTTGGATAGGGACTGTTTTTTGCCTTTCTTTGTACCATCATTGCCTAGCACAGTGCCTGGCACATAGTAAGTGCTTAATAGATGCTTACTGACTGACAGAGAACCTCTACAAATAATTTGGTTTAGAGCAGGATGACCAACTTTTAGGTAAATTCCATATCTTAGGGTTTGTGTCTTCCAGTTTCTTTTCAAATTCTGTTGTAATTTTATAAAAGTCCTTAGCACATAGCTTGGTAAAACTATTTATTTGTTTTATCTTTTCTGTACATGAAATCATACTTTCCTTAATGCTTCTTTTCTTCTCTCTCTTTGTGAATTTTCCATCTTTGGCAATTGCTTTTAAAGGGAATCTATCCCTGCTTCACATTCTGTGACGAGCCACACTGTCATGGCAAGAATTCCTAATCCCACTGTAGTTAAAAGTCCTGTACAACCTACCAGGTATTGGAGAGAAACACCCGCATGTGGCGTTGAATGCAAACTGCTGGACAGCAAACAGCTTTAAAACCTTCAATGTCTTTCATGTGTTTGACAAGTCAATGAAATGAGTTGTTCTAGGAATGTGTGGCATTTTATTTTGTCATAATGCAAGGTACTGATAACTTCATTTTGGCCTGCATGCGGAGGTTCAGTTTGTTTGCTTTTGTGTTAAGTGTTTGGCCTTGGACCATCCTAACTTCACTTACCCATTTTGTTTCCCATAAAGAAATTCATTGCAAAAGAATTGTCTCTGTATCCTTCTGAGAAATAGAGGGAGGTAACAGTCTTGCATGTTTTAAAGAAAGAATGGGAACATCTCATTTTTGTGTTTTGTTTTTCATCTTGAATGCAAAAGGTAGCTATTTCTTTCTCAAGTAGCTTGTATATTGATTGCTGCCCATTTCTAATTCATAATCTCTTGCAATATGAAAGAATAATTTGAGGCAGCTAGGTGGCACGTTGGATAGAGCTCCAGCCTTGGAGTCAGGAAGACCTGAGCTCAAATCCGGCCTCAGACACATAACACTCACTAGCTGTGTGACCCTGGGCAAGTCACTTAATCCTGATTGCCTCACCAAAAAGCAAAAGAAAAGAGTAACTAGTGATACAATTATCCACAGGCAGGTGGGCAGCTTTTACTTTTCATCTTTTACAACCTGTATTCCAGTACTTTAAGTTTTTGTAAATGGTCTCCTTGTTTCAGTAAACACACGATGGTAGAATATGGTACAAGTCAGAGGAAAGAACAATCAAAGAATGTGAAATGCTGGTACAAAAATGTAGCTGGTGAAACCTGTACAGAATCAGGACTCCCGTTGGAAAGTACTGAAATGCTGGTTAGAGCCACACTGAACCAGAAAGATAACCGGTGTCCCAACATTAATGGCTCCATCCTCCACTGGCAACAGAGATACTATGCCAGGGTCTGGGGCATCTTAGTTAGGATTTAGGAGTTAATTAGTCCATGCCAGGTTGCACTAATTATAAAGTCCAGAGATAGTATCTAACAAGGGAGGCAAACACCTTTGTGAACATATTCCTGAGTTTAGGGTGATGAAGTAAGCCATGGGTCCCCATCTTCAGCTAGAAGTGGAATAAATTTGTTCCTCTCTTAAAGGCTTCTTTTGGCATTTACTGGGAATTTCAGATGTCTGTAGATTCTGAATATCAACAGAAACCTATAGGAGAAATTGCTTTGATGAATAGCTGAGAAGAATCTCTCAATTGGATCCACTTGGCCCATCCCAGTGAATATCCCAACCCCCATGGTTTGTAGACAAGGCTATGGATAAGAAGACTACTCTGTTGCCCATTCCTAAATAAACTGGGGGAGGGAAAGTTAACTACAGGCATGTATGTCTCATGAGATGTTTCCTTTGGCCTAATTTATTATTGACACTTAGAAATATACAGATTTTCCCTATAAACAAGAATGTGCATCCCCAGCATCCTTTACCTTTTTTGACAGTGAATTGTCTCTTTGTTTGCTTGTTTTAAGGACAAGTAATGTCATAACTCACTCCGGGCTCTTCATTGACGATAATGCTGCTGTCTCACTGGGGCTGCCCTGGAGTTCTGAAGAAGTCAGCTCCGTCACTGTATCACTGGCTGTTCTACTTAGCTGCTGAATGTCTGCATACAGTTACCCTCATCATTTCTTTGTTTAGGGGCCAAATAGGAAATGACAAGCCCTTTAGAAAAAAATTAACAGAGCACGTTTTTACAACAATGATTTGAGGGCATTAAACCATAAACTAGTGGGCGCGTTAGGGTTTTTTCCCTTGTTTCTAAACTGACTTTGTGTTACTTTCAGTTTGCAGGCATCGGCACACCAAAAGGCACTAGCTAGAGAACAGGCAAATGAGGCCAAAGATTCTGCTGAACAAGGTGAACCTGATTCCTCCACTCTGAGCTTAGCAGAGAAGCTGGCCTTGTTTAACAAATTGTCTCAGCCAGTCTCAAAAGCGATCTCTACCCGAAACAGAGTGGACACTAGGCAGAGGAGGATGAATTCTCGTTACCAAACTCAACCAGTCACACTTGGAGAAGTGGAACAGGTGTGTACATGCCGACTGATTGTTACTTCTTGCCTCCTCTAATGGACAAAGGAGCTCAAATGTTCTCTTTTAGCTATTGATTTAGGGAGTTTAGGTGATCTACCTCTAAACTCCATTAGCCTGTAGGTGTTGCAGTGATTTTATCCCAAGAAAGAAGGCTGCCAGTTATAGTTCCTTTTTATTTATTCTTCAAAAATAATTTGGAGAGAGTTTGCTATGGTGGAGGGACAAAAGAATGTCCTTTCTTTTACCCTTATTCCCTTTTTCCTTTTAAGGAGACTTTATGTAACTATGTTAAGTAGTTTTTATTCATCCTTAACACTCTTTCCATCCTCCCAGCAGGACTTGTGAAAGCCACTACTGAATGTGGTGGCCTTTTCTTTTCATATGAATCTGGAAGTTAGACTTATGTGAGCTATGTATTTTTTTTAATCGATCAGGTTCAGAGTGGAAAACTCACTCCTTTCTCCCCTACTATTAACACATCTGTGTCTACTGTGGCATCGACAGTTGCTCCAATGTATGCAGGGGATCTACGAGCTAAGCCATCGGCGGAAGAAAATGCAGGTGCTGCTGACTTCGGATTCCATTCAATGATGGAAAATGCAGACGCTCCAGTGAAGAGCATCCTAAAGTCACAAATGTGGCAACCTTTGGGGGAGGTTATCGGAAGTAGTCGAGGATGGAGGGAATTCGGGGAGACGGAAACTGAAAGAGTCCTAGCTCAAGATGAGAGTGAGATGAAGAACAGGTTCTTTGAGGAAGAAGGGAGTTCCTGCCTCTTCCCAAATAAAAGTGGGGAAAGGGACAACCAAAGAAAATCTGCTCCGAGGAAAGGTAGCGTGGAGCACACTGACCCCCTAGAGCTGCGGGGGGTTTTGGTCTCCAAAAGCACTGGACAGGGCAAACAGAACCTGAAGGAAATGCAGTCCTTGGAGGAGAAGATGGATTTGGAGAATGGCACAAAAAGCAGGTTCATGCTAAGAGGTAAAAGGGATTTTTATAAACTGCTTGTTCTCCCCCTGGATCTTTATAAACTAGTCGTTGGTGTTGGGTTGTTTGGTTTTTTGGTTTGGGTTTTTTTGTTTGTTTGTTTGATTTGCTATATTTGCAATTAGAGCTAGCAGAGATTTGAAAAATCTATATAATGCATGACAACTCAAAATTCTCCTTTTTACTCAGAGTGTTTCAGTGTGTTAAAAGCAAAACTTTTTATTCTTATACTAACACCTGGAAATTCTATAAGGTTTTTCACTAATTTTAGTCAGTATTTTACCTACATTGTTACCCTTCTTCTCCTCACAACATTCTATGAATCAGAGGCCAGCACTTTTATCCCTTTTTATTTTTTAAAATGGTCATTTTTTTTAAAATAACAGATTGGTTGACTCGACTTAACCCAGTGGAGCAAGGGTCTGAGCTCAGGGGCTTCTGCCTTCAAGCCCTGCCTCCACTGGACACTTTTCTTCTCTTTGTGTGATACTGTGAAACAACAAAGGCATATTGAATTGTTGCTGCTGTTGTCAATTGCAAAGCCAGAAGGGAAATCTAAAAGTGCCCATAGTTAACTTGAATTTCCTCTGTGCTAACTATGAGAATAGCATCAATTGTCATTAAGTCATTTGCCCTGCAGTCCTTGGGTGATTTGTGCTTTTAAAACCTGATGGGCTGCATATTTTCATAGAGCTCAACAGAGGAAGAGCTGACTGCTTGGCTTGGTGGATGGAAAGCTGGACTTAGAGTTCAAGGTCCTCTTCTGATATTTGCTAGCTAGGTGATCACGAACCAATCACTTTACTCCGAGCTTCAGTTTCCTGTGTTGCAAAATAAGGATAATGGTCCCATGTGACCTGCCTCAACGAGAGGTAGTATGGCAGTCAGGAGGGAGAACCGGCCTTAGAGTCACGAAAATGGGGCAAATTGCTTCACCTGTCAAGGCTCCCCCACCCTCTTCTTCTCCCCCCTCCCTTTCCTTCCATCCTCCGCCTCCCCCCCAACACCACGTCCCAAACCCAACTCTCTAAGACCACTAGGTGCAGCAGACGTGCTGATTTACTTTGGTAAAAAGTTTCTTCCTGAGAATACCCTTCACCAGTGAAACCATATGTCTGCACAAAAACAGAAACCTCTGATCATGGATTTATTGTGAGTAGCAAGTGAGATCATGCATGGAAAGCACTTTGCCAATCTTTAAGCTTTATATTAATATGTTTAATACAGAGGCTGTCCCTGATGTTAAGAACCTTCATAACTCTCACCTTGGCCTCTTGGGATCCTGAATGCCCTTCAGGGTTTAGCTCAGGCTCTGTTTCCTACAAGAACCCTTTCTGGGATTTGTGCATACTCTCTCCTGACCACCCGATGACTTTATATTTATTTCAGTTTTGTTTTCCCCACAGTAGAATGGAAGCTTTTAAAAGCTGGGATTTGTGCATTTTTGTCTCTGAATGCCTAGTACATTGGTAGGAGCTTAATAAGTACTTGTGGAATTAAATGATCAGTTCCTAAAGTTGGCTGTGCAATCTCCCACGTGATGTCTGTGGTCTGAGTTTGCCACCCTGGATTGTTACAGAGTTCATGGGTCTGAGAATGCCAGCCTGAAGACATAAGTGCTAATGCTGCATTCTCCTTTTCAATGAGCAGAGCCTGCTGAGCCCACGTCCGAACTCCTTGGCATGACAGCTACGAAAACTGTTTCTCAGACCGCAGTCCTGGGCTCCAGTAGACGAGAGTTTTTGGAACAATCAGAGGAAAGACTCTCCAGGAATCCATGTAGGATGTTTGCTGGTGGAGAGAGCAAAGTGTCAGAGGAGGCCCTTGATGCATCTAGCAAAACAATGTCGATCAAGGAAAGGTAACAATCTACTTATTTCGTCCACCCCATTAAGAAGTATGGAGCTTACTTTAACAGATATCTTCACGAAGCACTATTGTTTAAAGTGACTAATTAAATTGCTTACAAAGATGTGCTGTCATATTAGCATGTTTAAAGGAGATGGGGTTATTCAGTGGTGAACCACATTTACCCAATGGCAGATCTAATAACCACATGTTGAGTGCCAGGCCTAGAAAGAGTCTGATGCAGGAAATAGGGGCACAGTTTTGTTTTGTTTTGTTTTGTATTTTTTCAACAAGGACTTACTATTTTTGTGTGATTTAAGTACTGTTTATTTTAAATTTAAATTTTTGCATATTTCAAAAATACAGCCAAGTTACACAGCTTAGGCCAGTGCCTGGCACATAATAGGCACTTAATAAATGCTGGTTGATGGTTCTTGAATGCTGGATTTGTCCACAGCTTTTGCTTTCATCCTATGGAAAGTATGTGTGCATAAAGAGGCAGTGAATATATATTCTTCCTAAGAATGGCAGCACCTAGGATCCACCCTTCAGTTTTGTTTCTCTTTAGGACAAGTAGACTGAATGAGTTTCTGTAGTGTACAGTGAGAATTTATTCCAGGCAACAGCTCTGAAAGATTATGTTTGAGTGGCAAAAGTGCAATACCCTCATTTTATTCGGAAGAATGAAATGGGATTGAGGAGGATATGTATTTAAAGGTAGCAGTTATCGAGAACAATGAGCTAAACATTTTCTGGATGTATTTCCTCTTTTAACCTCCAGCTACAGTAGAATTAAACTGCAAAAGATTTAATAGCGATAAAAGTACTGGGTGAAAGAAGGTCAAGTTAATTTTGCCGTGTGATTATCAGAAATACTTCAGTCCTCTGTTCCCGTGGCTCTGCCAGTGCAGACACTTGCTTATCACAGCCCACCATTCAGAATTTTTCATTGGCTCCGTCAGTCATATTGGTCCCTCCTCCTTTCTTCTAGACAGATTTCAGATTGCCCTGGTCTTATTTTTCTTTCTTTTTTTTCTTCTTTTTGGTCTTATTTTTCAAAAGGCAGGAAAACCTCTTTCTAATGCTCTTCATGGGTCCAGACTTTTTCCTTTTAACATTAGATACGTGAAGACATCAAATAGAACTTTTTTCATTTGATCTCCAAACGAAAGCACATTCGTTCAGACCCTTAACAATTGAGAATCAATCCTATCTCCTTGGCCAGTCATACTGTCGTACAGTCTAGAGCTGAAAAATCCCTTAGGAACTCATCTAGTCCGAGCCCATGATGAAGGAGGAGCAGAGGTCTGGAGAGAAGTTACTTGGTCAAGGTCACACAGATAGCAGTGGCAGAAACTGAATTCAGAAGCCATGTTTTCTGATTCTAAGTATAATGGCATTTCTGTTACATTAAGCATTCAGTTAACACCGACTTAACTGTGCTTTATATCTCTTAGCCTAGCACAGTACTCTGTCAGCTGTAGGCATTTAATAAACATCGGTTTTATGTGGGTGGCCATTAGTTCGTACCCATTTACCAAAGCACTAGGAAGATGGGCTGGCCTTTCGTCTTTCAGTAGTATTATGTGTGCATACTTGAAACTAACAATACTTGATTCTTTCCCCTGCCTTATACTTAGAGGCACTGATTAGTGGCAGAATTGAGACTAGAGCCCATCTCCTGACTGCCAGTTCGGTGTTCTTTCCACAGCACCGAAGAAGCATTAGAATGAAGTGATGATGGAGTTTGGATGTGTGATAAAAGTCAGAATAAGCCAACCGTAATTTTCTAGGAGATAATGTTTGTGAGTATAAAGATCAGTGGTGAGAAAGAAGTAAATTTGGTAGAGGCGAGCTCCTAATGTCACTTTTTTCAGCTAGTGTTTTCTGAGAATTTTGTGGGGTGGGGGGGAGGTGAATGCTGTGATCAAGTCTTGAATGACCTGGTGACACTTCCTTCTTACAGGTCTCATATTTCCGAGATAGCAGCAGCGATGCTGACCTAATGGGCCTCACTGCTAGGTCAATACTTACTCAGTTTTGCTCCTCTACCTTCCCTGTTCTGACCAATCTGCTACCCCTGTATGGAGTTAACTGTATAGGATTAGCTTCCTGTATCTGACACACTTGGATCTGCTAATTTTTGTTGTTTAGTTGTTTTGGTTCATGTCCACCTCTTCATGACCCCATTTTGGGTTTTCTTGCCAGAGATGCTGGAGTGGTCTGCCATTTCCTTCTCAAGCTCATTTTACAGATGAGGAAACTGAGGCAAACAGGGTTAAGTGACTTTCCCAGTGTCACATAGCTAGCAAGTGTCTGAGACCAGATTTGAACTCAGGTCTTTCTGACTCCAAGCCCAGCACCTTATCTACTACACCACATAGGTCCAATTTGAAAGATTTTTTTTCTTAGATTGTGCTTTTTGCTATATGTTAGTAATCTTCCACCAAAAGTTCCTTTTTACTCATTTTTCACCTTTTGACAATAACAACTTCTATAACTAGTTAACTTTGTTTCCACTGAATGAATAATAATTTTTAAAAACACTCATAAGTTCTTATCTCTTCAAAGTTTATGTGTGCATGTGAGTGCAAAGGGGAAATTCTTGGAAAAAAAACATCTAGGGAAATCACATTTCTCAAATCCAAAATCAGGGCACACAGTCTGACAAAGTCTCTTCCTTTGCTAAACTTCATTAAAAGTACTTTTTCTTTTCCTGAAATGTAGACCATCCCAAGATATCCACACCATAATCTAGGAAAGCATTTCTGAGTTACTTAATGTTGGAGAATGTTCAAAGTATAGTTTAAATTATCATAAACTCTTAAGAAACTTCATGACTCCAGAAGAGTTGCATCTCTAGTTGTCTTTAAACAACATACCTCTCTTTTCCCTTTGGAGGGAAGGTTGGGGTAAGGGAGAACTTTCTTCAAGTCCATTGAATCCTTATTCTGACCTTGTAGCCCTGGGATGCCTATTGGATTCAACATGGTAGATCCAGGCTGGAATTCTAGATGATACGTTGGGTTTTATAACTGCCTTTCTCCCTTTACACCCTAGATTCAAGGAAGGGGCCATGACCAAAAGATAGGGCTTCTCGGAATTGTAATGCAACTGGATCCTTCAGCCACTAGAGGGCCCCAGATTAGTATAATAATGACTTCCAGCCCAATCTTATTCACTAGCTCGTTCCACTCCCGCCCCTTCCCTCTGCCCAAGAGCATCTAAAGCTAAGATCCAGTGCAGGGCTATGCTGGCCCAGCTGAAGCCTGTATTGAATGGGATGCTGAAATGATTACTAGGACTTGTATAAGGGGGAGAGATTAGGAAATGGTGTTTAACCCAAAGGGTTTTACTTGCCACACACTTGACTTAGTTTTGACATACAGGCATATTCCAAGGATTGATTAATGCTCCAGCAGAGCTCTCAGACAGGTAGGTTTTTTTTTAATTGGAAAATTACAAGCTGATGAAAACAGATATATATATATAGCTGAGGCTAAATTGTACTGACTTCCCCATGCTGAGGGCCAGCCCTGCTTGGTGGCATCTTCTCTTTTCTGGTATAGAGAGAACATATACCACAGGGGCAGGATGAGAAGCATAGAAGGTAAAGACATTCTTTTCCTTTGAAAGCAGCTCCTCTCTACCTTTTCTAATGCTTCCCATATGCCACCAAATAACCCAGTGAAAAACATGCTCAAGTCAGGAGATACCAAGGTTGGAATCCTAGCTCCAACTGCTACTAGCTATGTGCAATGCTGGGAGGTCATTTAACCTCTTTGATTCTCAATTTTCTCATCTGTAGAATGGGAGTTTGTGTTCATACCACCTGCCTCTCAGAAGTGTTCTAAGGAAAAGGCTTTTGCAAACTTTAAAGGAGTGCAGAAATGTGTAAGAGGAGGTGAGGTCGCACAGTGGTTAGAGCCCTGGAATTGAGTCTGAATCCTGCCTCAGACATATTATAGTGCTATGTAATTGAGCAAGTCACAACCTCTGCCTCAGTTTCCTCATCTATAAAACGGGAATAATTATAACACCTACTGCCCAGGGTTGTGGTAAGGACCAAATGAAATAAGAGATGAAAAGCACTTCGAAAACCTTAAAGTGCTGCGCAATGCTAGCTGTGATGAGAATGACGTGAGTAGTTATTATCTTTTAAAAAAAAAAGGCCCAGCTAATCCCTGATCAGACATAATAGGGGTGGGAGATACCTCCTGTTAGCCCCTTTCTAGACGTGATTTTAGTAGGTCATTCACTGGCATTCACAGCCCCGGACAAATCACCCTTTTCACCATCCTCAAGATGCACAAACAAGCGCTTGGAGTTGACTGAGCTAAACAAGCCTGACAATTGGTGAAATTGTCCGGGCAGTAATGGATCTCATGTGTGGGGAGAGATGCTCAGTCCCTCCCCCCTCTCCTATGCTTTGCTATTTGTGCCAAGTGGGGGAGGTAGTGAGATCACAGGGAGAATGAATACATTTGGAAAGATCTGCCCTCTTCTTGTCTTGTTCATCCATAAGTAGGAAATTTAAAGGGACAGGAATAATACATTTAGGGTTTGATATGCATGTTATTTTAAAATAACTCCTTATTTGCACTCTGCATGTTAGGGCTGCTAGTGAGAAAGAGATGTCCAAAGAACCATGTGGGTTTAATAATTTCTGCACTGTTTCCCTCACATTATTTTGGTTATGATATAGCCCTAGAAGTCTGTGGTGACAATCTAACCAGAGCATTCACAAGTGAATGTTTAAAACATTTGGAAGGGATGTATTCTTTGAAAGCCATTCCAAGAAAAGGGGGGGGAGGGAGGGGGATTCAGCTGGCTTAAACAAGTCTTAACATTGAGAATGTATTTAATCTATAAACACAAACTAATCAGAACATTGTTAAGTGCTAATGGACAAAATACAAAATATAGTCTTAGCAATAATAACTAATATTTATGTGGTACTTTGAGGTTTGTAAAACACTTTATTATCTCATTTGATCTTAAAGGCAAACACTACCAGTGTCATCCTCATTTTACAGATGAGGAAACTGAGGCTTAGAACTGTTAAAGTGATAGTCAAACAAATTACAAGTACTAAAGGCCAAATTTCAACCCAAGACTTTGCTAGGTTCATGGCCAAAACCCTTTTCACTGTGCCATGGAGTCTCTCAAGCATATGGTGGAAAATCGGGAGACCTGGGTTCTAATTATATCTCTGCCACTTGCTGTGTGATTTTGGTTAAGTTACTTAATATCTGGGCCTCAGTGTTCTCTGATTCAGATAACAAATAATACCTAATCTACTATTGAATTATTGGAAAACCAAGTAAAATAACAGCTGAGGTGTGGCTAAACTTATATCTCAAACTGTATGTCAGAACTTATATGTCTAAATGTGTACTGCCTTCTCAAAGAGTTGTCATCACTGAAAAACATCTTTAGAACCCCTCTTTTGGGACCAGATAGGTGGCTCAGTGGATAGAGCACCAGCCCTGGAGTCAGGAAGACCTGAGTTCAAATCGGGCCTCAGACACTTACTAGCTGTGTGACCCTGGGCAAGTCACTCAACCCTGATAGCCTTTTTAAAAAAAAAAATTCCTCTTTTGGAATGACCTTAAAAGCCTTTTGGAAATATTTTGGATTGTTCTTGAACATAGCAGATCTTTGTCCTGTGAGGTGGATTTGAGTTTGTTTATTTAAAAAAAATAACCAAAATTTCATTTTTAGGCAAATCTGGTGAAATAGGTGATCAAGCTATGTAATACTAGCTGTTAAATACTTATAGACATACATACATACATACACACCTACACATGTGTGTGCGCACACAGGAGATTGGCATACCTAAAGAAGTATTGAGGCAATTTTCTCATGTCTCCTAAGCTAACCCTTAGGCCAGTTCTTGAAAAGGTGTTCTAGGTAGGTTTTGAGTAAGAGTAGAATAGTACCATTGGAACAAGGTTATAATTTTGCATGGTATGGTAATCTTGATAAACAATACTTATCTGAATTCATTTAAAAAGTAGGAATGCCTTTTAAAACTAGGGACTAGAAACCTTTTTTTTTTATTTAAGCAATGTTATACCTCTCATGAGAAAAGGTTTCTAAATCTGGAAGAGCACTACATTAATGGGAATTGCAATGGTGGTTCACTATGTGTTTCCAAGAGGCCACAGGCGCCCCTTCCTTCTTTTTTCTACCTAAGAACTGAACTTCACTAATTCAAATGAATTAAAGTGAAGGTTAGTCTGCATTAGTGAAAAGCCAGAAACATAAAAAAATGCTTTCAAAGGAATGAAAATCTTTTCAATCTTTTATTTACATGACTCGCTTCTAGCTAACAATCTAGGTCAGGATCATGGAACTGGAAAGACCTCAAGATCATTTGGTCTTCACAGAGTCATGTGGTGATTTTTCCCAAGATCTGATTTCCCAGAATTAATGAGTTACAGAAATCATTGAATTTCTAAGAGGAAATCTGGGTCCCTATTTCATTTTTCTGATAATGGAGCTCAGTCCGAGGGAATTTTTGTGATTTGCTCAAGGTCAGGTAAACAGTATTACCTGGTAGATTAGACTATTACTCAGGTCTCCTGCCTTCTTGTGGGAGGCTCTTAGCATTGTACTATGAGGCCTTGGGCCAAGGGGAAAATGATTTGCAAGTAAGTTTCCAACTGCATAGATAAAGGCATGCTTTTTTAAAGGGTTTGCAAATTTTTTTTTCTTAAATAGGCAGAAGTGGCCCCCTGAAATCTTATTTGTATTTCTCACTTTCCTTGCAACACAGTTGTTATCCTAGTATAAAAATAAATTCCACCTCAGTTTCTGTTCACATTCAAACATAAAATCAAAGAATGTTTGACCTTAAAGATCACTTACAACTCCTTTAGTTTACAGATGAGGCAAATGAGTCAGTGACTGGCCCTAAATCATCTATCAAATTAATGACAAACTCCAGGACTACAGCCTCCGTTCTTAATTTCCAGTTCCATGGTCTTTCTACTCCAATAATTTGCTCATAAATTCAAAATTAATGGAGTTCATATTAAAGATGTTATAGAATTTGAACTCACAGACTCAGCATGAAGGGGAAAGTATCAGTTTTAAATATTTTCCCTTATCAATTTTTCAAGGCCAGATTGAGATGAGATTTGAGTCAATGAGCTTAATAACTTCCTCCCTAAGACTCTCCTGAATTTCTCTAACTTTTAGTCTCTGCTTTTTTGCTGTTGTTTAGTTAACACAAAATACGTCTAACAAAAACACCCTCAGCAATATTTTGTACAATTGATTGGTGAGTCCTTATTACCTGTATGCAAATGTATATTTATCAAGCTGCTGATTAGATCAAAGTGGATCGTGGAATCATCTCAGTTAATTAGATGCTTTTCTACAGATGTTTTTCATGGGCATTATTACAAAAAGGGGAGTTACAGAGAATAGTCTTAATAGATAGAAGATCAATATGTAAGACAAGTATTTGTAGGTAATGGCAGAAGGGACAGATGGACAAGGGTCAGAGAGAAAGATACACAATCTTAGAGGAATTAGTTTGCTGATGATAATAGTAATAACAAAGGAAACATTAAAATCTAAGTCCACTAGTCAAAATGGAAAGAAATTCCTCCTTCATTAACTCATTTCTATAGCATTCTCTACTCAACGTATACCCAGGCCTTTGCTTCTTAATCATGTGTCATTCCTTGGCCAGAAGGGGTCACTAAAGGACTTCCTCTCTCCTAGAGGCTACTTTAACTTTGTCCATGCCGCCTGCATCCTAGGGCCAGTTGAAACAACTTCACTGTTTGCCTAACACTATGATGCACCTATAAAAGCCCATCAGACTGTCTCCCAACTTTTTTTTTTCAAAAACTTGTAAAATCTTATAATGCATCTTGGGGATAGGATTTTGCATTATCTAATTTCTCACCTTCCCTTCTCCAGAAAATGGGAGAGGTGGGGTAGGGAATGGAGAAAAAATAGTTAACGAAGTATGTGCCAACATATGAGTATGTCTGTCTTTAGAATAGAAGGTTCTGGAGTTTAAGATCTATGTCTTCAAGTGCCCTATATCCAAAGTAAAAGTAGGATAATTATGATACATATGGGAGGGGGGTGGGTTAGGTAACTGATAATTGGGCAACGAGAATGATCGTCTTGGTTTTAAATTTTTCAAAATCCTGCATATAGTTTTATTAAGTTTAAAAATGCTATGTTGAAGTCTTATACTTGGTGTGTTCTCTTTTAGGTTGGCACTACTGAAAAAGAGTGGAGAAGAAGACTGGAAAATCCGACTTAGCAAGAAGCAGGACTATAGCAAAGTGTGTGTCACCGAGCGGAGCACCCGGCTGCAGGAGTCTGAGCAGTCGTTCAAGAAGAAGGTAAGTTGCCCATGTTAGGAAAGGCATTTTGCTTTGGACCATGGTTGGAAAGGCATCAAGCAGACAAGCACGCCTAATCTCACTAATTGCTACTTTGGGAAGCATCCACCTCATCTTGGCTTTGGGGCCCCACATGGAAAAGCACAAGTTTGTCACCGACTGCCAACAATAGCTATTTTTGACTAAACTAGAAAGGTAACCTCGTTAAGTTTTCTGGAATCGGTATCAGCATCGTATCATGCTTCAGCAAGCTCAGAGGTTTTCAAAACGGTCTTGATGTTTGGCATTCATTTGATAAAAGGCCAGCTTTGGAAATTCAATAAATTATTTATAAGGAAAAGTGTTAGTGAGTCATCCTGTGCAAGTTTTACCTAAGGCATGGACTTGGAATTCTTCTACTGTGAGTTTGAAGCTTGCAAGATAAGAAAGTTGTCATTGGTCAGAACCTAGCTCAGTCTTTAATGAGTTTCTTCCTGAATTGTTAGTTATCTGCCCCTCATTGTCCTAAGATTTTTCAACTGAAAAACTCTGTGAAATGTTATTTTGAAGTTGGGCAATACATAGGTGCCAACTCCTGGAAGTATTTTAGAGGCAACAATTTTCAACACATTATCGAAATATGACAGGGCAGCCTGGAGTTGTGGGTAGTGGGCCAGACATGGAGTCAAATAGACTTGGATATAAATCCTACCTTTTTGTGTATTTTACTCAGCAACTAATCACAACTTCCTTAGAACTTCCTTGATAGTTTTTCACAGGTTTTTTTTTAATCCCATATTGTTAATTAGCTTGTTCAGCTGTGTGACCCCTCCAATCACTTAGTCTCTGTACTGACTGGGAAGTCTTATCTACATCAGTGAAGGCAGTTCCCCACCTGTTTAAATCAGACTTTTCATTCACTAGTGCTTTTTAATATTTCGTGCCTACCTTCAGCACCAAGATTTAGTCTGCTAACGGATGCAGTTATTTGAGATGAGAAAATGCATTTCACGTGAGCACTCACTAATCTGGAAAAACAAAAGCCTTCAAGGACGAAACAGCATGAATGTGCTTCTACCTCCATTGATACCTCTGTGGTATCTAGCTCTTAAAAAAATAAAAAAAGATTATTGAGTGAAGGGATAGGTGTGAAAGCAACTGTTCTGCATCAGGAAAGTTCATAGAGAGAAACAAGCTGCCTAGAGAAGCAGTAGCCAAGCTCTTCTGTGGCTTCATTAGTAAATTGGGAAGGCAATATTTGGCCAATGGACATGACCAAAGATAATGACTAAAGTGCCTGAGCAGTTAGGTCGCTCAGTAGCTCACTGATGGACCTGGAGACAGGAAGACCTGAATTCAAATCCTGCCTCAGATAACTCACTAACTGTGTGGTGTGATGGTGTTGTTATTTAGTCATTTTCAGTCATGTCTGACTCTTCATGGCCCCTTTTGGGGGTTTTCTTGGCAAGACGTGGGAGTGGTTGCTGTTTCCTTCTCCAGCTCATTTTACAGATGAGGAAACTGAGGCAAACAAGGTTAAGTGACTTGCCCAGAGTCACACAGCTAGTGAGTGTCTGAGACCAGATTTTAACTTGGGTCTTTCTGACTCCAAGGCCAGCACTCTATTCACTGGACACAGCTGTCATACTAGCTGTGTGACCCTGGGCAAATCACTTATCCCCCCCTTAGCCCTTCCCCATCTGCAAAAGAGGAATAATAATGGCTCACCTGGATTGTTGTGATCGAATGGGATAACATATAAGCACTTTGCAAACCTTAAAGTGCTCTATAAATGCTAGCTATGATTTCTTTTATTTAACTCAATAGTTCTCAAATAGAATTGGCATCCATTTGATAAAAGACTAGCTTTGGAAATTCAATAAATTGTTTATAAGGAAAAATGTTAGTGAGTCATCATATGCAAGTTTTACCTAATGTCTGGACTTTTTTTGAGTTGACTCAGTAGTTCTCAAATAGAAATAGCATTCTATCAATCATGAAATCAAATGTGGGATTCTCCTGATTTTCAGGTTCCCCACTCCCCTTGTCCCCAGGGAATGAAATTTAAGGCTTTTGAGTTTAATTTTCCCATCCCCAAGATGTTTCCTTTGAAACTATCTGTGTTTTAAACACTTTGATATCTCAAGTTACTGATTTCATTTTTGTGCATTCTCCCTCCTCCACCCCGCCACCCATGCAGCCCCTCAGTTACTTGTGAGCTGCTGTAGCTAGAGAGCTCATTGCTTGCAGCCAGCCTACCCTGTTGGTGACCTCAGACTCAGCTCAGCTTAGCGGTGGATGACAGACATACTGCTTGTCTCTAGGCCACCATACTAGGCCATTTCCTCCTGATCCCCATCAACGTGAACAATTCAGGGCCCACCCCCACCCCACCAGGAGCAGGATTTTAGTGGCAGGACTCTACTAAAAGTATCAATGTCTGCCATGTGCTCAATCCATTCATCACTAGATATCAATTACCTATGTGCAAGGCACAGTGTTGTGTCCTCCCATGGGAGACTGGATGTGGGGTGCTATCCCATAAGTGTCTTGAAGTTCCTTAGAGGAAGACAAGACAAATGACAGGTGCCTTGGGTAAAGCATGGCTCTGAAGAGGTCGGAGGCCCTGGGTTCATATACTGCCTCTGCCATGTACTACCTGTGTGTTTTTGGGCAGGTCCCTCCCCTTTCATGGGCCTCAGTTTCCACATCTGTAAAATGAGGTGGTTGGACAACATGGCCTCTGAGGTGCCTTTTGGCGTTCAGTCTGTGTTTCTGCTGTCCTATGGGAAAGACCCCAACCAGTAATTAGTCGCAAAGTGAAAAGGACTCAGCAGATGAACAGTATTAATGGAAATGGAGAAGTATGCAAGGTTACTTCAGGACACATCAGCTGGGAGTGGATTGAGGTGGCTCCAGGAGAAGAGCTAAGATTTCTAGGTAGATGGAGAGGAATCAGTTTATGTGGGACGAAAGGAGTGGTGAGGGCCCAGAGACAAGGAGATCGAGACAGGATAGCCAGGCTTTCTATCCACGAGAGTAGCAATGTCTGTCCCGACTCTGTGGCAATAGTGAACACGCCATTCCTAGGACTCAGCAGAGACCTCATTCCCTGGGCCCAACTCAGCCTAGTGCTACTTTGAAGTTAAAATAGGCCGAGCTATTTTGGTGAATTGTAGGGGCTACTGGAAGTTGTCAGGTTCTTATGAGGACAAGGAGCTAACTGATGGCACCAGCCTGGGCATTGGATGAGCCCAGTGCATTCAGAAGAAGCTGTGGCAGCAGCACTGGGGATGGGTACTTAAATCTGAGCTTTCCCCAGCAAACCCCAACATAGAAACATCGAAGAAATACTTACTTATGGTCCCATGCTGCAACACACAAAGCTGGCCACATTTGTCAGCAAAAGGAATGATATTTGTGATATATGATCCTTCCAAATAAGGGTGTTGGGCATTGCTGTGGACTCCACGTGGGTTACGCTTGTCAGTGGCAAGCTGTTCTCTAGGACAGGTGCTGGCTGGGTTGCATTGCTTTCCAGAACAGACAGCCTGTCTTCCCAGTTGAGGGATTAAGAGTTAGCTTGTCATCTGATCCACAATTTCCAAACTCCATCCAGAGCCCTGACTCAATGGTTGGCCAGCTTTTTGTTACTGCCTCATGCCTTCCCTCAGGTTTTCATATTTAGTAAACAGGGTCCCATACATTTCCATTTTGGCAACCTGCAGAGACCCTGAGGTGGCCAGGAGTAAAGAGAAAATTCCAGAATCCAGATCATGGTACTTTGAGAGCCCATGTAGTGTCCAGGGGTTGTGTCAGCTTCCTGTTTGGGAACCTCCGACCTTGGTAATTACCTAAAAACATGCTCTTAAAAGTGAGAAATTATGATACCTTTGTCAGCACATGTGCTCCCACTGTAGAACAGGTAGCACAGTGCCTGAGTAGGTGCTTAATAAATGCTTGTTGATTGATTATACAAGACACTGGTGAGGTAAAGGAAAAGGAAAAATAAAAGTCTGTTGTATACCAGCCACTCATGTAAATTATCAGGACTCGCATCTGACAAAATGATTGATGTGGGAAAATTCAGATTTGCACTAGAATCATAGGGTTCCATCACTAACCCCATCACCAGGGGTTACCCAGTAACTTCTCAAATGAAGAATTAGAGGAAGGCTCACTCTCATTACATATAATTGCTTTCAGATAGGACTACTCCAGTCACAAATCCCAACCTAAACAGATAGATAAGGGAGCAACTTGAAAGTCCCATCATTAGTTATTATGAACCAATGTCTTCAAAGATGGCTGAATAAATCTTGGGGAAAAAAAGCATTTATCAGCACCATTACTTCTCATTAGCTGCTTCATTTTGCTGGTATAGATGAGGCTAAGTCCTTGAAGTGTGAGAATGTCTTATTTACCAACTGAATTTTGTTATACTTTGCATCTAAAGATCATCTATCAGCTGAAGGGTAGCAGACTCCTGTGGGAAACTGACCAGATTTTGGAATGAAGAGAGAGGGGACATCATAAACACTGCAACAAATTTTCGGGTTTGCTTAAGCTTTTATAGTCATTATGAGTTCCCCAGGAGAACTAAGGGAAATCTGATACATCATTAAAAAAAGAAAGGAAGGAAGAAAGAAAGAAAGAAAAATCTTGGCAAAGGAATTAATCCGAAACCAAATAAAATATGTTACTTTGACCAGCCTCACACTTTCAGTCCAGTGGAAGATAAGAAAAAATTCCATGGGCCATGAGTACATATTTGGAACCAAAGTTAGATTTTCCATTCAAGTATTAAGTGATCTATCACCTTAAAGAGAAGGTGTAATGTGGTGGTAGCTGTTTGCTTTCCAATTTCATTTTTAAAATGTAGGATTGAAGATTTGGGGCATAAGGACACTACTAATCATTTGTCCAGCTGTCTGATGGCACTCCCTTGAAATAACACTTTGGGCTTATTTCTTTTTTCCTTTTATTGTTTAAGGATATGCCAGAAGTTAGAAGCATTTGATTTTTTTGAGGTAGTGCACTCACTTAGCTCACCAAAGAAGTCAAAAATAGTTGCTGTTGAGTCTCCATGCTGTGCTACACTTGGTGCCGTAGTGCATGCGCTCTGGCCACTAGGATTTCCTTCAGAGTGGTCAGTGAGGCAGATGTGAAATGAAGGGAAGTCTGAAATCAACAACTTCCAGGCTTCTACCTGTGGCTACTGAATCTGCTCCTTCCTTTAACCACATGCCAGTATTTAAGCTCCTCTCCCACTGTTTGCTTATTCTGCATGAAGGCATGAGTTGATTTGCTTTCATGCATATTGAGCATATCAAGTGACTCACATTCTTTCTAGTTAAGATGGTCACCAAATGCATCAGCCCTTAACAGGGTTTGCCTTTAAAAATCTGAACCTACTTACGAGTCCCAGATTAGTGTCTGATCACCAGCTGTGCTGCCATGCCATTAGGAGAGTGAATCAAGCTGAGCACCATGACATTCCCACAACAAGCTCCTATAAATTCAAGGGCAGGACAGCACATCTGCTGTGTTCATGCTGGGATTGCCCACTGTCCCCGAGATTCTGAATTGTTCTGAGGGTGGTACATGTAAGATCACTTAGAGAAATGGGAGGAGGGAAAGGGAGAAGAGCATAAAGGAGGGAGGAAAGTGGACGGAGAGAGAGAGGGAGGAAGAAGACAAAGTGGAAGAAGAGGGGAAGAAGGAGGAGAAAGTGGAGAAGAGAGAAGGAGGAGGGAGAGGGAAGAATGAGAGACACAGGGGAGGGAGGGAGAGAGAGAAGAAGGAGGAGGAGGAGGAGATGAAATGAGAGGGAGAGAGGAAAGGGAGAGAGGAGAAGAGGTAGAAAGAATAGGGGTGAAGAGAGGAGAAAGTAGGAAGGAGAGAGGAGAAGAATGAGAGCAAGAGAGAGAGAGAAGAAGAAAGAGGAGGAGGAGGAGGAGGTGGTAAAAGGAGGGGAGGGAGAGAAAAAAAGAGGGAGGAAAGAGGGGAGAGAGAGAGAGAGAGAGAGAGAGAGAGAGAGAGAGAGAGAGGAGATAACTAACGGGAGGAGAAGAGGAGAATAATGGGTGGTTGACCTCTAATTAAAATGTTCAAGTCCTATTGGGAAACTAGCCTTTGCAAATTTTTGTTCCACACACCCTGCTGTGTGCTAGCATGTGCACATTGCTAATTGACCCTCGTTACTGATGATTTGAAGATAATGAATGCAATGCTCTAACTGGACTATTCTTTTCCAACACTCTGCAATGTTTCCCATCTGTTTTAACCTGTAGGAAGAAGGAGGATTTACAGATGATAATGCCATTTCTAATCTGCTTTGGGTAAGCCTAACTCTAACAGAGGTGTTAACCGTAGGCGTTAGCAAAAAGTCTCATATTTCCCTTTTACATCCTGTGCATTAGTTTTTCCTTTTCAAAGTCTTTCCTGCTGGATAATCAGATGCTTAGAGGAGAGCTGCTCTCTGGTATGGTAGAAGGAGTATTAGTTCTAGAGTTTAATGACCTGGGTTCAAATCCCTTCTCCAATGGCGCATTACCAGTGTAACCATCGGCAAGTCACAATGACCTCTCTCATCTTCAGATTTGATCCAAATTGAGGAGGTTAGTTCATAAGGCTCTTGGGGTCCCTTCCAGCCCCTAGCGCAGTGACTGTAAGACAGACTGCCTTTTTCTAGAGGGAAAGGCTGATAATCTTCACAGGAAGACCATTGGTAGGCTCTCCTTCAGTTTTGTCAAGAAGATGGCGCTACTTTTAACGTCTTAAAACAGTTCAATGTCAGTCATTTTTTTTTCCTTCTCTGCCACCTGACTTTATGTTTAAATTATGATATTAGTGACTCTAACTCATTTAATCACTATACATACTTGGGTAAATTTGTGCTGCTTGTGTGGAATTATTTTAGCAGTTTCTTTTTTTCCTCTCCCTAAAGATTGAAGGACTCTTTCTTGGAAAGAGGGCGGGAATTGCAATGAGTAAATTAACTTCCTGTTAGAAGATTACTGATTTTCTTCCTTTGCCTCTTTTTCTCTTTTCACCTCTAATCCTCTTGCTTTGCTCTCTAGGAACCTGTATATGCTTCTACTTACTCTCCTGCTATGCCTGCTGTCCATAAATACCAGTCTTTTGTACCCATTAATCAGGTGAGGAAAAACTGACACCCTCATTGCAATTTCTGACCAGTAGCCAAGCCCTTTTCCTTTCACCTGGAGATCTGATTCTCCTTTGTTGTTTGTTCTTGTTTGCGATTGATTCTCTAGATATTTCAGGTGAGAATCCTGCTGGGTGGATTCTTGTCCCTATTTACTTCTAGAACTTTGAACAGGTTGGTGATGTAACTTATATGAACCAAACTTTTTAGCAAGATTTTTCTGCGTTTTAGTCATGAGGCTGTATAAAAGGTTAAATTTGATAGGCCAGTGTGGCCCAGCAAATGGTGCCTGGCATTCTTTAATACAGCAATGGGGGGAAATTCACAGATTATTAAGAATAAATTCATTCCTAAATACTTAGTGTTTTATTTGGGGGTCCAAGAAATAGTTTCAATTAGCCAAAAATTCTGACCTAAAAGCAGAAATTAGAGAACTTTAAGATGAATGATGAAGGATTTTAAAAGAAAAGCTCTATGACCTATATAGAGTTGGTGCTGTTTCCTCTTTAGAAATGGACAGTTTTCTTACATGACTTTTTGAAAAGTAACTTAGTGAACTATTTCCTCCTCTCCTTCTCTGCCACACGGTTTTTTGCTTGTTTTTGTTTTTTTGCTTTTTTGTTTCCATTCTATTGAAGTCAGTAGTGAGAACTGAGGGACTCACAATCCCTGATTTCTGAGGAATGTCATCCTTGAAAGATGAAAGATAAAATCATATGTAAAATTCCAGTTTGAATATCAAAGAAGGAAATGAAGTTATTTTTGTTTTTGTTTTTTAAGCTCAAGTGACACAACTCTAAAAAATTGTCTTGAAAAACAATTTTGGATGACTTTTATAGGGAGAAAATACTTGTCACAAAACCTATTCCTATTTGAACATGTCAGGAATTTCAAAACAAATTTTCCCACATAAGGAATTTCATTTTTCCATAACAATTTCCCCAGACAATTATTATTATTATTACTATGTTAATAATAATAATAATAACAATAAGTGTGTAGTGCTTTAAGATTTATAAAGCACTTCATTTACATACCTTATCATACTGAAACCCATTTGATTACACACTGCCTGTCAATTTATGCATGGGGAAAGCAAAGCTCACTTTCTTTTCTGTGGTAATATTAGCTTGTTAAGAGCCAATAGTTCAGAATCTCAAAGAAGAAAATACATAGTTTCCAGTGCATACAGTGGTAAGCAAGAGCCTTCTAAAGAATATTCCAGACTTGCTGTCATCATCCCAAGATGTTCATGAACTCCCTCTCCCACGTTTTTTTTCTTTTTACTGTAGGTGCCTATGGCATGTAACAAACACAAATTATATTTGCTTTGCAGTTTCTTCATAGTGTTGTGTCCACTTAGATGGATGCAACATTAGGTTGTATTCATTAACTGTGAATTTGAAGGGGAGGCAGTAGGTAAACCTGAAGCCACAGGGTCTTGGGTTCAAGTACTGCCTCAAAAACATGCCAGCTGTGTGGCTTGGGTAAATCATTTAATCTCTGTGCCCCAGGAACCTCCCCTGCCCCAAACCTGTAAATTGGATAACAGTTCCAGATCTGCATTGGTTTGAATATCTTCAGAGGAAAAGCCTTGTGCCAATGCAATCGTAGGTTTGAACTGTAAAAAAAAAAAAAGAGCACATGCCACTTTATGCTGCTGAATGAGTTGCTCATTTGGTGTACGCTAAAGCATTTTAGGGAAACTGTGTTAACTTTTTCATATCCCTAGAAGAATGCTTTTTAGGAGTCTAAGACCTGAAACTTTCTCCTAGAAAGCGATTTACCCAATTTAATTCAACAGACATTTGTTAAACACCTATTAGGTGCTAGGCACTGAGCGCTTCCAAAACAAAGACCAAAAACAAAACAGTTCTTGCCCTCAGGGAGCTTACATTCTAACTGGAGGAATATTTAAATGTTGACTAGTGGATGGAGGAATTCTTCCCACAAGAGTGAAAGAAACCACCGGCTCAGGCCAAAAAACAGATAACATAATAATAAGTGGTATTAGGGATGCATAATGGATAGATAATTGGCTTTGAAGTCAGGAAGATCTGGGTTCAAATGTCTCTGCTACAAACTAGCTGTGTGACCTTGGGTAAATCACTTAGTCTGTGAGCACTCCCAGAAGTTCTCTGACATCTGCAGAAGCATTTCAACTCTGGATGGGTAGAGGGCATTTCCTTACCAGAAATTCTTCATGTGGATGAAACCATAGGTCTTGGTGAAAAGCACAAAGTAGCAAAATAATGAAAGGGGAATCTCAGAGTGTCTAAAAAGTTTTAAGTTCAGCTGGTCATTTGGAAGGGAAAAAACCTTTCCCCCCTTAAAATGGATCAGACTAATTGCCAGACCTGATGACTCCTAAAAATTCTGGATTCTCTTTAGTCAAAAGTCTCTTGCATCATCTCATGCTATCCCTTGACCTCCATATTCCCAGACTTGGTCGTGGCCATGTGGAAGAGATCTGAGAGCCACTGCTCCAGAAAGGGACATTTGGGCTTCCATAGATGTCATTTTTCTTACTCATCAACCACAAATAACCATCCCAGTTAGGACTTGGGAGACATGATACTCTTCAGATACCAAAAAGAATAAACATCTGGACCTTCTGAGATGAACTTTAGACATTGATAGGGATATGTAAAGCCAAATCCAATTTTTCCTGGTTTTAAGTTGAATCCTGAAAAGTCATTGAGAAACTCCCTCCCCCCCTTTTTTTGTTTTGCTTTCTAACTTGCTACAGATTTGGATGTGTAGTTTTCATGGCCAACCAAAATGCACATCCCGCTCCTATCACCACCACCTACCATGAACAATAATTTTTCTGCATTATGTCTAGGGTATACTATGCTTCAGAGTATGCAGATCCTGGGTAGTTTTGAAATGAAAAGGATCCATTCAGTTGTAATGGGTAGCAGCGCAAAATTTGGACTTTATCAGAATTGCCAAGACTCTTCTAGTCTGCGAAGAATGTCTGGCTGATATATTACCTTGTTATTCTTCTAGATGGAATGCCCAAAACAGGAGTGGGTAGAAGGAAGCTGTAAAAGGCAGATTTATAGGTTGGAAGAGTTGCCATGTTCCAAATTCTCCACCTTAGATGGACCTTCTCTAGGCAGTCCTTTTCCTGTAGACTCAGAAAAAGAGGCAAACAATGCCTCTTCCTTTTTTTTTTTTAAAACTTTCTGCCTCACCTCATAGTCCTGCCCTTTTGTGTTTAATGAAACACGCTTCCAGAAATCTCAATTCCATTTCCTGTCTGGTTAATTTGAGGAAATTAGCTTGACTCAGCAGGGTGGTCTTTTAGGAAGGAAAAGGGCTGCAGGTATCCCAATAGGCTCTGAATTTCCCCTCCTTTCCCTTGTGCGGCTCCAACGCATTCTAATCATTTGACTCAGTGCTGAGTATTCCTCTCAGATTTGCTGTCTTCCAAAGAAAAATAACACATGGAAGGAGTGATGAACTAGGAGCATTTTCACAGTGGCTGAAAGCTCCAAAATAACAACAAAAACAACAATAATAGCTAGCATTTATTTACTGCTTTGTGGTTTGCAAAGTACTTTCTATTATCTTATCTCATTTGATCCTCCCAATAACCCTGAGAGGTAGAGGCTGTTACCACCACCACCTTTTACAGATTGGCCACTGAGTCTGAAGGAGGGGAAGTGATTTGCCCAAGGTCACATAGCTAGTAAGGAAGCTAATTTATTTGGATAAATAAATCCTGCTGAGGGCAGGATTTGAACTCAGTTCTTGATCACTTGTAAGTCCAGCACTCTGATCTCCTGCAGCACTTGCTGTCCTGGGGAACCTGTCCTAGACAAAAATGCTCCTGTCTGGGAAGTCTATCTGAGAAGCTATGGGCCCAGAAAGTGGTTGGGCAGGACCAAAGAATATAGGCTCAATTGGGGATGGGTAGACCTAGATTTTGTTCAGTCATGAATGACTCTCTGTGACCCCGAGGGCCATACTATCCTCGAGGTTTTCTTGGCAAAGATACTAGAGTGGTTTGCCATTTCCTTCCTCCTCCAGTGGATTATGGCAAACAGAGGGTAAGTGACTTACCCAGGGTCACACAGCTAGTGTCTGAGGCCATATTTGAACTCGGGTTTTCCTGACTCCAAGCTGGTGCTCTATGCATTAGTCTTCTAGCTGCCCCAGACTCAGATATAAGTACATTTAATTTATCTAACATCTTTAAATATGAACAACTTCCTTAAGAATTCTATTAGTGCTTTGGTTTTCAACTTCCTCCATCGCATTAACTCCATCCCTCCTAAGGCTCCTTATCTCATTTTGCCTCAGTGCCCCCCTTCCTGCTAACAAAGGTCATTTGTGGATAGTTGCCCTGAGCCACCTTTTTCCTTACCCATGCATACCCTACCCCCATTTGAAAGGCATAGGGACAAAAATAGGGCACACCCCATGCTGCTGGCATCTTGGTACTCTGGAACTGCAGGAAAAGGAGAGAGGGTGGTGAACAGTGAGCATCTCAAGACTCCCACCTCCCAAGCCCTCAGCCTTTCCCATCTCCAGACCCTTTTACTGTCCCTCTAGTCCCTGTCCTTCGTTTTCCCCCACACCAACCCTTATCACTTCCCTCCTTTCAGCTCCCATGGGAGTTGCTCTCTCTAGTCACTCATTTTTTCCTCCACTACTCACTCCTGCTCCTAGATCCTAGACCCTTGATACTTACCTTCTTTCATTGCCCCAGAGCCCTCATCCTGTCTTTTCCTGTTCTCACTACTTAGGTCCTCTAGTCCCCATCCAGCAAGGTCCCATGCTCAGGCCGTGAAACCATGTGACTCTGAACTAGGAGAGCCCCTGTTCTGACTGCTGGAACTGCATAGGAGCTGAGGGGCAGAAAATGTGCTCCTTTCCTTAGGCATTTGGAGACATAAATAAGTTTTTGTGGGCCGGCCGAGGAGCCTGACCACTACTGTGACATTGTTTATGTGGGAAAATGTCTTACCAGTTCTGAACAACTGATCTACCATTGATTTTAAAATGCGGACTTTTTGTAATTTAGAGGCTCCTGATGCTTTGAATTCTTTCTAAATAATACCAAGAAGTCAGTGTGGCAGCCCAGCTGCCTTCAAAACCAGGAAAACCTGGGTTCGAGTCCCTCAGTGTGACCCTGAACAAATCACTTATCAATCTTTAACTGTGCTAGGCAACTCCCTTTGAAGCTGCATAGAAGATGCTAACCTAGTTGTTAGGAGCTGACTCACCTCAGAGTTCTCTATGTTAATGGAATCACAGGTGTAATCCTATCCCTATCATGTGCTACTAGTAAATTGGTACCAAACTCATCCAGAATGGTTAAAAAAAAAAGTCTTGCATGTCTAAACCTACAAAGTTGATAAGAGTAACGTGGAATCATGAGTTCAGTTCTGTGACGCACTCATTGATGTATGAGCCAGCCTTATATCAAGAGTGAGGGCCAACCGATTGACAGCCCATGCAACATCAAGGGATCCTGAAGATGGCCTCTTCCATGTTGAGTGAGAGCTGGGTTGTGATCTTCACCATGAGAAGCAAGATCTTCCGCAGTGAGATCACAGATCCATTAAGTGCTACCGAATCACTTAGGTTCAGGTAATCTAATGCAATTACAAGAAAGCTGTAAGAAGCAGAACAGTGGTTTAATCTGACATTGTACCTTTGCTGATGGTCTAGTCCTATAACCCAATCCAGATGACTACCCCATGATGGGAATGGTCTATTGGCCAGTGTTGGCACTAATTTTTCTTCCCTCTCCTCCTCTTCTTTTTCCCCTTCCAACTCTTAAGCAGAGGATGGCAGAAAGTCAGGAAAGCCAAATGACAATTGAAGAGAGGAAACATCTTATTACTGTAAGAGAAGAGGCCTGGAAGACCAGAGGAAAAGGAGCAGCCAATGATTCTACCCAATTTACTGTTGCTGGCAGGATGGTAAAGAAAGGTCAGTGGGGAAGGAAGCCCCTTGTTCAAATAAACCCTTTTCCCACTCCCTATAACTAAAGCTACATAAATGTGGTCTAGATGCTGTCAGTGAATTGGCTACTGAAAACCATTTCTGTATGAAAGTTTAATTAGCTTTGGAATCAACACAGAAGAAGGTATTAAGTCCTTCAAAATAAAAAAAATGAAAAACCTCAGCCATTTAGAAACTGGCAGTTTCAGATTTGATCAAGATATTTGCCGTGGCCTCTCATTGTTTGTAAATTACTTGGACTCTTTTTTCAGATTTGGCAGCCTATCCATCAGAATGTATGACCATCTTCTCAGAGCTAGCATAACAGTTATTACAGTTCGGAGAAACTTTTCACCTTCAGTGTCCACTGCCACCTTTCTCTTTCCTCTGAAATAGTTCACTGTGGCACATAGGTGCAACTGTTCAGAAATGGAGAAAATATTCCAAGAACTAGGAGTAGTCCAGTTTGGCTAGAATTTGTGATACACGAGGGAGAGAAATATGAAATGTGGTAAGAAAAATAAGTTGCAAAGTAAAGCCATTTGAATTTTATTTGGTAAGCCATGAGGAGCAGCTGGAAGTTTTTTGGTTTGGTTTGTTTTTTTAGTAGATATGCAACGCGTCATGGCTTTATGTTGGGAGGTTAATTTAACAACAGTTTGTAGGATGGATTGGAAGAAGAGAGACTGAGGGATGCAAGACAAATTTTAGCAGTTCTTGCAGAAGTCAGGGTTTAGATCAAATAAGATAATATAAAGCACTCAGCACAATGCCTGGCATATAGCAGGTGCTTAATAAATGCTGATTCCCTCCCCCCCCTTTCCCTAGAAATGATGACCTACTGTGACAGCAGATTGGAAATGAGGGCTAGAAGTATCCAGTCCAACAAACATTTGTTAAGTGCTTATGATGTGGGAGGCACTGTGCTAAGTGCTGGGGATACAATTAGTAAGAAGACAATCCCTGCCCTCAAAGAACGTATCATCTGAAGAGATTTTATAAATTTAGAATTAGTGGCTGATTAGCCAAATTGTGAAACATCAGTGGAGGGCAAGGATTCAAAGACCACTGAGATCTGAGCCTGGATGGCTTGTGAGATGGATGATATTATCATTACCTGCAGAAAAATTAAAAGGAATGCTATGTTTTCTGGAGGGGATAATGAATTCAGTTGTGGCTATGTTGAGTTTGAGGTTGCCAGCAGGCCCTCCAGGTAAGAAGAGATCCAGAAAGTAGTTAGAAATGTGGGTCCTTGGCTCAGTATATGGAGTTGGTGTTGATAGATAGATAGATAGATAGATAGATAGATAGATAGATAGATAGATAGATAGATAGATAGATAGATAGATAGATAGATTAGATGATAGATAGATAGATAGATAGATAGATAGATAGATAGATAGATAGATAGATAGATAGATAGATCTGTAAATATGTGTGTTTGTATAATTTGCATAGAGTTGGTAGATAAAGCCACCGGAGTAGATGAGCTTGTCAAAGCAGGGCATGTAGTGATAGAAGTCAACTATAGATGCATTTAGGGGTCTAAACAAGGAAGTAGAGCTAGCCAAGGAGACGAAGAAGGAACAGTCAAAAGAGAAGAACCAGGAGAGTTCTTTGTCATAAGTATTTAGAAGGTGTGTTCAAAGAGGCAGAGGTCCAGAAGCAATTTCACTGGCGCATCAAGGAAATGATATTGCAGGGTCTGCTACATGGCGCAGTGGATAGACCACTGGTCCTGGAGTCAGGAGGACCTGAGTTCAAATGCAGCCTCAGACACTTGACGCTCACTAGCTGTGACCTTGGGCAAGTCACTTAACCCCATTGCCTAGCCAAAAAAAAGAAAAGATATAGCAAAGGGTTGATGCTAAGATGATAGTGAAGAAATATGGGCAACGAATGTTGAATACTCTTTTTAGAAAATTTGCAGTGAATGATGAGAGGAGGGAAAAAAATGGTACTGTAGCTTAAGAAAGTATTAGTTAAGAGAAAGTTACCCAGGTTAGGAGAGACATGAGCATATTTGTAGATGGAGGGGAAGGAACCAGTGAATAGGGAGACATCAACTTTGCAAGAAAACGAAGGCATTGTTGATAAAGCAGCTCCCATGGGAGCTGACAGGGATGTATTGGGAACAAGTGAAAAGGGGAATTTTGGCTGGAAAAAGAACTATCTCTTCCTATAAGACAGGAAGGAAGGATAGGTAATAGAGTAGTATGAGTTAAGGTATAGAGGAGGGAAGGTTTTGAAGTATGAACACCAGATGACCTCCACTCATTTATTTGGCACCTACTTTGAACAAGAAGGTATTAGAACACTAGAGAAAACACAAACAAGGCACTTGAGATGCTTATACTGTATAGTAAAGGTAAGTGAGATGTCAATAGGTAGGTACAAAAACATCTGTGATTTCATCAACATGGAGATCAGGGAAAGATTCACTGGGGAGGAAGCATCTCCTCAATAAAACAGGAAACAAAGTCTTTATGCAGAGTGGATGGGGGAAAGGATGTATACCAGATTGTATAAGGAAGGAGACAAAACTTGTGGAAATGCTATGAGATAGACATTGTGTGTGTGTGTGTGTGTAAAGACTTATTGATGTGTGCTATTGTTCTCGTAAAAAAGAAAAAAATCCTACAATTTTAATCTTTATCCCTGGGCCCATAACTGTAAAATCCTCATCTCAGGGCTGGGAAAGCAGGCTCCACCCACCAGCTGGTGGGCCTTATTGCTGCAGCCCTGTGAATTGGACAGTAGGGGGAGGTAGATCAGCAGGTTAGGTACCGCTTTCTCCCATCCTGTGCAAGTTCAGAATGAACAGCTTTCTCCAGCTGCTTTGGAAATGTGCTTTCCAACTCAACCCTCTTTATTAGTTTGCAAAGCTATTGATCTCTGCGTTAATTAACACTTTTGATTGTCTTCTAAACTTCCTCACAAAGCTGAGAGATTTACTACAGGATATGGCTGGTCTAGAGTGCTAAAGACCTCTGGTCCTTTGTATCCTTCCAGAAAGCTGGGTGTTTTTTCACTAAACTAAATACTTTGCATTTCTTGGAACCTGAGGAAGCTTTGTTTTAAAATTTTTATCAAATTCATCAGATTAACATATTTATATGTTAAGAAGTGCTTTCCTGAGAGACCATGAAAAACCTTTAAACATACATCATATCATGGTGTTTTTCCTTACATCAGCTGAGTTGTAGAGCATGCTCTTAGGATTGTCAGGGAGGGTTAAGGTAGTAACAGCAGCTGTTGGTAGGTTTCTCTTCAATAAAAAGCTGGCAATTATCTGAGGGGCTGTCGACTATTTTTTAAATATCCTAAAAGTGAGTGCCAGTTATGAAGTATAAACAGTGTTGCATTTGCAAATGAGCTCTATTGACATGGCCCTTTATTTAAATATTTAAACTAATTTCTTTTGGTTATGAATCTTCGTTACCCTTGAGGTTTTTGAAAGTTTGTTTCCCATAAATGGGCTTCTGACTGCTCTTATTGACGCATCTTCCTCTGTGTTCTGTTGCCTCTCTGCTGAGGAAAAGCCACCTCATGTCTTGGAGTCGTAGATTTAGTGATAGAAAAAACCTTATTGATCATCCAGTCTAACCCCCTCATTCTGTGCAGTTCAGTGACATGCCCAAGCTAACCCAGTGTGTAGGTACCAGAGCCAGGCTGCAAACATAGATCCCCTGCCTCCAAACCCAGTGTTCTTTTCATCATATCACACTGCTGGTTGTCACATTTATCAATGAGTTTAGGCAGCCTTGTGGACACTGGATAGTCAAGAAGACCTGAGTTCCAATTCAGCCTCAGTCCATTAGGCCACTGACATATGTAAGTTTCTAAGAATCAAGCTGTCACTTAAAATAATCCTTACTCATTCACCAGGTTTGGCATCACCCACGGCCATAACGCCAATAAGCTCCCCCTTCAGCAATAGAACAAAGGGAACCACACCAATCTCCAAGCCCCTTGAAGGTAAGGAACCAAAAATTGCTGATTTTTTTTCAGTGCCAGCCAGTGAATATTTTCTCACCTGTGCCTTCTTTCTTTCTCAGATATAGAAGCCAAACCCGATATGCAGTTAGAATCTGACCTGAAGTTAGATAGGCTGGAATCATTTCTAGGGAGGCTGAATAACAAAGGTAAGTAGCAGAGGCTCAGTGGGGAAGCCGTTTGCTTTGGGTCCCAGACTCCTCCCCAGCTGAGGTTTCGGGGGTGCACAAAAACTTTTCAAATCTGCCCCTAGAGCTGAGGTTTCTGAACCTAAGCCCTGGCTCTCCCGGGTCTGCAGGTTTGCTGCTCCCTCTGAGACTTCCCTACTTCCCCATCTCCCTCCTCCCTCTGGTCCCTCCCTACAACTATCCACCTCCCCCCCCTTTAGAGAAGCAAGCACTTTCTATCATTTGATCAAGATAAATCCAGCATTTAGCACAAAGCAGAAGGTGGGTTTAGAGCAAAGGTCCTTAATCTACCTTTCCTGGACCCCTGCTCACAATCAGGTTTGTAAAGGTGCACAATTCAGGTTTGTAAAGGTGCACGATTACATGCAGAGGGTGACAAAGGAAACCAATGTTTTAAAATACAGTTATCAAAAATTATTATTATTATTATTATTATTATTATTATTATTTTTTGGCTAAGCAATGGGTTTAAGTGACTTGCCCAGCGTCACACAGCTAGTAAGTGTTATGTGTCTGAGGCTGGATTTGAACTCAAGTCCTCCTGACTCCAGGGCCAGTGCTCTATCTACTGCACCACCTAGCTGCCCCTCAAAAATTATTTCTTAAAAATTTGTAGCCTCTGGGTTAGGAGCCGCTGGTTTTAGTGGGTAAAGATTGAAGAGAGCAAAGAAAAGCAGACTGAAAAAACCACAGTCTACTTTCTCTGCATTTTATAAATGTTTTTGAATGTAGGACTTAACCTAGATTTGTTCTTCAAGCCTTGGGTCATCTTTAACCCAGAATCATAGACTCAGTTCCTTTCATTGACTTCTTTTATGTAGTGGATGTGGGAAGGGGTTGGGAAATACGTATTAGATGGCTCATAGGGTCAAAGCACCAGCACTCAACATCAGTTTTATCACCAAACCTCTGCTTAACTAATAAAGGCATACAACGGCAGCTTGTTGGGCAGTGCATAGAATGCTAGGGTTGAAGTCAGTAAGTTCATATCTTCCCTCAGACACGTACTAGCTGTGTGACCCTGGATAAGTCATTTAACTTCTGCCTGCCTCAGTTTCCTCATTTGTAAAATGGGGGTAAAGATAGCCCCTTACCTCCTAGGGTTGTTGTGAGGATCAAGTGAGATAAGAATTTCAAAGTGCTTATTAGCACCGTGCCTGCATGCTATATAAATGCTATTGTTGTTGTTGTCCATCCATTTTTGAATCTGGAATTTTTTCTTTACTTTAGGGGAAAAAAGTCTTTAAAATATTAAGCCAACAATATTTTGGGGAAGGGATTTTTTTTTCTTTTACTCTACATAAACTACAATTCTACTCTTTGTTTTTTAGTTGGTGGTATGCAAGAAACCATTCTCACTGTTACTGGAAAAACTGTGAAAGAGGTGATGAAACTGGATGACTATGAGACCTTTTCCAAATTTTACCGCAGCGTGGATTCACCTGTGCCTCTAGGAAGAGTGGAGCTAAACGAGGACTTTGATGCCATCTTTGATCCTTATGCTCCCAAGTGAGTTTCATTCTCTCCATCTCTTCCTCCTCTCTCTCTCCCCTCCCCACATTCCCGCCCCTTCCACTTTTTCCCTGGATGAAAATTTCTAAATAGCCATATCAGAAGATCCTTTCCTAAGTAGAACAGGACTTCATAATAACAGTTTGCCATTTCTTGGAGTATGATAATAGTATGGGCAAAACAAAACTGCCATGCTGTAAAGAAAGCCTTATGTACCCTAACTTAGGACAGCCAGGGAGATTAGTTCCATTACTTGGCTCCAGCAAACAGAATGGAGTTCTCTCTGGTGTTATTCCCACAATTATGGGATCTTTGTTGTTGTTTGTTTTCAGATTTGGGATAAGAATAGACAGTTTTCTGAAAATGTCTTCAGTAAGTATATTGAATTCTGTGATTTCATCAATGATGGGAACTCCCAGTATGGGAACTCCCTCTACCAATACAGATCAGTGACTTGCCTGTAACTTAAAGCCTCAGAGCTGGAGATGTTGGGATTTTCTCAGGGTCACACAGTCAGTATGTGGCAGAGACAGGACATGAATCAAGGACTTCCTGACTGTAGCCCTTTACCCACCAGGCTATGCAGTCTCTCTAGTTCTAGGATGGGGGAAAAAAATGGATTTCATGAAACCAGATCTAAATCAAGTCACTAGAAAATCCTTAAAGAATGTTAATCCTTATCCAGTTATGAGCTAGAATTTTCTAGTTCTAGATCTAAAATAAATCTCCAAGCCATCAGAACCTAGACCCCTAACCATAAGAAGTAATGTCATTCCAATGAAAGATAGAAGGTCATTTGTCCCAATTTGTTCAACAGTAGCATGGCTGCTTCATGAAATTGCATTTGCCCTTTCACCAGTGGTGAGAACCATCTCTTGAGATTGACAGGGAAGGTTCTCCTGTATTGGGTGGTAGCTTAGACTTCAGATAAGTCCCTTTTTAATGCTAAGATTCTCCTACTCCACAGGATAGCTCTAGGATAATAGTAAAATTGTAGGAATTATAAAAGAATGGCAGGAAGCAAAAGGGTAGAAACACCACCATTGGTAGAGCCAGTATCCCTCAATAGAATGTTTTCCTGATAAAAATGGAGGTCGATGGTAGTTTGCAACCAAAATAGCTCAATCTCCTTTGCTTCTTAGGCTGACTTCTTCTGTAGCAGAGCACAAACGCGCTGTTAGGCCTATGCGCAGAGTTCAGTCTTCAAGAAATCCTTTGAAAATGTTGGCAGCAAGAGAAGATATTCTTCAAGAATATACTGAACAGAGATTAAATGTTGCTTTCATGGAGTCAAAGCGGATGAAAGTTGAAAAAAGTAAGTATCTAATTGGCATTGTTTAATTCAACTCAACATTCATTAAATACTTACTATTTGTAAGGCATCCTGCTAGATGTTGGGGTTGCAGAGATGGGGAAAATGGGACAGTCCATATATACAGCTTTATGGTCTAATAGGAAGGTATATGACAGGTACACAAATTCATGTAGTATAAGGTAAAATGTGATAGAAGCAAAAAATGTCCAGGTGAAGTAAAATAAAAAATCCAAGGCTGAAGAGAGCCTTTTGCCCTGGGATAAAAGGGAGGGCTTTATCCAAGAGGTGGTTGACTTGAGTTGGGCTTTAATGAAAGGGAGGGGTTTCAACAGCTGGAGATTAAGGAGTCTTTTCAAAGTACAGTGGGAGGAAAGAAGGTAGGATGGAAGTTAAGGGTCACCAGAGAATAGTATAATTTGGGCATAATGTAAAATAGGTGGAGAAAGGGAAGTAGAGGGAATCCTAGGCAGACAGATTGGAACTAAGTAGTAGAAGGCCCTGAATGCCCTGGTCAGGAATAGGCAATAGGGAGCCAAAGGGTTTTCAATAGAGTGATCATGGTGGTACATTAGGAAGATAACTTTGGCAACAGTGTAGAACACAGGCCTGGAGACAAGGAGAGACTAGTGAGGAGCCTTTTATGATACTGTAGATGAGAAAAGGTTTAGATCCGAACTATGGTGCTTGCAGTGTGACTAGAGAAGGACAGAACAGAAAAAGCCAAAAGTGGGGTGAATAGCCAGAGCAAAATGATTGTTCGGTGTTAGATGCCATCATGAGATGAAAGGGGATGGAGAGAGGGGGAAAAGTGCTATTACATGCACCGATAAAGAGGCCAACATGCACGAGTTGTTTGAATAGAATAGTGGATATGAAGGTAAGATTTTGAAGAATTAATGAAGATGGTGATGAATTCAAAGTAGTATCAACTACTATTTCTAGAAGTTTGGGAGTGAACAGGAGGACAGTAGCTTGAAGGAATGGTAGTATCTCAAGGGAAGGAATTTTTAGGATAAAAGTGAAAAGCACATGCTGCAAAGGAAAAAAAAGTAGAGAGGGAGAAATGGGTGACACATAAAAGAAATGAAATTTTGGAAGGAACAGAGTCAAAAAAGACTGAAAGGGGTAGAATTGAAGGCATAAATGGAGAAGCTAACTTTTAGCAAGGAGGAGGACCTCTTTATTCTCTTGAGTGTAGAGGGAAGAAGACCAGAATGCAATTTCTTGTTGGAGAAACAGGTTATTGCAGTCACCTCAGTTATTTGATAATTGGAGTAGAGGGATAATGCAGGTTAGCTGCTTTTACATAGAACGCAATTGTCATCTCTTGATCCCCTGAACACATACGTATGTAACTACGTGTCAAGAGTTACACATAGACTTTTCTTAGCATTGCTATGATTTATTAATCATTTATAATTATGTATATAATTATATATGTATATAATACATGTAATTAGAAGGAGTTTGCATTCCATAAGTACAAAGTAATTGATAATAGGGCAAGGATGAAGCAGGTATAAATTTGTCAAGGGGACAGGGGAGGGAGGCCAACCTGAAACTTAAAGTTTGCCACAGAAAATCACAAAATATATTGTTTGAAAAGGTAATTAATATTTTGTGTGTATTGAGGGAAGGTGTTTGTTTTTGGTCATTTAACCTTTTTTTTTTTTTGCTCTGTCAAGTCCCAAACCTAATACTAATTCATCACCTGATCTTAATCAGAGGAAATTAATTTGACCTTTCATGGGAAAATTAACAACAACAAAAAAAAAAACTTAGCATTGCTAAAATTATATCCAAGATCCATTTTCTTTTTTTCTATAGAATGACTCAATTTCAGAAATTACACACCTCCCAAAACACCTGACAACAGTTCATGTTTTTCAGAGACCCCTCAATTTCAGAAGGATCATGAGTGTCATGATGACTTGTACTCACACTTGGTTTACTTTTTAATTTTTAACCAATCAGATATTTATTAACTATTTACTACATGCAGGGCATTCTAGTAGATGCTGTAGGACTTGGTAAGAAATGGTTCCTGCTCATAAATAGCTTATATTCTGGGAGATAAAACAGGTAGGCATGAAGATACATCATTTCCTTCCTCAGATCAGTGCAAAAATAATTGGTATAAGAAGGATTTGACTTGTGGGTTTAGAAGAAAAGACTATTCCTAGCTGTAGTGCTCAGGTAAGGTGGGACTTGAGCTAGTTCTGAACATCAGAGAAAGTTTAGCTTGGGGGAGGAGGGAAGCGGGCAAGTGGAGAGAATGAGGTGACCACATCCTGCCATGCCTGTGTTCTTGATGTATGTGTATTTTTCTGAAACTCATGTGCCTGATTTTATAAAGCTTTTCATAGAAGTAAATTGTTAGGTGAAAGAGCTGAGATTTCTCTTTAAACTGCATAGAAAGCCAATTTCAAAACTGCTTGTGCTATAGATTGTTTGCCAAGTCGTACTATATTCCTTCAATTTTAGACATGAATCCCAGGGAAGTATTTTTCTGAATTACACATCGGAAAAGTCATTCCCACTAATGCTGAGTTGGGAAATCAAGGCGTTCTTGGCACCCATTCTGTTCTTAAAAAAAAAAAAAGATTAAAATAAGCCCTTGCTTTGTGATATCTGGCATGTAAATGGGCTGGTTTCCACTAGAAAACTCAGCTTCTTATAAATTGAAATTTTGGGCCTGATTATAAAGGACCTCAAGAGGTAAATCAGTCTATCCTTTTTCCTCTGGGAAAGAGCACAAGTAAAATGTCCCATACAAACTGTTTTTCTTTCTTATTAAAAAAGCCTTCCAGTGAAAAAAAGATTCAACAGCTTTCCTGTAGACATTGTTCCAACATCTAAAAGCCGTTAGCAATGGTTATGACAGCTTTCAAGGGAATTGCAGCAAATTAGTTTTAGCCCCTCTCCACTTTATGTTGAAGTGGTTGGCCAATAACGTCACTCAATTTTGGCTGTACACAGGGAGGTGTTATGCTTGTCAACCAACAGTATAGGCTTTCATAACCTTATTTAATTCTTAACTTAATAGTCGACCATCAGAATAGAGAGCCCATCAGATGGAGATAGGCTCTTTTCAGAGGCAACACTTAAGTGGGAACCATTTCTAAATGTTAACTTGGTTTCAAAATGTAAATGGCCCCATCCCTACCTACCCACCACCAACCTTGTTTCACTCCATGCTTTTTAATGTTCTATCTTCAGTGTCTGCCAACTCGAATTTCTCAGAAGTCGCCCTGGCCGGATTAGCTAGTAAAGAAAATTTCAGCAGTGTCAATCTACGGAGTGTCAACCTAACAGAACAAAACTCCAACAACAGTGCTGTGCCTTACAAAAAACTGATGTTGCTACAAATTAAAGGTAGGTGTGCCTGGGTATCTAAAGTGATCGTGGAAAGATACTCTGTTAAGTCAGTCTTCCCGTGACATTATAAGTCTTTGCCTGCCCTCAGGAAGTTACTTCACATCTGCAACAAAGCAGGAGCCGTCATCCAGGTCAGCAGGTATTGATTGAACTTACACGGAGATTTAGCCATTGACCTTGTGGATTCCCTAATCATACTATTCTAGTTTTTAGAGAAAGGCGCAGCAGGGGAAGTAGGCAGTATCAGTCATTACAGTAAAATGGTAGAATAGGGAAGGGAAGGGCTAACAGCAAAGGAAACATTGGTAGTCACCAAGGAATCTGAGGAGTACCTCGGGGGTATTTCTATCAGACGCATTGAAATCTCTAAAGCCTTCTTAGAACATTATGTTAAGAAGTAGGGAAATAATGGAAGAAAATAGTCTCTATTGGAAGACCTCATAGCGTAGGGGCTGTTTATCCAATCCCTTCCAAAGATTCCAAAGATCTGGTTTTTTCAGGTTGAAGTAGGGCAAGAATAAGATAATGATAGTAATATCTAGCATTTCTACAGGACTTGAAGGTTTTGCAAAGGGGTCTGGAAGAGGTTGTGTCATGAAGCAGCTGGGTGGTGCTATGGGTAGAGTGGCTTACTTAGAGATAGAAAGAAGTTATGCAACTTGGCGCAGGGTCAAACTCGAAAATATCTTTTGAGTATTAGAGTTCAGATTCAAATCTTCATGGCTCCAAGTCCAAGACTCTCTCCATTGTGACACCAACCCATCTCCCATAAATTGTAGGGAGAGCATCTTGCAAACCACAAAGCATAAAATATTAGCTACTAGAAATAGGTAGCTAGCTAGCTCTAAAGCCTATATTAAGCATGTACGAGATAGCATACGTTATGCCCTATTATTGTTGTTGTTGTTGTTATCCTGCTATCGTCCATAGTGGTTTGGTTCTGTTTTCTTCCCAATGACCGTCACCTTGGTTTACCTGAATGATTTCCTTCATGATGGGTGACAGCTATTGGTGGGAGACTTCTGTTTCTCAGTTCATGCCCCCAAAACCATATTGGCATAATCTTTGCCATTTTTTATTAAGATTTGATCACTTTTAAAAATTTAACATTTATTTAAAACCTATCATACATGAGACACCTGGGGTAAGAATAAAAATCTTAGTTCTTGCTCTGGAGGATATTACAAAGTAAAAAGAGGAGTAAGAAATTTACACACTATAACTGAATGTAGTTGCTCACATAACTGTAATTCAAGGCAGAGTAGAAAGGAGAAGCTCAAGGCTCTTCGAGAGATTTGAGAAGGAAATTCTATTCAGCTGGGTCAAGGGGCAGGCTTCCCGGAGGAGGCAGCTCCTGACTCTGCCAAACCATTAACAACATGCAGGAGGTGCGGTTCAAATCGACCTTCCTGCTGAAGTCCATGCTTTCTTAGCGGTTCCTGAGAAACTTCGCACTCAAGGGGGAAGGTTCACTTCTGAGCAGGAGGCTTGAGATTCTGTGTGCAGTGAATCTGTGGTACCCCCTCAGACCCTTGGGACCCCATCCCCAAGCTGGCACCTGCCCTGAAAATGGTGCCATCCCGTAAATGATGTTCATGTCAATGTTCCAGAGGAGAAACGCTGATATTCATAAAATGAGCATGTGGTATAGTAGGTGCAGGTGAACATAATGTAGTCTAACTACAATTCCAGCAAGCTGCTATTTTAATGTAATCATGTTTCCACTCCTGTAGTGGAGGGTGGGGAGAGGACAAGTAATAGGAAATGAAAAGACTAGGAATGTTTATAATCAGAAATACTTTAATTGCAATATGTCACATGAGACAGTATTGCTTTATGAGGGCACAGTGAACTTTTATTTCATGTTTAGGAAGAAGAAATGTGCAGACGAGATTAGTGGAGCCACGAGCTTCATCACTGAATGGTGGCGATTGCTTTCTGCTGTTAACTCCCCACTACTGCTTCCTGTGGGTAGGAGAGTTTGCAAATGTCATTGAGAAAGCTAAGGTTAGTATCCTAACGAAGCATCTCTTTTATATAGGTAGAATTGTCTGGACCTGGTAGGACTATTGCAATGTTTCCAGGATATAGAGTGGCCCATTAAGTCAATAAAGGCTAGATAGGTTCTATTTCCCTGAATCCTTTCCATGAAGCATAAAAGCTGGAATGCTCGAAGATAAATAGGACATCCTCAGAAAAGTGTTGCACATTCATGCCAAAAGGTAGAATTCTGAATTGCAGGGTTTCCTCTTTACTCCAGTGTAAAAGAGAAATACGCATGCCTATCAATCCAAAGAATTGGGACACCTGGTACTTCCCCCCAGTTTTTGTTGTTTTTAGTGAAAATAGCTTTAAATGACCAACATTCTTGGGGCCTCTCTACTCTCAAGATTGCCCTTTCACACGCTCGCCTTTGGTCTGATCTCAGTGTGTACAATTACCCATCGGAATGACCTATTCTATCAGGATAATTATGTTAATCTCTTAGGCATCAGAGCTTGCAACTCTAATTCAGACGAGGAGAGAACTCGGCTGTAGAGCTACTTATATTCAGACCATAGAAGAAGGAATAAATACGCATACCCATGCAGCAAAAGACTTCTGGAAACTCCTGGGTGGCCAGACGAGTTACCAATGTAAGTGTTAATTCTTTTTAGACTCTGACCAGACTGGAATCCCTTCTCTCCTCCTCCCCCTTCTGCCACCCAGTAATCCTCCCAAACTCCTCTTTGAAATAACTCTTATGTGAAATTCACCATTCAATGATGTGTTCTTCTCCCTAAAGCTGCCGGAAATCCAGAAGAAGATGAATTGTATGAAACTGCCATCACAGAAACTAATTGTGTTTATCGCTTAGTAGAAGATAAACTTGTTCCTGATGACTACTACTGGGGCAAAATACCAAAATGTTCCCTTCTGCAGCCAAGAGAGGTACAGGGAATGGCAATGGGCAGGCCTCTTGTGTACGCCATATTGGCAGCTCTTAAAACCATGTTTAAATTTCTTAAAGAGTTGTTTTCCTCTGGATTCTAACAACCATTCCATGTCAACCCAGTGCAAAGGAAACCCAGAATATTATTTTGCAGGGAAGTAGTTTAGTAGAAGTTTTCCTTTTCTGACTCGGCTAAGACTTAATTATTTGTTAGCTCAGCCCCCTGGTTTGGCTATTAACATCAGTCTTATATAATATTTTCTAAAGTATGTTTATTCAATAGAAAATTGCAGGAAATGTCATATGTATCTATACACACACATACATACACATGTACAATATGTATATATATTTATATCTATTTTATTATATGTATTTATTTTTTGTATGTATTTATTGGGAAATTAGCAGCTATGCTGGTGATTTCATTCGTTTAAAAAGTTTAGTATTGAAACAATGTCCACTGGTACAGGTGGCATAGCAGATAAAGCATTGTACTTGGAATCAGGAAGACCTCAGTTTGAGACGTGTTTTGCTAGCTGTGTGACCCTGGGCAAATTACTTAACCTCTCTCTGCCTCAGTTTCCTTGACTATAAAATGGTGATAAGGCTGTTATGATGATCAGTGTGTGAGATAACATATGGAATGCCCTTTATAAACCTTCAAGCGCTGTATAAATGCTAGCTGTTTGTAATTTATAACCTTAATACTGTTGCCTGGGGCAACAGGTTAAATGATCTGCATGTCTTGAATCAAGATCTTCCTGACTTCAGGGCCAACTTTCAATGTACTATGACATACTGCCTCTCCTGTTTATACATGTGTGTGTGTGTGTGTGTGTGTGTGTGTGTGTGTGTGTACACACAGCAGCAGGTTATCTATTAAATGTGTACTCAGCTCTACCTAAGACTAGCCAGAACATGCAAAAGCTATATAGAATACAGTCCCTGTCCTCAAGAAACCTAAATATAGGAAAGAGATAGAAAAGTTAGAGCTAAAGAATAAGGCGAAACAGTGTATAAGCAAGGACCAGTTAGTAGGGGGAGGACGTGGTGAGCTCCCGATTAATGCAAATAATGAATTGGTAACATTATTCAAACTCACACTGCATATTTCCACTGGGACAGAATGAATTCCATATTTTGTATAATTGTCATTTCAAATAGTACAAATCCAAATACATACAACCACTTCATGGGATTCATTATTCACACTAATTGGGACCTGACTGTGCAGATACCTTTAGGAGTTAGACAGTGGAATACTCAATATGGTCAAGAGGAGATGTAGCTTGAATGGAGTATGAAAAGGAAGAGAAATGTTGGATTCTGAAAGAGAAAGAGGGTATGGCATGTCAGAAGGGGAGGAATCAAATAAGCCCATAGAACAGAGATGTCAGTTCACATATTATTTCCTTGTTCGCTCACTTATACATTATTTATTCATCAAACTAACCTTTCTGCCAAATACAAAGATGAATTAAGACCTGGTCCCTGCCCTCAAACTTCTATCTAGAAAAAAAGAATAGTAGAAATAACTGATAGAAGGTAGAATCTATAAGTATCCATCAACGTGATGCAAGAAATGGGGGCTGAGGAGCCCAGTTTGAGGAATGGGAAGATGACTTATAAATGTGTGAGGACATGGTAAAGGGATGAGCCAGAAGGAAACAGAGAGCTCATCAGAAGGAAGAGGAGAGAAAGCTTAGCCCCACAAAAGCAGCTGCCAGTATATATGGTTTTCTTTAGACTGTTCAAGCAGACTGTGTCTCATTGCACAGTAAAAATAACTGCTTCTCTCTGAATGAGTGAGTCCTCTGAAGAGCTCACCAGAATCTTCTGTTTCCTTTTCACAGGTCTTAGTGTTTGATTTTGGCAGCGAAGTTTATGTATGGCATGGGAAGGAAGTCACATTAGCACAGAGAAAAATAGCCTTCCAATTGGCAAAACACTTGTGGAATGGGACCTTCGACTATGCCAATTGTGACATAAATCCTTTAGACCCTGGAGAGTGCAATCCTCGTATACCCAGGTACTGTGGCAGCATGGTGGCTTGGCTCAAGAGGGGCATGTAGTCATGAGTGGGCGCCATTTTTCTGCATCAGTCCCTTTTCACAATTGGTCATGAGGTGGTATGCAAATCACAGCCTGCTCAGTATGTGACGGCATTGTTTCGAGGTTTTAAAAACTAACCCCATTTTCAGGCAATAATTTCTCATTGTTTTCTGGAAGATGTTTAATGACCTCTTTTTAATTTGTTGCAATGAACAAGCATTTTCCACCTGCAGCTTTCTAGCTGCCAAGAAGGTCAGGGAACAGTACTGGTTAAACGCACTGATAAGAAAATGGTCCAGCATCCATGATTCAGTGACTATGACTTCTTGATCTGAGGTATGGGCAACATAAGTCAAAATTCCTCCAATTCCCTTTTTAAAAATCTTTACTGATATCTTTTATGTAGGCAATATGATCACCTATATTTTTCAATGTATTCCCATCTCTCCCTTTTCAGAGAGCCATCGTTGATAATAGAATAAAAAGGAAAGTGGAGGGGGAAGTTTAGCAATACTCCCTGTACCTTCAAACCTAGAGAGCCTGGCTTGTCTGGATACTTAAGCCTCAATGTAACAAACTGACCTTTTGGCCATGAGTTATGTTGCTTTTATGGTGGTAACATTTTCTGTCTTAGTGAGCACTGAATGTTAGAAGGCCATTTGGACTAGCCAATTTGACCCAGGCTGGAGCTGCAAAGCCCTCAGCTTAGTGAGCAGGGAGATTCCTTAACCAGGGGTGGAGATCCTGTGAACTTGAGGCCACCTGTGGCTCTCTAGGTCCTCAAGTGTGGCCCTTTAAGTAAATCCTGGATTCAGGCTGCACTTGAGGACCTAGAGGGCCACAGGTGGCCTCAAGTCCACAGGATCCCCACCCCTGAAACATTGCCCCTATCTTTTTCTGATTGTTGTAATGTGATGCCCTGTCAGTCACTGATTACCCCATGCCACTACAAACTCTATAGTGTTTCCCTAACTTTGCTTCGTAGGAACCTTGGCCTGTACATATGACTCCCACTCCACTTTGAGCCTTATACTCTCAGACTCCCAACCTCTTTTTCCTAACTAGCTTCTGTTCTATATATAGAATTCTAGCTCTGATCTCAGAACAATTTATCCCAGTATTTTAATTAATTTAATAGATATTATTGCCTGAAAACGGGATTAGTTTTTAAAACCTCAAAACAATGCTGTCGCATAGTGAGCAGGGAGTAATTTAATTAATTTAATAGAATTTAAAATTAAATTTACTTTTAAACATATTATTTTTATTTATCTCAAGATATTACATATCTCATCACCTCTTTCCCTAAGTTTATTTACTCCCTTATGATGCTGATTTATACCATCTTGAAAAAAACATGTTTTTAGAACCACAGAATTATGATGGAAGAGGAGGAAAAGACGTTATTAGTGATCTATCCAACTCTTTAATTTAGATAAGAACACTAGAGATGAGACCCAGACAGCAGAAGCAGTTTTCCCAAGGCAACATAGATACATAGCTGGGACTGCCTTTTTGGTCTCTGTTTCCTTGGGCTCCGCTAATGTCATTTACTTATATTTTAGACCTAATATTTAAAAAAATGATAATAAGACTTGCATGTGGTAAAGTCTCTTTTTATTTTCAGAACTCACGTCTGTGCCATTTGCTGTGCAAGGGGAAATTGTCTTCTAAAGCTCATACTTTAGTCTAGGATTTTATATCTTTAGAAGCTGAAATGTACTCTTGAATATAGCACCCAGAGAAGCATGTGTGAAGATGCATATGTGTGTGTATGCAATGAGCTAAGAATCTAATAAAAGTAAAGTGCTTCCTTCCATCCTTCAAAAGGTTGAGGTTCCCCTCCCCTTAATGGATATCATTTGAATGTTAAATTTTTGTTTTGAATTCTACATGAAAACCTGTAGAAAATTCCCATGGGACAGGACACTTACTATAATTTTACCAATGCAATTTGCATCTCAGTTTTGTAGAGGACTGAAAAGTGCTAGCTAAGCGTCCAAAGAGGATGGAGCAGCAGGGTGGCCATCAGGTGTTTAGTAAGCAAGCGTGCATTGGGAGCACAAAAGAAACTGGCTCTTGTAGACGCTTCCTGCCTTTCAGATGCTTACAGCCTCACTGGAGAAACATAGTGAACACGTGGAGCAATAATTAGCGAACCCTCTAGGACAGGAAATGATCAGGAGGCCCAGAATTAAACAGAAAGAAGAGGAGAATGAGCTAAAATAGCATTTGGGGAACTTTGAAGTACTTTCAGTGATCCAGCATTGCTCCCTGGGTTTTACACACTAGTTTTCTCCTGATGGCACCATATGGCTAGAAACTATCCATAGAAGACCCCAATCCTAGAGAAGACAAAATCTCAGGTTTTCCAAAGGGTAATGGAAGCTCTAAGTAGGCTGCAGCATGTGACCACTGCTACCTAGCTCATGAGAAGTGGCATTCAAAAAGGACACCATCTGGAAAGGGAGAGATAGCCAGTAGTCAGCTTGAGTGCCACATTGGAATCCGTGAAATATGGGTTAAATTTAGTGTTTTTAATAATTTTAAGCTATTAAAGCCTAAAATTAAGACTTTTGGGGATGCTCAATATGAAGAGACCCAGAGATGGGCCATCATTATGTTGGGAGGATCCTCCATAGTGGAAAGTCACAGAGGAGTCTCACTCAAGATAAGAAGTCATGGAGTGGCTCTTACCTGCACTAGGAGAGAGAGTGAGATCGCATAGATTCATCAGCGTACAAACAATAAGTCACGGGCCTGTTGTTTTCCAGTATGATTTCCATTTTTGCTATGTAAACTAACAAGAGGCTTCCAGGAATCTTATTCTTAGCCTAGTCTGCTAACTCCTCTTAACTCTATTAAAAAAAAAAAACTAAACTTCACTGAGACTCTCTAACTGCAAGGCTGTTTGCCACTGTTTTGCGTGCCTTGCATTGTTGGGGCCCCTGTCAGAGAAGAAGATTGACCTAGACAGTCTCAGTGGTCTCTTCTAGCATGGTGAGTCTGTGACTCAAATGACTTCTTGCTCCCCAGACTCTCATTTTCATAGATCATTTCAGGGAGGTTCACAGGGCAATTTTTGCATCACAGTATATTACTCACCATTCTATTTTTGCTGCTCCGTTTTGTGGTATCACCCCAATAGCAGGATGGCAAATTGTGCCAGATGTGTCTGTAATTTGCCTTATTTATATGCCCTTACCTGCCTTATAGTTATGATCCACGGATCAAATTGAGGGCTAATTGAAATATATTGACTATGATTTTTTTCCCCCAAGATTAAAATTTGGATTACCAAAAAAACCCAAAAACTATGGTTTATGCATCCCAAAGCAATGAACCTATGGGGAAAAGTCATTTGGAGTTTTAAAGAAGTAGACCCCTAGGCTATAAACTATGTACATGATTAAAAATAAAATTAACCTCAAATTTTTCCATTACAGTGACATCACTTTAATTTTAAGAGACTTTTAAAATCACATAAGTAAAAATCTTTCATTGGATAAATGGGGAAACTGAGGCTCAGGGAAATTAAGTGACTTGCCCCAAGTTATCAATCTAATTTTTGGCAGACCTGAGACTGAAACCCCAGTTTCTTTCCTGGTAATGGGCCATTCTATTGTACCATATGATTTCTTCCTTGCTACAAGTGCAGAACTTTGAGAAATAAAAGTTGGGAAAGCACTTTGCCGCTTACTCTTAAAAAGTAAGCCAGCCTAACAAGCCTGCAGAGCATCCTAGATTTAAAGGACACCACCACAATGAAAAAGCACAGCCCTTCACAGCATTCTTGTTTTTGCTCATACACCTGAGTTATGGTTCCTTTTGAAGACTTCTTTTCCCAGGTGATGACCTTGATTTGTTTCCCCCATCCACTAAGAATATAAAATCTAGGTTTGAAAACAAATGGCAACTGATCATGCTAGATGGGTCACGGTACTGACAGGAGCCATCTGAAACAGACCATTGGGATCAGTGCTGTCCCCTTAAGTCCTACTCCAATGGATCATTATTATGCCTTGGAGATGACTCTAGGTTTTCTTTTTTTAAATAGTTCTTTTTTCTTAATTATTGAGTTCCAAATTCTCTCCCTCTCTCCCATCCTTCCCCCATCCACAAGAAGGCAAGCAATATAATATCAGTTATACATGTGAAGTTATGCAAATTAGAGACTCTAGGTTTTCAAAGGCCATTCCAAAGGAAAATAAGATCTGATAGGACTTGCCAAGCTGGAAAGTCTGTAGAGTATGAGCCCAGAAATAGGTTATATGCCTATTGTGAGAAGGTCAGGCTGGCTGAGGACAGAGAAGCTCATTACCAGAAGCTTGGCCATCAGGTTATTGATGCCTAAGGCAACTCATGCAACCATCTACCAAGATGTAAAGGGTTTAAGGTCTGGGACAGTGGAGTCAGGGCCCACACTGATGAAATCCCAGATCTTTCAAAGGATTGAAGACAGACATAGTGAGGGGCTCAATCTTTTCCCATAACGAAAGACCTGGCTTTGAAAAATTAGAAATATCTATAATTGAAATATCTGTAATTTCTAATTCTTTAAAGCCAGCTCACTGATTGTGCCATGAAAATCCCCTAGTGTGCACATCACCACATCTTATTTCAGTCCTTTCTCTACCTTGCCCTAACACGGGAGAGTCAGACTGGGAAAATAGCCACTTTTTTTTTTTTGGCTTTTAGGCAATTGGGGTTAAGTGACTTGCCCAGGGTCACACAGCTAGTAAGTGTCAAGTGTTTGGTCTGAGGCCGGATTTGAACTCAGGTCCTCCTGTCTTCAGGGCCGGTGCTCTATCCACTGAGCCACCTAGCTGCCCCCAAAATAGCCACTTTCAAGAGAGCTTTAGTGCTTATTTTCCCAGCCTGACTTTTTTCCATGTTAGGGCAAGAAGGTAAAGAAAGACAGATTCTAAAGTGCAAAGAAAGTTGCGATTATTCCAAGTTCACATTCATCTTGCTTTTCTTTTAGTTTTGCTATCTGTTCCTGTTGTCTCAAATTGCCTTTCTCGTGGCCTTTGAAATTAATATTTTAATCCATAAAAGTCCATTTTGTAAAATATGAAAATAGACTGCATTAGAGCTACAAGGAAGGACCTCAAAACCTAAGTACACTGGAGGGTCCCCAAACTACAATGCCATAGAAAATGGAATTCACCAGAAACTGGATCTCTTGTTAGGTTTCAACCAAAGGAACCCCTTCCTGGAAGTACAGAGAAATCTGCCTTTCACATGGTCACTGTTCCATAGAAACTCCAAAGTTCAGCATTGTAGCTGAGCTGCTGTGTCATACTAGCAAATTCCTATTCTGTGTAACCAAGTCTTGAAAACATGCACTTAAAATGTTCTTGTGTATGGGGTTTGCTGTTCTTATTATCCAAATGTGGTATTATTAGTATGGGGACTTCGTTGATTTGTATTGAAAATAAATATTAGTGTGCACTCTCTCTCCTTCTCTATGTGTGTATGTGTGTGTCTCTCCCTATCTCCCTCCCTCTTTCTTCTCCCTTCTCTCTCTCTCCCTCTTCCTCCGCCTTCCTCTCTCTCAATCTGTCTCTCTCCCCCCTCCTTCTCTTTCCTTCCTCCTTCTCTTTCTCTCTCTCTCTCTCTCTCTCTCTCTCTCTCTCTCTCTCTCTCTCTCTCTCTCTCACTCACTCCCTTCTCCTCCTCTGCTTCCATCACATCCTTATTTGTCTTTCTTCCATAGAAAAGGACAGGGGCGACCTGATTGGGCAATATTTGGAAGACTCACTGAGCACAATGAGACTATTCTCTTCAAAGAAAAATTTCTTGACTGGACTGAAATGAAGAAGCCTTATGAAAAGAACTCCAGTGAGCTCACCCCACAGAAGGTATTCCATTTGTCCTCATTTGGCATTTAGGGTGTTGTTTATTCTCCCCGAAGGGAGGGCACTGAAGCTGAAAATGTTCCCTCTCAGGCTCTCCTTGTAGAACTGTAGAGTGGCTTCTAATTATGTACAGATTCCAGGAGATGAAATCTATTTCCTTCCTGGGCCCTCCCAGCTTGATAATGAGAAAACAACTTCATGAGCTTTGCCTCTCTGCACTCTGGTGGTATGTTGCATCTCCAAGCTTCCCTTCATTAAAAGCCAAAGGAGCACAACAAATATACTGGGATGAAGAGTGAAAAGGTCTCCAGACACTGGTATAAGAATAGATGAAATGGTATTGAGTTGACAGGAGACCTTTCTGTAGAAATGTGGGCAAAGGAAAAGGAATGTCTCTGCTCTCTTGCAGGAAGACTCTAGGTCTGAGGTTAAAGCCTACGATGTAATGCTGATGGTGCCAGTGCCCCAAGTGACTGTTGGCACCATCTTGGATGGAGTCAATGTTGGCCGTGGCTATGGACTTATCGAAGGGGATGACCGGAGGCAATTTGAGATTGCCAGTGTTTCTGTGGATGTTTGGCACATCTTGGAATTTGACTACAGTAGGCTCCCCAAACAGAGCATTGGCCAGTTCCATGAGGGAGACACGTATGTTGTGAAATGGAAGTACATGGTGAGCACTGCAGGTTAGTGAATTCTTCCATCTTGATCAAGCTAATAATCCCCTTGCTCTAACACTGACTTTGCAAATAGCACTTTTTGGTGTGAAATTTCTTATTTGTGCAGTGTCTTATTCCCAGCTGGATAGGTACCAGGTAACAATCCTACTGTTCATTTAGAGGGCCTTACACCTCTTAAGAGTAGAGGAGGTGGTGGGGCAGCTAGGTGGCGAAGTGGATAGAGCACTGGCCCTGAAGTCAGGAGGACCTGAGTTTAAATCCAGCCTCAGACCAAACACTTGACACTTACTAGCTGTGTGACCCTGGGTAAGTCACTTAACCCCAATTGCCAACAAAAAAAAAAGAGTAGAGGAGGTGAAATTCCCACCAGCTTGGCAGTGCCAATGATCTTTTTCCAAAGCCCGTCTTTGAACAGAATTCAGCTTGTATATTTGGCTCTCACCTTTTTTTCTGTTTAATACTGGTTTTCTATATATGTGTTTAAATTATGTATCTGTGAGTTTTATTTTGTGGCTACATATTAGTTCCTGGAAAGATTTTAGAGCTTAATTAGATAAACCAAATTCAAGTAATTTTAAATCGAAACTGCAGTATGAGCAAGGCAGCATGGCAGAGGAAGACTACATGATGAGGGAAAGAAAGCACTGGGTTTGGGTTCAAGTTCTGACTCTGCTACTTCCCAGCTGTGTGATCTTGGGCAACTCCCTCAGATTCTCCAAGCCTCAGTTTCCCCGTCTTTGAAATAGAAACAGTACTTTCACTACCTCACTTTTAAGGTTGTAAGGAACAAATAAGATATGTGAACGATCCTTGGGATCATTACATGCTTATGTAAGGTTATATATACAGTCCTAATGATAACTTTCAGCTTGCTTCATCCTTATTATTATAAAAAGGCTTTATAATAGTGCTATTTTCCTTTCTCAGAGGAGGAGACATAGTAACTATATTTTGTTGGTTTGGTTAAACAGATATTTTTCAACAATGATCTCCTACGTTTATCCAGCAAATTAAAGTTGGCAAAATTTTTAATGTACATTATCTCACTTGAATCTCACAATAACCCCATGAGGTGTGCATTCTATAGATATTATCTCCACTTTACAGCTAAGGAAGATAAGGCTCAGAGAGTTAAGTAACTTGCTCATGGTCACCTAGCTAATAAGTGTTAACTTCCAGATTTGAACTCCAGTTGTCCTGATTTCAAGCCTGGCATTCTAACCACAGTGCTTCACTGCTTACTTTTATAGCCAAACTTCTCATAGGCCACTGCCCATATAACAATTCCTATAAAAAAAAAATTCTATTTCTACCAGCAAAGAAGAAAGAAAAAGGAGACCTGAAAAAAGGAACCCTTAGTGGGACTTTTGATAGAATTATTTTTCTGTGTCATCAAAAGCAATGACTCAAAACTTTTGTCATCTTTCCTCATCCTTATTTCTCTCATTCAATAGAAATATGTGTTAAACACCTCCTGTGTTCAGCACCTGGGCCAAATACTGGGAGAAATACGAAGTTTAGATAAGACGTGTGGTCCTTGCCCTTATAGTGCTTACAGTCTAATAGAGGAATGAGACACCCCCACAGATAGCTATAATGCACGATACGACATGATATGTGTGCATTAAAGAAGTATGAAACAGATTGCTATGTGAGGTCTAAGGTGAGAAGGTCATTACTGACTGGGGTGGAATGGCAGAGGGAATGATGAAGAAAGGCTTCACGGAAGAGGTGGCAGTCGAGTTGAACTGGGTAGGAATTAAATAGATGGGTGAGAGAAGACATTCCAGGCTTAGGAAGAGTAAGATAAAAAGTGTAGACATACAGGGAGAGTATAGGGCATATTCTTAGGGCAAAGAGAAGTCAGATCTGGTTGTAGTGAAGAATGAGTGGAAGGGCATAATGGGGAGTATTGTTGGAAGTACAGAATGGTGCCAGATTGTGGAGGACCTCAGAGCCTCAAGAAGACAAGAAGGAACCAGCAAGGACAGAAGAAGAGCAGTTAGGTCGGAGTTCCATTAGGGGAGCGGGATGGTATCTCTGAAGCCAAAGGAGAAGGGAGTACCCAGAAGCAGGGGGTGGATCGACAGTGTCAGAATGTTTCAGAGAAGTCCAGAAGGATGAGAACCGAATGAAGGGCAGCGGATGTGACCATTCAGGGCTGGCTCATTGGTTACCTCGAAAGAATAGTCTAAACAGAGTAAGGGGATGACAGAATCCATGAGTGACTTTCTGAGGAGAGAATGATTGGTGAAGAAGTGGCGGTCCTGAGCGTCGACAGCTCTTTGTATAATGAAGGAAAAATGAGAAATAGGACGTTAGTAGCTAAGTGGAATAGAATGGTAATAGAAAGATAAAGAGGGTTAAAGGATTGGAGAGACTTGGAGGGAAGAAGGGAATAGGCATTTATGAAGCACCTCCTGTGTGCCAAGCACTGTGCTAAGTACTTTACAAATACTACCTCATCTGAGGTGGAGAATGTTTCCTGGCAGAAAGGAAGAGGCCAAGAAAGAGAAAGAAGTTGAGGGTTACATAAAAATGGCAATGGTTAGAGTAGCAAGGGCTGGAAGGAGTCAGGACAGGATTGGATCTTAAAGCACAGATTGAAGCGAGTTAGCCTGAGGAAGCTATGGTTGTGCCTGAGAGATAGAGAGGTAGCTCTTTCTGAGGGAGAAGGGAAGAATGGATGCTGCTGCTGCTGAAAAGCTCAGAGCCGGAGAGTTGAGGGAGGTGGTGTCCCGTGGCCTGAAGATGATTGCAGGGCATCTGAGAAGGTCCCACTGAAGTTATAGATGGACTTATTGATTCCCCCCAGACCTGTCATTTCATCATTGTAGGGAGGTTCCCAGTGAGGAAGAAATGATCTTCTACTCATTTGCATCTTCAGCTTAGAGTCTTAGAGATTTGAAGGCACTGAGAAGGTAAGTGCCTAAGGCGTACAGCCAGTATGTGTTACAGATGACATGTGAACCCTGGTCATCCTGACTCTGAGGTCAGTTCTCTGTCCACTATGCTGTGACAGCAATTCATGGTGGTTAAAAGGTGCTTGATTTCATGCCTTTCTCTAGCAGCAATGCTGGTGGCAGGGATTGGGGTGGAGAGAAAGACTTGAGGTCCAGGGGTCAGAGAAAGAGAGTTGGTATAGGGACCTGGAAATGTGGAGATCATAGCAACAAGATGGAGAGAGGGGGTTCTAAATGGATTGCCCAGACTTTAGCGGAAGAAAAGCAATTGAGGGATGGAATGAAGTGAATGTTCTAGAAGTGGCAATAGGGAACAAGGCCTACCTCAAACCTTCTCTTTGGAGGTGCTTTTATTTGGAGTTAGGTGTCACTTAGCCGGTGTACAATGACTGGATTTACTTAGCTGACATGGTCTGCAAGAATATATCTGTCAGTAATTTCTTGAGAAGCTTCAGTAAAAAGCTGTAGTTACAAAATCCAGGCTTAGAACTTTATGAACTAAAGATTAAATCTCTTTATGTCATCTCAAATATTGCCATTTTGGTCTCTCTACTTGACATATCTAAATGAAAATCTAAAGTGAAATACCCAAAAATTCCCCCAGCACTCACCAGAACAGAAATCTGAGAGCTAGGAGGAGGAAAAGGAAGAAATGTAAATATGATGCCTCTCCCATTGATTTCAAAGCACATAATTTCACTTGACCAGTTTACTTAAGAGAGATTAGGCTTGAGTTCTATTTAATCTCAGATCCTGCAGGTTGGAAATGTGATTTTAGTAACATATTCCTTACAGCCTGTGTACAGAAACCTGTTCATCTGCAGACAAACATGTCCTTCTTTCCTGGGCCAGATGGGTCTTGGGGGACCCATTGATAGCTGTTGAAAACCCATCAGCTCTGACCGGTGCTAAGCAGAATAAACAAACCCTTATCCAAACAGAGATTCATCTTAGATTATGTTCTGTGCTGGTAGGCGGAAGGGAAAGAAAACAGGAAATTTGAAAGTAACAGTTGACTCTTGGAAATGTGTATTGCATGGGGAAACTACAGAACACCACTCAAATGCATAAACCTCAGATATAAGCTATATGTAAAATTCAAGTGTAGCTGTGTCACTTGACAAAGGAATAAATAGGCAATGCACAAGTAGATGTATGGTGATTCTCTTACCTAATATGGAAGAGACAAGTGAGGAAAAGGAGCATAACCATAGACCATCAGAGCAATCCAGCTAGGAGCCAACATGAAATCATACTGACTGCCCCACCTGCTGCACCCCAGAACTTTTTTTTTAATTACCTCTCAATGGACCAAATGTCCATCTATTAAAGAGCCAGGTCTGGAAACACTTTTGCAAAGCAGTAAACAACTTTGAAAATGTCCAGGTGCTAGAGAATTCTATTGGAACAGGAAGCATCCGAATTTCCAAAAGTGCCTTTGGGGGACAGCAAAACACAACCGTATGGCATTTGCAGACTGTTTCACCATCAGGGGAACCTTGGTTCACTGGAATGACTCTGTTGGTCAGTCCAAAAGATGACAGACCCCCACAGGGAGGCAGCTGGAGGTGGCTCTAGAAATATAGCCCTCCACTGTAGCACCTTCTGGGAGAGCAGGATTCTACAGGGGTCAGCAGAAAGCAGCAGCTGTGGAGACAGTTCCCCCACCCCATCCCACCCAGGTTTGCTGCTACTGGCCAGGCTGCGCAGGAGACAAGCCATTGTGACCTGAGGGGGTAAGAGAGGATGTAATCAGATAGTCCACTCTGCCACAGGTGCTTGGTTTGAATCCCAGTACTCTCTTCAAGGGGATACAGGGGAATTGTATTCTTTTAGTAAGTGAAATTTATAGCAAAAAAAATAGAGCTGACGTCAGGTTCCTCCAAGGAATGGTGTGACCCTTGCTCCAGCAAAGTAGAAGGTGGTCAAATGGAGCAGCAGAAGACAATCAAAGCATTTCAGGCACCATCCCTGACCAGGAATTTCTGTTACACTGCGGGGGAGGATGCCAACCGTTTGGTTTTTTTTCACTGTATTCCTTTTTGCAGTTTGGTGAAGCTTAGGGAACCATTCTCAGGATGTTTTTAAATGCATAAAATAACATACAAAGAATTACATTGGAAACCAATTATATTGAAAAATACAGTTGTCAAAATATCTTTTAAAACAAATTAACCAACCCCGTGCTCTCTGACATCCCTGAGAAGCGGCCATATGCCTCCCCTCAAACACCTGTAAGGAGACGGAACCCACCGCTTCCCTCAAAAGTCCATCATGCTTGGAAAGCAGGAACCTAAATCTGCTCCTCTGCATCTTCTACCCAGTGTTCCTCATTCTGACCTCTGGGGCTAAGCAGAAAAATTGAATCCCTCTTTTGTGCAACAATCCTTCAAGTATTTGAAGATAGCAAGCATGCGCCCTCTCGACTTTCCCAAGTCTTCTCGAGGCTAAACACTTCCATTTGGTGCACTCCTCATCTTTTGAGGATGGGGGGTGTGTGTGTGTGTGTGTGTGTGTGTGTGTGTGTGCCTTTAAGTTTTAAACTGACCTTCTAGAGTGTTCTGAAGTCCCTGGTGACCCTTCTATGGATAGATTTCCAGTTTGTCAGGGGCCTTCCTAAAATATGCCATCCAGAGCTGAATATAGTACAGAGGAGCCCAGATGTGATCGAACCAGGACAGGGTAGAACAAGACCTAATAGTTATGAGATCTGGGCTGTCCCTGACTGGTTGACCCAAGGAGGTAATTCATGATCTTTTCATGGTGCTTCCATTTTTCCACCATTATTATCAAACACACTTCCCAGAGGACATCTTGAAAATGCATGTTGATGACTTGGAAGCATTTTGTCATTGTTTGAAATCTAATAAGGATTGACCATGCTCTTAGCGTTCAATTACTCATGTGATCGTTGCCATAGGGAGTGACATAGAGTTCTTGATAGCGTTGGTATAATCAGAGACTCATAGAGGGGAAAGGGACCTCCAAGGCTATCTCATTTCCAGACCATACCTAAGAATGTTCTCCATGGTATCCCTGAACGTACATAGAGTCACAGAGTCTGAGAGCTGAAAGGGCCTTCAAGACTAATTCCTACTTCGTGGAAGACACTCTCCACATACCCCTGATGACCTGTGGGGAGGAGGAGCCCACTTTATCCCGAGGCAGCCCCTTTCCCCTTTGGATAGCTCAAATTACTGGTTGCTATTTTTCACTTCAATCTGAGCCTTTCTGAAACTCTTAAGAGTTGGTCAATTGCATAGATTAAAGCGAAATAAGTCACTAGATGCCATAGGAAAATTGCTGGACTTGGAATTAGGAGACCTGGGTTTTAATTTTGGCCCTGACATACTTCCCAGCACTGTGATTGAGATCATGGACAAATAGACATTTTGCCTTTCTGAGCCTCAGTTTTCTTATCTATAAAATGGGGATATGATATTATTTGGCCTGCCTACCTCACAGGATTGATCTCTTTTTGAATCCTAACATGCTAAAGAAATGGAAGCGATTGTTATTATTATGACTTCCTAATTTAAAAAAAAAACCTTTAAAATTTAATTTTGCTCAGTACTTAATTCCCCATTGGAGCTGTGATTTCATCCGTGAGGGTGCTCCTTCTGGGAGTGCCCTGCACTGAATCAGTCTCATCCGTGCTCTTTGCCAAGGGTTCCTGTCTTCCTAGAAATCTGCCATGAAGGCTCTGCCTGGCACACTGGAGGTCTGCTTTTGGTTAGGCCTTTGAAAAATTTGATAAAATCAGAAATAGTGAAATACAACCATCAGGGCTAAATTCACACTGAGCTCTAAGTTTGGCTGCTGGCATAGAAGCAATTTAGAAGAAGTACTGAAAATTCTGAATTATGGAATCTATTTCTTTTAATATAGTTTTATTTCAGTAACTCAAACTAGACTAATAAGTTATCATTTAGTCATAGTCCTTAAAAAACCACTTTAATTAACAATAACAATAATAATAATAATAGACATTCATATAGTGCTTCAAGATTTGCAAAGGTGGTATGTATACATCATCTGTCTCCTTTGAGGCTCTGTGAGATGTAAGTGCTTCAGTATCAACATGTCTATTCTATAGATGAGCCTAGTGAAGCTAACTTGCCCATTGTTACCCAGTTAATAAGCATTAGAGGAAGGCTTTAAATCTAGATATTCCTGAGACCAAATCCAATGACCACCAAATGCCCACTCTGCCAGGCTTCCTCCAAGTAATAGCTGGCATTTATGGAGTACATCACCATTTTGAAACATAACTATATATGATCTCACTTGATCCCCACAGGAACCCTAGGAGGTAAAGTACTATAAGTATTATCTCTATTTCTCAGATGAGGAAACTGAGGTTTACAGAGCTTAAGTGACTTGCCTTAGTCATAGAACTTGTAGAAACATAGAACTTGGTCTCTCCTGATTCCAATTCCAACACTCTACCTACTTAGCAAATCAACTATTCCTGTGCATAAGGCCCTTGTATTACATATAGTGGAAGGAGCCTTGAATTTGAAGTCTGGGGACCTAGGCTGCCGTCCCAAATATTTCTGTATTTGCCCTGTGATCTGGGGCGAGTCACTTAGCTCTCTCTTAGAGTTTTTGTCTCTTAGTCTATAAAATGCAGATAATAAAGCTTGCCCCACCCGCCTCCAGTCAGGAGGAGAGGCCTTGGTAAAACCTGTAATTCTATAGAAATGTGAGCCACTTAAAGAGCTATTGATGTGAGAGATATTTATGATGATGAAGATGATGATAATGTAGCTGCTTCTCGAAGTTTTTTTGAAGTGGACTGAAAAGTCATGATATTTTGAACACCCTCTCATCGGTATTGTTGACACATCCTCAATTTTCCTACTTTACAAAGAAGCAGTTTGCTAAGTAAACTTTAGGACAGCCCTATCCAAGCATTCAGAAATGACAAACAAGTGAAGTGCAGGTTATTAAGAGTTTGCCATGTGTCTTGTCAACTCCTTACTGGGTTGTTTGTTTCATTTGGCCTATAAAAATCGACATATTCCCCTTTGATGATTCTTGATACTTGGCACTAACTAATTTTTCATTCATGCTTTAAGTGCTCTGAGAAAGCCTCATTCGGCTCATTTATGAAGCACCATTTTGCAGATGGCCCTTGTGACACCTGCTTTCTAGCAGCTTACAGTAAAGTGGGACTTATCTTCCCTTTCTCCCTCAAAACTCCACAGAGATAGCCCACTTAACTGTTACTTTAAGCATTTGATTAGAGGGAAGAATTATAGATAATACAAAAAGAGAGAATGCAAAATTATTGCTGTTGGCTTTATAATGGAAACACACAGATGCAATCATGTTCTTGACTCCACCATTTACCAATCACTCTATCAGCAAGCATTGATTGTGACCTTGTATTTGCCAAGAGCTTTGCTAGACATCGGAGATTCAGATACAAAAGTGATGGTCCCTGCCCTGGAGAAGCCTCCATTCTACTGTGGAGATTATGTGTCCAGCAATAAGTAAAAACAGGATAGGCACAAAATAAATACGATGTTAGGGTGAGGGGGCAGTGGTTGAGGAAATCTGGAAAGGCCATTTGTAGGAGGTACAGAGGGAGAGAGCTACAGTATCCAAGATGCAGGGATGAGAAGGAAGAGAACTCCAGGTTGGGGAGGGGAAGGGGGTTCAGCCTGAGCTGTCCTTTCTTCCTCCTCCTTCCCCAGCCCCCACCACACACACACACACACACACACACACACACACACACACACACACACACACACACACACACACACCCTATTGTCAGAGACTGGAACTTGGATAAGAGAGTGGAAGAAGCTGTGTCACCAAGGAGAAGGAATGCACAGTTAAAGATCTCATTAAAATGAGCTATCTGGAGGCCTGAAATGCTGATGTATATGATCTCAGTAGCCTTTTTCTAAAATGACCCCTTGACTGGTGAAGTTTTAATGACTGCCATTTCAAATGAATGGCTCAATGCTGCTTTATGTATTTTTTTAAAATCACCTTATTATAAAGGAAGGAATTCCAGACGTTTTGATAAAATCATTGCATTGGCAATATAACTGTTCCCATTTGGTCAGAACTTGGAAAGTTCTTCCGGTTTTTGCTTTTTTTAGTATCACCTTTACAGGATAAATGATGTTCCTTTGAGCTTCTAACCATCGAAGCTATTGCCCTTCCCCGTATTACTCAGATGCTAGCTAATCTTGTGCCAGAGGGGTGTAATGTGGGAAAAGACTGTATATCTGGACAGTACAAGTGCTGTGGTAAGAGCTTTGATTTTGGACATGCACGCACGTAGCTAGCTATGTGCTGATTCCCTCAAATGATGTCAGATATTTTTCTTTGGGTATTAGGAAAGCCATACAGATCGTTTTTCTTGGGTTTAGAGGCTCTGGGTGACTTAGCAAGAAGTGAGGTGCTTCTTTTCTTCATACTATGATTTATGCTCTCTCTTGGGCATATAGATGGTTCCCTCTAGTTGCAAATAAATTCTCCTCAGCCCTAGGCCAGAAGGCTGTTTTTGCCCTGTTTGTCATCAGTTCATGTCTCTGGAGATGGAGGCAATTGAGTTCAGCTGAGTACCTGAACCTCTGCTGCTCTGTGTGTTTGCAGTGGGGAGTCGGCAGAAGGGTGAGCACCCGGTCAGGACAGCCGGCAAGGAGAAGTGTGTCTACTTTTTCTGGCAGGGCAGACATTCGACCGTGAGTGAGAAAGGCACGTCGGCGCTGATGACTGTGGAGCTGGATGAAGAGAGGGGGGCCCAGGTGAGCCCCCAGGGGACGATTTCTACCCTGGTGCTAAAGTTCAATGTGAAATATTTCTTTTCCCTTCTACCCTCCTCCTTCCTCTCCTCATCTTCTTATGAATACCCTGGAATCAGAAGGCACCACCCTCCTCAAGAGTCTGCCCGTAGCCTTCGTGGGATATCCCAGTGATTAGCTAGGTTAGCTGTCTCAGGATTAGTGCAGTCCTTGGGGAAGCTATGTGGTCAGTGGATAGAGCACCAGCCCTGGATTCAGGAGGACCTGAGTTCAAATCTAGCCTCAGACACATAATACTTACTAGCTGTGTGACCCTGGACAAGCCATTTAACCCCATTGCCTAGCTCAAAAAAAAAAAATTAGTCCTGGCACATAATACAAGCTTAATAAATGGTTGTTAACTTGATGGTGATCCAGTGCCTACTTTCAGTCCCAGACCTCTCCACAATCCACGCTTCTCCACATTGTCAGCTAATACTTCAGGCTTCCTCTCCCTACTACTGACATATCACTGTGGTAAGGCAGTGTAATGGACAGAGACTTAGCCTTCAGTAACCCCCCCTCCAGAGACACTTACTAGCTATGTGACTTAACCTCTCTTAGGCTCAATTTTTCCATCTCTCAAATGGGGAGAAGAGTAGCACCTTGGGAGGATCAAACCGAATGCCTAAAGCAATGTGTAAAACTAATGTTGTCATCACTCCATCCATGTTTGATCCAAGATTACAAATTAGTTTTTCACGTTTTCTATTATCAACATAACTGGAGAAGTAAATCAGGTTCCAAACTAGGATCACAAAACCAGAGCTGGAAGGGCCTTCAGTCATAGGATAGATTGCAAAGTCACATCTAAACGCCCTTTGGAATAGCCACAATTTTGCACCAATCCATTAGTGCTTAGCTTAAAAAAAACAAAGAATGGATCCTGTATATTGGAAAACATGAAACAAATGCTTTTTCTGTCAAGGATGTATAGCCAAGCAAAGGGCATTTCTGGGAAGGAGGGGAGAGGACTTTTTCTCCAAGGTAGATTAGCAAACACATCCGGTCTTCCAAAGACTTGGACATCTATCCTAACTGTCATTAAATGACAGCAGTCATATGTGTGAGGCACAGTGCCCTGAGAGTTGAAAATGATGAGAATTTCCCACTGTGAAAATGTATGTGAAAAATAGTTTCTAGCAGGGGTTTGCGTTTGAATCCATTCCCTGCACTGGAGGGTTGTGGTTGTAGTTTTTAAAAAGTGCTATATTTATAATCAGACTACCGTGAGGATTAAATGAGATAACGTATGTACAGTGCTTTTCAAACCTTCAACGTCAGCTATGATGATGCTAGTGATTAGTATGGGGGACAAATAGAACGGGATGTTTCACCTAGGCCCTCAGCTTCATCATTTTAACCTTTTTTTTTTAACATTTTGAATGTAGAACTATAGTTGGGGTGTTGGTTTTTGATAAATGACACGAACTGGGAATCAGACTTCAGATATATTAAATACTGCCATGGAACAGCAGTAGATTATGCAAAATGGTGCAAGCAATTGATAAGCCACCTGAGAGTGAGAAATGCTTCCTCCATCTTAGGGCTCTTAGGCCCCCAGGCTTAATAAACTATTTTCTCCTTTAGTGTGCAGAGCCTTGCCAAAAATTATGAATGAACTGACTCAAGCTGAACATTATATATGGTACTGCTAATGCCTGATCGAAGGGACTGCATTAACAAGCATGTGGACGACACGTGGTTGTAAGCAGGCCTCTGGAGTGATGAACACAGAAATGTTTTTTCTCCCAAATTGTTAAATTAGCGGTCAGTCGTTCTAATTATTATTGAGTGCTTTTTAAAAGAATCTGTTTAAATTTTCAGGTTCAAGTGCTTCAGGGAAAGGAGCCGCCATGTTTTCTGCAATGCTTCCAAGGAGGAATGGTTGTACACGCAGGGAAGCGAGAAGAAGAAGAAGAAAATGCACAAAGTAAATCCTTTTTACTGTTAGAAATCAGATTTTTTTTTCCTCTTGGAAGCTATTTTCACAAGAAAGGGAGATTAAGTCTTAAGCTATTAAAGCTTAAAACTGCCCTAAGAATTTTGGGATGCCCTGTCTAGCCACGTCCTTGCCGCAGAAAGCCTCGTAATATTTGGCTTTAAAATTACCTTTGTGCGGCGCTTGCGATGCTCCTAGTAGCTTACTTCAGGATTAGACTCAGAATGTTAGAGGTGGGAAGGTGGAGTTTGGGGATGGGCTTCATGACATAGAGAAGATGACTGTACCCCACAGACTTTACCTTTTTAGAGCTCTCTCACTCTCCACCCCCGAATAAAACCCAACAACGACAACTATGGGAGTTCATTCCATTCTACTTTCTTTATGTCTAGTTTTCAGGCACCTTTTTTTTTAAACTTCTGATATATTAGACTGTATCTTTAAACATTTTTGGATGAGGAGAGTTTCTCTGTTTTATGACTTTTTTGTTCAGGGCCCTGGAAGGGGGGAGGGTCATTGGCCAAACGACCCAGTGAAAACCTAGAACCTCAGAGCCCCACGTGAGCTGAGGAGGCAGGGCGCCCAGGCCTTGCCCCATCCTTGGCCCCGTGATTATATCCCACTCAACCGCTAGTGGAGGGGATTGGACTGGAACTCGTTACTTTGCTAGAGCTGACTCTGTACTAATGGCGCCCCCTACAGGTGACTGGAGATTGTACTGTGTCCGAGGAGAAGTTCCCATTGAAGGGAATTTACTTGAAGTTGCCTGTCACTGTAGCAGCCTGAGATCCAGGACTTCCATGATTGTTCTCAGTGTCAATAAAGCCCTCATGTACCTTTGGCATGGGTGCAAAGCACAGGCCCACACGAAGGATGTCGGGAGGAATGCCGCACATAAAATCAAAGAGCAGTAAGTAGTTAATGACTTTATGTTTTACAAGGGAAGAAGGAAGGGAGGAAGGAAGAAAGGAAGAGAGGGAAGAAAGGGGGACAAAGGGAGAGAAGGAAAGAACCAACCAACCAAATGAAAGTCTTGCTGGAGTATCTAGGCTTAGCTGTTGCCTCAGTGGACCTGAAGTTAGAGGGCAGTCCCAAGAAAACAACCTGGGAGTCTTCTAGTGGGTTCCCCCGTGCTAGTGCAGAATTTCAAGGTTAACGAGACCTCAGGAGCTTTCTAGTTACACTTGAAAAAGCATTCCCATTGAGGCCTACCCAACAAGTGGTCCTCTAGCATCTGTTTGGAGATCTCGATGATGGGCCCCCCATTACTGCTGGAATAGACCATTCTACTTACGGATGCCTTAACTCTTAGGAAGTCTTCCCCGACACCAAGGTGAAGTTTGCCTCTTCCAGCCACAGGCCAGGGAGAATGAACCTAATCCTTTTTTTTTTCCATGCGAATCCTTCTGATCCATCAGCTATCATGGCATTGGGAGGCTTTTTTCCTCCAGGCGCAGCCTTCCCGGGTTCAGACCGAAGTAGCTGGTAGCTACCTGCTTGCAAGTTTTTTTCATATTTGACAAAGAATATTGACAAAATGCTTTCAGAAACCTGTGCAACTTGGTAAAACCCAGCATTTTAAAAACAATACCAGGTTCAGCTGTTGTCACTAAGCAAGGGGTTCTTAACCTGGGGGCTTTGAACTTTTTCATATTTTGATAGCTATATGTCAGTATAATCATTTTCCTTTGCAGTCTTATGTATTCTATTTTGTGCATTTAAAAATATTATTCTAAGAATAATATTGAGCAGCCAGATGGGGACCCGAAATCAAATCTGGCCTCACTTGCTAGCTTTGTGAGCCTGGGCAAGCTGCTTAACCTCTGTTTGCCTTAGGTTCCTCATCTGTACAATGAGTGTAATAGCACCTATCTTCCAGGGTAATTGTAAGCATCAAATGAAATGATTATGATAAAGTGCTTAGCCCAGTGCCTGCCATATAGTAAGCTGTAGTAGCAGCAGCAGTAGTGGTGGTGGTGGTGGTGGTGGTGGTGGTGGTGGTGGTGGTGGTAGTGGTGGTAGTAGTAGTAGTAGTAGTAGTAGTAGTAGTAGTAGTAGTAGCAGCAGCAGTAGTAGAAGTAGTAGTAGTTGTAGTTTTTGAAGTAGTCCATATGCCTCAGCAGACTTCCTAAGGGTTCCATAACACAAAAAAAGTTAAGAACTCCTACTCTAAACTTACAAAGAGTAAACATTTTCTGAGGATTAGCCATTTGAATTGGGCCTAGCCTTTTGAGTAGGGTACATTTCCATTTAGATGCTTTTCTTTTTTTCCAATCTCAGGTAGCCGCTGACTTCTAAGACTGGAAATCTTTTTTTTTTTTTATAATAAGGTTAAAGGATCCCTTTCTGAGATTTTTACTCAGGCCCTTCAAATGTCTAGCTTTTCCCAGACAGAAGAGCAATGAAGGTATTTCACCCACCAGAGAGTGTGAGGCAACTACTTTATTTGTCAGGCAGTAAGATGAACCCTTTCCAAGGAAAAAAAAAAATTGCTTTCTCTGGCGAAGAGAACAGAGGCAAAGCAATGAGGGTTGATTCCAAAAAAGGATCTAGTAGGATGAGTCACGGTCACCTGCTGAGGGGCCCTGAGCATTTGACAGACCAGAGGATAGTGGGGGGGCTTCCAGATTACCCTGATCTGCTTCATTTTTCCAGGAACACCTAAGCAGCTTAGCTTTCCGTGGGCCAGGTCTGGTGGGAAGGATTAAAGCTGTTGTCCTTTCAAGGTGTCACATGGAATGAAACATGTTTTTCCTGAACATTTCACTTTAACACCTTATTGTATCTTATAACCCTATCTCATGGTGAAAGTGATCAAAAATGAGTGGCACCCGGAGAATGATCATGAAAAGGGTTTGAATAAAAATACTCCAAAGACTCCCATCATTACCAAGCTGCCATCATTACCAAGCTGAAGTCCAAGAGCCAGTGATAGCCCAAAATAGATCAGTGATTCCTTTCACCAGGGAAAATTGGATCATGTGACTGATGTGCTCAAACCAACCCTTAGGTTTGGGCTTTGGGATTCTTTGTGCAAGGTATGTACAAAATTGCATTGGGTTTTCTCCCCACAGATGTCCACTGGAAGCGGGATTGCATAGTAGCAGCAAGGTGACAATACATGAGTGTGATGAAGGGTCAGAGCCGTTGGGATTCTGGGATGCATTAGGAAGGAAAGATCGGAAGGCATACGACTGCATGCTGCAAGGTAGTGCATCCTCAGCTTCCGTGTCTATAAAGTGGGGAGAGTTACCCTTCCTCTGCCTACCTCTCAGGCTTGTTGTAACAGAAATGCTTGGTGTGAAGCAACAGAGGAATAGTAGCTAATAGTAACAGCAGCAGCAGTAATAGTAGTTGTTTTGGCCCTGCCCCATTTCTTCTCCCCCCCCATCTCTCAGCTGCTCCCTTTTTGCATTATTGCTGCCAGACTCAGCAGACAAGATGCCCTCAAGTGCTTGAATAGACTGAGTAGCGCCCTTGAGAGTTTTCCGTGCCCTGAGCCTTCAAGGGCCCCTGTTCCTGGTGCCCTACCAAGGTGCACTCACTAAGCTTGGCCAAAGAGCTGGTTTGTGGAGCTTTTCCCATCTGCTCAGATGATAATTTCATTTAATAAGTTTTCAAGAACATCAGCCATGTCCTGAAAATGTCAACTTTAGTAGATAGAGCACATGGATTCAGGAGGAGCTGGGTTCAAATCCAGCCTGGGACAAGTCATTTAATCTTTGTGAGCACGAGTTTACTCATTTCTCAAAATGGGCACAATAATAGATATAGTAACTACCTTGCAGGGTTGTTAAAACTCAAAATAGATGTAAATCACTTTGAAAACATGTTATTATTTTATTTTATTTTATTTTGAAGTCTGGGTCTCCCCATCTTACCCAGGCTGGAATGTAGAGGCTTTTCGCAGACCTAATTCCACTACCGATTGGCATGACAGCCTTGACCTGCCAGCCTGGTCCAGTTCCCCCCTCCTTAGGCAATCCCTGGTGTCCCCCTGACCCCACTCAGAGGGGCTTACCATACTATACCCATCTTAGTGCAGACAACCAATCTGCATTGCTGTCTGAAGCTCAGAACTCCCAGAATCAGCCTCCCCAGCATCTGGGATTATCATTACGGACCGCCATGCCTGGCATTTTGGAAACTTACAGAAGAACTATTTCTGTGCCAGTTACCCAAGTACAAGTCTGAAGGTCAGACTCACCATTATCCCCCATTACAAGACTCCAAAAGTCACGTCACTCTCATTTCTAAAGCCCCCAATTATATAATCACTGGAAATGTGGCTGTTTCTTTCTTTAGCCACAGTTAATTAGAAATGGTCAATGTCTATCTCTTGTCTTTAGTTCCTTTGTTGTTCTTTTTCCTTCAAAGATCCTGGAAAGTTTAATTTCACGCCCCGCCTGTTCATCCTCAGTAGTTCATCTGGAGATTTCTCAGCCACCGAATTCATGTATCCTGCCCGAGATCCTTCTGTGGTCAATTCCATGCCCTTCTTACAAGAAGACCTGTACAGTGCCCCGCAACCAGGTAGGATAATCTGAATGCTACAACTATTTCTGAATAGCAGTAGGAAAGAAAAAAACACAGCTGCTGCCTGGGCCCTGAGCCATCAGCTGGGAATTCCTGGGATCTGGTTGGAACTGAGATAGTCTTCTTCTCCTGGGAGTGGCAGGATGGGACTTCTTCTGCCCTGATCCCCACCCTGTGCCTGCTTCTCCACTCCCATTCCCCAAACTTCTATCCATAAATAAACACACACCGCACTCTTCAGAAACATTAATAATTTGAACCTCTATAAGATGGCTAGTGGAAGGTGCCCTCACAATCCTGATTTGAACTGAGAGTCCAGAAAAGAAAAAGACTGCACACCCTACACAATTCATTCTCCTTTTCTTTTCTTTTCTTCTCTTTTCTTTTTTTTTTTTTAAGTGAGGCAGTTGAGGTTAAGTGACTTGCCCAGAGTCACACAGCTAGGGGGTGTTATGTGTCTGAGGCTCATTCTCCTTTTTTTCAGGATGGATTTTGGACCTAGGATGGATAACTAAAAATAAAAGAAAAGTAAAAACCAAATCTAAGAGAAGACTAAGTTCTAAGTAAGCCAGTCACAGAGTATGTTAGACATGAAGTCAGAGGATCTGGGTTCAAATCTTACCTTTGCCCCATCCTCCATGTGTGATTTTAGGCAAGTCATTCACCAGGCTAGTCTAATAAGAGGGGAGGCCTAGATGAGCTCTGAGGTCCATTCTAGCCCTACACCTGTGATCCTAGCATCCTAGTGTGCGCTGTATTCAGATCCCCAGAGAGCAGAACTACCAGGAAGAAACTGTCTCTTTTGTGTGAAAAATCAAAGGGCAAAGTTATTAGTTGAGTGGCATGTTAATGGAAGGGATAGAGGAGGAACAAGAGAGGAGGAGTTGGCAAGGAGGGGATGGACAGGATAAAGACTATTCTGAAAATATGCTTTTTGGCTCTCTCTCAGTCTCAATCTTGTTCAAAAAGAAAAAAAAAAAGACTGCTAAGCATAACCCAGAATATAAACCATAATGGCCCTGTCATGTATTGGAACTGGAGTCAGCAACTCCTTCAGCCTGAATGCTATCAGCGAAGACTGGCGATGCTCATGGTTCCCACTGGCAGACCGAAAGCGTCGTTAGAAAGGGAGCAGGAGACTAGGGGAAGAAAGAAGAAAAAGAGAAGAGGCAACGTGGCGGGCAATGATAGATTGCCACCAATAACTGTACCCCCTGCATAAGCTGGACCCTATCACAAGGAGGCTTCTGATAGCTACATTTTCCCTGTAGATGACTGCCGAAGGGATCCTCTTTTCCTATTTTGAGAGGAAGGCAAATCAGTTCTATCCTGGAAAATATAGGAGGTGACCTTTGGCCTTCTTCTCCACAGCACTTTTCCTTGTTGACAACCACCATGAAGTGTACCTCTGGCAAGGGTGGTGGCCGATGGAGAACAAGATAACAGGCTCGGCCAGGATTCGCTGGGCCAATGACCGAAAGTGTGCGATGGAGACGGTGCTTCGGTACTGCAAAGGTAGCCCCTCTCTGAAAGAACGTTGTGTCGAGACACCCTCAGCTGTGAAATGGGACAAGGGGGAGGCAATTGGGAGTCAGTCGGACCTGTCGAACTGGAGCGTTTGTCTTCTTAGCCAGTGGCTTATACTCCAAGGTGGCTCCATGGAACTTTGGGTCACAGTGCTAGTCCATAGCATCAGCTTCTTCTCTTTGTCTTATTCGGTACCTGTGTGCCTAAATCTGTTAGAACATTGATAAGCTCTGGCAGTTTATGAAAAACGGGTTTTTCTTTTATACTTTTTAGGCTTATTTCTTTTGAGATTAGAGATTTCGAGATTTCCAGCATGATTGTGAATCTCAATTTTATTCTTGTGTGGAATGAGGGCTTGCAATAGAGGTCAAAATCCATATTGTAAAGTATTCTGAAGTGGTTAAGAGCTTCCTGCGCTTAAGATTAAATCATCCTATGTGACAACTAAGCTATCAGATAATAACAGCAACAACAAAAACAACCATAATAATAACATTAAGTAGTGCTTCAAGTTTTGCAAAGCACTTTACAAATATGTCATTCTATCCTCACCACAACCTTGGGAGGCAGGTGTGTGCATGATATTACTGTCCTATTTTATAGATGTGGAAACCGAAGCAGAGAAGTTGTTACTTGCCCAGGGTCACACAGTTAGTATCTGGAGTCAAATTTGAACTCAGGTTTTCTTGGCCCAAGATCCAGTGCTCTATACACTGAACCACTTAAGATGTAGGGTATGTCTCCCATTTCACTGTCCTTCATGTAGAGTTGGAAAAGAGGTGGTCACTGTGGATAGGATCGAAGACCTTTTTTAAAGTAAATCTTTTCAGCATTGTTCATTGTGATAGGTTCTCTTCCCAAGCAGTTCCACATGAACAAACTCATCTGATTATCACTCCATGTTTCAAATACTAGAGAACTGTGCAGAATTTCATTAACTTAGGTCTTCAGTAGACAGCTGTAACCTCAGGGCCAAGGTCAGGATAATAGGAAACCCTTTACAGATTTATGAAGGCATAGGAGAATGTAATAGAGATGCCTTCTCCTTTCACGACTCCATCAGGCCTGACAACAAAAAAAAAAGGGAGCGATGTAGGCAGAGCATATTTGGATAATTAGCTATAAAATGCACAGCAGTGAACATTTGGTGGGAATCCTTATCTGATGTTGTTAACTCTCCCCTTAAATATTTCATTAGTGACCGACAATGATTAAGAGTAAAATACTAAATGAGCATGTTTTTCACCCTGTTAAGTAACCACTAGCATTTATGTTTTTGGTCATGACAGGAAAAAATGTCAAGAAACCCCCCAAGTCCTACCTTCTTCATGCTGGTTTAGAACCTCTGACCTTCACCAATATGTTTCCCAGTTGGGAACATAGAGAAGACATTGCTGAAATCACAGAAATGGTATGTCTACCTTCCATTGATGACTGTTGTTTGGGGGAGGTGGGGGAGGGAGGTTGGGAATGGGGAAGCATGAAGAGTAAGGGATGAATTTTTAGCCCAAAGAGAGGAGGCCCATTTTTAGTAGTGACAGTTGTTATTTCCAGGGGCAGTCCTTTACTTTAAACAAAACTTCTACAGAAATCTTGCGGTAAAAGAAAACTCTTAAAGCCTCTATCGGTAGTTGTCCTTCACTCTTGAAGAGGACCAAAGTGACATCACTATGCCAGAGTCAATGTGCAGACAAATGCCAACTCCGAATGCTCCACCACAGGTCGGGCACAGACGGTCATGGGAACATTTGGGGTGGATTCTCCAAATTTGTGCATCTCAGGTTTCTTTTGAGCTGCTTCAATTCTGCTTTGCTCATAAAGCGCAGCGCCTTCTCTGATAAGGGCACACCATGCTGGGCGGTCCTGTGCCAGCGTCTCCCATGTCACACAATCAACTCCAGACTTCTTAAGAGAGACCTTGAGAATGTCTTTGTACAACTTTTTCTGACCACCATGTGAGCTCTTGCTTTGTGTGAGTTCTCCATAAAATTGTCTTTCTGGCAAGCATACGTTTTGCATTCAAACAACTGGGCCAGCCCATCAGAGTTGCACTGTCTGCAGTAGAGTTTGAATGCTTGGAAGTTTAGTTCGAGAAAGGACCTCAGTGTCTGTCCTGCATCTTATCCTGCCAAGTAATCTCCAGAATCTTCCTAAGACAATTCAAGTGGAAACGATTCAGTTTAAATATTGATATCTTTTTTTTAATCACCTTCATTTCCAAATGTATCTCAGCTCCCTACCACCCAGAGAGCCTGATTATTTTTAAATTTTATGTAGATTCTATTGAATATTAAGGTTCCTTTTTTTTGCTGTTTACCAAAATTTAAAAAAAAAAGTTCTATAAGAATGCACCTCCTTTCACATTTTCCAAACCTTGCTATTTCATTTCCAAATCATGACACTGAATATGAAAATGAGACTCTCTAGGAAGCATAGTGCCTTTTTTCAACAATCAGACTTTTCCATAGGAAGGAATGAATAGATGGATGGATGAAACAAAAAAGCATTTATTACATACCTACTGTATGCCAATGCAAAAGCAAAGATAGGTCTAGCCCTCAAGGAGCTTATGTTCTGACTGAGGAAGATAATATACTTTGAAGGAGGCCGGTGACATATAGCATGTGTCAGTTTACTCTAAATGAACCATAGAGTTGATGAGTTGAGAATTCAGTCCTATTCTCTCAAGGGTCCCCTCTGGAACCCTCTTATCCCAGCTGGAACTACCAATTGCTCTGTTGAGTTTTCTCTCTAACTTTCTTCAATACGGCCATGGATATAGTCACCATATTTTCCAAACAAAAAGTCAGGACACTTGGTCTGACAAAGGCATCTTTACCTGCTTTATGAATGGAACAAAATATCTGAAATCAGGACTTCCCTGGAAAATCTGTGACATACTGGTCTTTGTACCTATAGGCCACCTCTTAGGGAAAATTAGGTTGAAAGTAATGTCAGATGAGTCAGTAGAGAAAATGTTTGGTTTGATTTTACCTTACCTCCCTGGCAGGTGAGTACTAGGTATCATACGTCCCCTAGAGTCATGGTTTGTCTCTGCATTGATCAGAATTCTGAAATCTTTCAAAGAGGTTTGTCCTTACGGTATTGTTATCATATTAATTATTCTTTCGGGTCTGCTCACATCATTCCACACCAGTTCATGCAAATGTTCCCAAGTCTCAGACTCTTTCATCCTTGCTTACAGCACAACAGTGTTCTATTGCATAATGTGTCCAGCATCACACAAGAACTGGATACATCTCACTGCCTCTCAGGTTCCATGCAGCATGTATTCTGTTACGTTAGTATGCCATACTTACTTAGTTCAACCATTCCCCAGTTGATGGACACCACTTAGGTTCCAGTTCCTTGCCATCCACAAAAAAAAGAGTCAGCAGAGAAAACATTTTCCTTAATAATTTCTTGAAAGATGCTGTCAAAACACTTTTTTTTTAATCATGGCTTTCAGATAATCCCACAATTCTTAAATTATCTGTCCTGGATCTATTTTCTAAGTCAGTTGTTTTTCCAGTGAAGTATTTTACATTTTCTTCTATTTTTTTCATTCTTTTGATTTTGATTATGAGACTTGATGTCTCATGGAGTCATTAGCTTCCACTTACCCAGTTCTAATTATAAAGGAATTATTTTCTTCGGTTAGCTTTTGTACCTCCTTTTCCATTTGGCCAATTCTGCTTTTTAAGGAGTTGTTTTCTTCAGTCAGTTTTTGTCCTTCCTTTTCCAAGCTGTTGACTCTGTCTTGCATACCTCTCATTTCTTTTCCCAATCTTTCTTCTACTTCTCTTCTTTGATATTTAAAATTCTTTTTGAGCTTTTCCAAAATGGCTTTTTGGGCCTGAGACCAATTCACATTCCCCTTTAAGGTTTTGCACGTAGACATTTTGACATTGTTGCCCTCTTCTGAGTTTACGTTTTGAACTTCCCTGTCCCACTGTAGCTTTCTATGGTCAGGGCTTTTTTCGGGTTTTTCCACATTTTTTAGCCTATTTCCTGACTTTTAAAGTTGAGCTCTGCTCCTAGGGCACAGGGGCCACTGTCCCAAACTTCTTGCACTGGAGGCCATGGGCCTCATCACTGGCTTTCTATGCAGGGGCCTCAGGGGGTGGTGGCTTGCTCACTGCACTGGGGTGGCCTGGCCTAGTCACACCTGTTGGGCCAGGATTCTGGGGCTGGCAGTTTGCCCTCTGTTCTGGCCTGCTGAGCCATGACTAAGGAGGCTCAGTTGCTGATCTGTGCTGTGGCTAAGAGTCTCCTGCCAGCTTGCCCAAGCACCACCTGTGCTGGGTGCTTCCCTTTTACTCAAGTGAGACAGACCTTTCCTGAAGTCCTTCTAGCTTACCTTAAGCTAGAAAATTGTTTTACTGTCTTTTTGTGGGTTCTGTTGCTCTAGAATCCATTTAAAGGCTTGATTTAACATTGTTTCTGAGGGAAACCGGGGAGAGCTCAGGCAACTTCCCAGCTTCTCTCCACCATCGAGAAATGTCATCTATTGTCATTTGCCTTGCCAGACACAGGTCTCACAGCTAATAAGTGCCAGAGATGGGATTCAAACCCAGGACCTCTCCCTCCAGTTCTCACACTGCTCTCCCGCACTGCTAGCTGCTGCCACCACTCAGAAGGTACACAGGCACTTCTCAGCGGTGGCTGTGGCTGCAGCAGCTCCTGGCTAGCTGGAGATGGACATAGACAGCAAACGTACACTGTTTGCTGTCTGTGCCCATCTGCCATTGCAAGGATTTTCTCAGTAGAACTCCCTGACCTTTGTGAAACTCCAGGTGTCAGTGGAAAATATCCTAAGTAGAGGGTCAGTCCGAGTGTTGGGGAGACTCGTATTCAGTTTTGGGTTCTGACTTTGTGTGATGTTGGATACATCATTTAACCTCTCAGTGCCCCAGGCAAATGATAGGTGGGCTTTGGCAATGGTGGAAGGAATTCTCTATGCCAATGAAATCACAGCCAGGCCTTTCCCCTCCCGCCTGCCCCCTGAAATGGCCTATAAAATGAAAGCCGTTCCCACCCTACCAGGGTCTTCACACAGTAGTCCAGGGGTATTTTTCTCTCACTCCAATCATATATGTATGTGTGTGTACATATGTATTTACATACATGTATATGTAAATATGTACATATATGTAGGTATATGTGGTTAACCTAGCTGAAATCCCAGAACCATATTATACTGTCTCTCCAGTACTTCCTACAGTTTTCCTCCATTCCAAAGTTGGATGGTTGATGTGGGGTCTCAGGGCTAAAGAGAGAAAGGAACTGATGTGGGCACTTGGTGTTGCCTTAACATTTTGTGCCCAACCTGTGGTAGAGCATTCCGAGTTTGTATTGGTCTGATCGGTCACAGGCAGACGCCCTGTAACTGGACTCTAACATAGCAATGTCATTTTGATCCTCTTAGAGAACAAAGGACAACAGTCATGCCGTACCATGCCCATGGGGCAGTCCCTAGAACAGCTTTTATTTTACCGTTTGGGTCTTGCTTTTCTTATACTCAAAAACATTTTCTCCATTCCTGCCTTCTCCAGGATGCCGAAGTTTCTAATCAGATAATCCTCGTGGAAGATGTGTTAGCCAAGCTTTGTAAAACCGTTTATCCACTAGCTGATCTCTTAGCCAGGCCCCTCCCTGAAGGAGTTGATCCTCTGAAGCTTGAAATTTACCTTACAGATGAAGACTTTGAAGTAAGTAATCTGGAGGGCAAGGAGGCTAGTGATTCAGTCAGTCAAGAAGCATTTGTTAAGCATGAACTAACTGCCAGTGGGGAACTTAGTGGTACCATGGTACATAGAAAGCTAGGCCCGGAGGCAGGAAGACTCATCTTCCTGAGTTCAAATCCAGTCTCAGACACTTGGCCATGTGACCTTTGGCAAGTCATTTAACCCTGTTTGCCTCAGTTTCCTCATCTATAAAACGAACTGGAGAAGGAAATGGCAAACCACTCTAGTAACTCTGCCAAGAAAACCCAAGTTGGGTCATGAAGAGTTGGACACAACTGGAAAACGACTGAACAACAGCAGCAAAGTACCAGCCACAGTGCTTGGCCCCGGAGATACATGGCAAAAGTGAAGTGGCCTCTGCTCTCAGTGACCTTGATGGGAAAGAGAACATATGCATGCACAAAGAGACACATAGTAGTTGGGGAGAGAGGGGCTTGTACACAAGGTATCTCTTGAGCTGAATCTTTAAGAAAACCAGGGATTCTGAGGACTAGAGGGGAGGGGAGAAAGGAGCATTCCCGGCATTGGAAGGGTAGAGCTTTGGGATGGAACATCCCAAATGAGGGTGTAACAAAAAGGCTAGTTTTATTGGTCCAGTGCATGTGCGGAGGGAAGTCATGGAGAGTAAGGCAGAAAAGGTTGTCAAGGGCTACGTTTTAAAGTTTTAAATGCCAAATGCAGGCATTTGTATTTGATTCCACAGGTAATAGGGAGCCATCAAAGTCAAAGTTTATTGGGGGGGAGGAAGAAGTGGTCAGAACTGTGCTTTAGGAAAATCACTTTAGCAGCTATGTAGATGATGGACTGGAGTGGGAAGAGGCTTGGGAAAGAGAGAAAGGAAAGGAAATCATCCAAGTAGCAGCTTCTTACAATAATAGTCCAGGCAGGAGTTAGTGAGGCTCTGAATTGGGTTGGTATCTGTGTGAATGAAGAGAAGAGGACCAATGGGAGAGAAATTGTAGAGGTAAAGATGACAAGATTTGACAGCTAATTGGATCCATGCACCAAGGAAGAATGAAGCTTTGCAGGTGACACTGAGGTTGCCCACCTGGGTGACAAGAGAGAACAGCCTGCTTCAGCACCAGACAAAGTTTTCTTACGCTGGGCTGTTTTTTGTGTTTTTCCTTCTTTCAGGTTGCACTAGACATGACCAGAGAAGAATATAGCATGCTACCATCTTGGAAACAGGTGAACCTTAAGAAAGCGAAAGGTCTTTTCTAAGCATCGACGCTGCCAGTGGAAGATGAGGCCGGAGAAATCTCTGTTGTCACTTCATGTACCATTGGGCCAAGAAGATGGACATCTATTTGGACTGGTCTTCAAATTTTTAAAATCAAATTAGAAGCGATTTGAAGTTATTAGATACTGCCCTGAGCTGGAGTTGTGTAATTTTGTAAATGTGTAAGAGAACTCGTTGGAAACTTTCTCCCCCCCTTACTCAGAGGGTACTTCCTGTTTGTAAACTTGGCTCTCCTGTGCACTTGAAGCAGTAGCCCCTCACAGCTGCTGCTGAGCCCTCCTCTGGCTCCCTCCGGCCTCTGCCTATTCATTTTTGAAGACGCTCTTTGTAAAGTGTTATTTTGTTAGCTTGAGGTTTATTAAAAAAAAATTATATTTATATAAACACCATATAGTTCAAGTATGTATTTAACAAAGCAATATGTATTCACTTAAAAAAAATTTTTTTTTGGTGTCAAAACAATACCAAGAAGTAGATGGAGTTGCTTCTACTGAATTATCTATCCCACCAGTATATGTATGTTATATACATTCTGAAACGTTTCCTTTGGCAATGGGCAAGGAGCTGTTCTAAGGACCGCTGCCCGGGCTAAAAGGAACAAAACCTTTGTACTTATGGCTGGGGACTCTTGAGAAACTCTGCCACCTTCATACCTTAACATCCAAAACAAACAATAAATGTATAGTGCCTTGTTTTGTGTACAGTTTATATACAGAAAAGTTTGGGTCAGCCTTTTTGAAGATGGTTTGGAACAGTATCTACAATTTTACTTTACAATGATAGAAGTTAAAAAAAAATCTCAATTTATAATACTTGTAAACACATCTTTTTGTGATATAAGACTCCAAAGTAAGAGCTTCAAAATAAAACTTTGGCAATGAGTTGTTTGGTCTTCGTTTAATTTTAAGCATATACTTTTCTGAAATGTCCTTCCTTGTGTTTAAGTGCGCCATGTGATACCCACATCCCACAGTTAGCTAGTAGGGCTTCACTTTGGATACCTGGCACAGAGCAACGTGGTGGGCAGGGAGAGAGAGATTTTACTGCAAAATTTTCAAAGAACATACTGGGATGGTTATCCAGATTCATCAGGTTAGCAGGTTTAATGCCAGCTCTTATATTCTAGGTGTTACATAAGCACCCGCAACATTAGCCCTGGCTCTCATCGCGCTTTTCCACACTGGGAGTGTCCAACCTGTGTGCAGATATAATCAGAGCATGACCAGAGGTAGAAACAATAGCTATCTCAAGACCTGACTCAGTTCCATTTGGTTCCATCACTTGCTCATTGTATGACCCTGGGAACGGGGTCATCTTTGAGCCTCTGTTTCCTCATCAACAAAATGAGGAAAACAATGCTTTCCTTGTCATGGGGACATTGCATAGGTCAAAAAAACTGATGCAAACATGTTACAAATGTATGTATAGTGATAATAATGCAACTAGGAATATGAAACAGGAGAAAAGACAGGAAACGTTCAGATTAGGAATTCGTCCACAATTAGATGATGGTCGAAGCTAGGACTGTGTTTAAGCTCTTCAAGGAAATAAATGTAAAGAAGAGCAGAAGGTTAAGGACTTGAGGCCCATGGCTAAAAGTGAGAAGAAGAAGGCATCAGAGGGGAGGAAGACAAGAGAACCAAGAAAGTTCTTTTTTTTTGGGGGGGGGGGTGCTGGGCAATGGGGTTAAGGGACTTGCCCAGGGCTACCTAGGAAGTGTCAAGTACCTGAGGCCAGATTTGAACTCAGGTTCTCCTGACTCCAGGGCCAGTGCTCTATCCACTGAACCACCTAGCTGTCCCCTCCCCCCAAGAAAGTTCAAGTGTTAAATATTCCCTCCTCTTTCTTTTCCTTGTTCCTCTGTCTTTCCATTTTCTTCCTTCCTTTTAACCCTTCCCTTCTTTCCTTTCTCCTCCCTTCTTTTCCATTCCTTCCCTTATCTTTTCTTCCTTCTTTCCTTCCTTTATTCCTTCCCTCACTTTTCCTTCCTTCTTTCCTTTCCATCCCTCCTTTTCTTTCCACCTTCATCCTTCCTGCCTTCTTTTCTTTCCCTCCTTCCATTTCTGCCTTCCTTCACTCCCTTTCATTCTCACTGTCCCCAAACTTCTCTTCCTAAGTAGCACAAAAGGAATCACAGGTTCCAAAATAGTGAGATTTGACTTGGGGGACAAGTAGAATTAGAAATACTGGTGTTGGACTAGTTAGCTTGTCGGGCCGGCTTCTGTCTAAGCTGTATGCAAAGGATGTAACACAGGCATTCTCACTGTGGGTCTTATTCGTCTATTCTCCAGTGATACTCATCCTTTCCTTAGTTGCTATTTATTGCTCATACAACGCTGCTATGAAAGGCCTCAGCCACCCACAAAGCATCATTCGCTGAATTTGGCAAATCTTGAAAACTTAGCCAATTATAACATGTCAGGCTCTAAGTTACCTCCCTTCTCCGCTGGGAGTCATCCCCAGAGCATCTGCATTTAGAGGACAGCACCACTTTGATCAACTAACATCAAGTCACTGGTATTTCTTGGGCCTGCTGTTTTGGAACTGAGAACCCTTCCTTCAAAGATAAAAGGGAGAATGGACATTTGGGGATTGGCATCTTCATTACAGTTGCTGAGTGATGTCTTTCTGGAGATCAGACTTTGTATGTATTCTAAGCATTTGGCTGGTTCATTTTAAAATAACTTCTGGGGGTAGGGAGTAGAATTCTTTTTACTCTGTCCTCCCACATGCAACATAAAAATGGGAAAGCTCTTGACTCCCTGGGGAGGGGATTTGGACACTTGGCTATTCCAAATCCCTTCAGTCCCCATGGCTAGCTTATGAAGGAGTAACAGAGCTGTTATTTTTCCCCATTCCTCAAGTTACCTCTAATACTCTCCATCCAATTCTTTTTCTCATCCCTCGGCCTCATTCTTCATAAACACCAAAACAGAAATGCATCCCAGCCACCAAGACTATTTTGGGTACACGATTTTCATATGGGAGTATCTGCTGTTTTAGGAGCTAATTGTAAGCCTCTTGAGTGAAAGGCCTGTCTTTTCCCTTTTTTTGTACCCGCAGTGCTTAGCATAGTGCCTGACACATTATGGGCACTTAATAAATGCTTATTGATTAAATTACTACCACATCCAAACAAATACAAAGCCCCCACCAGGATGGTCTAATTTGAAGAGACCTGGCTAGCTATGTCATTTCCACACTCCACATCCTGCAAGCTTCTCCATGCTTGGAATGGACAACATTACCACTCAGTCCACCAACCTGGAAGCTTCAGTTTTTCATTAATTCTTGCGGCTTCCTGGCTTATCCTTCATAATCTGTCTTGACTATAGTCACAGCCATACCAGCTAAGTGTAAAATTGGGAGAGCCTTCTTTTCAAAAAGATTTCTGGCTTTTGCAATCTGCAGGGTTGGAGAGCAACAGTCACCGTCTTCCCTTGTGCATTGGAAGGAATGCATTGCTTTCCAAATACCTGGGCTTCTCTTCTTAGGAGATGACCATAGCGTTGTCCATAAATGACCTCCCCATTTAGCCCTGGTCTCCAAAACCATAGAAAGAAAATCCCAAGTTTGGTCTCTGTTCAAGTCCCTTCTGAGTTATGGACTAATGGAATGGTAGTAAGACTTAACAGGGAATGTGGTAATAAATGCCAAAGGAATTAAAAATGAGAGTCTCAAGCATGCTCTGCTGTTCTCTGCCCTGGGAGGAACTTAACAGACTGTATGACGTTTGACACTTAGTGAACTGGAAAGCAGGTTTTCAGTTCTTTTAAAGAAGGATGTGCATACACATGCATTTGCTTACTTCACTAGAAAGAAGCAACATCCCTAGCTGTGACATTGCTGGCTGCAAGGGCTGGAGGTTCCCGTAGTGGGTCAAAAACCTGTATCCTGGAGTAAATGCAGATTTTAAAGCTTTCTGGGGCTCTTGTTTTCCTGGATACACTCAAGCTTTGTAGAAGATTTTAGCAAGTTTTACTACCTGAGCATCAAAAACATGGACAGCCAGGTGGTTCAGTAGGTAGAATGCTGGGCCTGGAGTCAAGAAGATACGAGTTCAAATGTGGCCACAGACACTTACTAGCTGTATGACCCTGGACAAGTCACTTCACCCTGTTTGCCTCAGTTTCCTCATATGTAAAATGAGCTGGAAAAGGAAACGGCAAGCCACTTCAGTATCTTTGCCAAAAAAATCCCCCATGGGGTCATGGAGGGTCAGAAACAACTGAACAACAACAAAAATTCAAAAGCATAGACTATCGTTCCTTTATACCACTTCAAGAAGATTCTACCTGGTTGTTGAAACTACCTGAGAGAAACAAGTATTTTGGTGACAGCTGAGAAGCCTGATACAACCTAATCATCCAACGGTCTGAAGGACTTGGGCCCTAGACTTCAGAGGATTGGAATCACCCTCTATAATAATAAACTGGCCATCTTTTTGTTTGTTTGCTTGCTTGCTTGTTTTTAAAGCCTGGGTCTCCCCACCCCACCCAGACTGAAAGTGCTGAGACTACTCAAAGGCCAGAGTCTACTGTTGATCAATATTTTGACCTGCTCCATTTCAGACCTAGATCATTTCTCACTCCCTCAGATAATCTTGTGCCCCTTCCCTACCCTTTACTCCCCCCACACCCCACCAGGGCCTCAGCCTCCCTCTTGGCTGGGATGGCAAGAATGCAACACCATGTTCTGTCTGGACTTCTTCTGAGCCCTCTTGTACAATAATGCCCAAAGAAAACTTCTTGAAAAGTAAGCTATTAGAGCAGAAATGTATGCCTGGAGCATTTGGTTTTTCCCAGTCATTTTGGAAAATCTAACAGCTGAAATCCAGGGGTCTTCCGAAAAGTACTGTCGATGGATGTTTAGCAATTATTAAATCTTGCTAAATTATCAAGCAGCTTCAGTGTATAATCTCATTGTACAAATTATAATAGTGAGTGCAGGTTCGGTTAGGTGAGTAAATAAAAGAAAACACTGCTGAGCCACAAATCAAGAGGCTGTATTTTATAGGGAACAAGAAAAAAGAAATGTATCTAGGGTGATGGACCAAGCAGAGCGAGCACTGATGGGGGGGGGGGAATTCACTGGTATATGAGGAAATAACTCAAATTTACAAATGCTTACCTCATGTGAACTTTTTGAAGTAAATGGGGCAAGCGTTATGATCTTCCTTTATTTTACAGATGAAGAAACTGAAGTGAGACACCAAGGCCATATCAAGTGTATTTTCATGCCTAAATTAGCCAACTCCGAAGAAAAAGCACTTCCCAATTTCCCACACACTAAATAGATGATACTGCACATTTGTATCAGGCTCTGTCACTGGTCATTGATAAACACTTTCATGTTTCATTTAGCCTTCATTGATGACTGAGGTAGGTGGGGCAGGTAATATCTCCATTCTACAGAGAAGAAAACCAATCCCAGGTCTTTAGAATACAAGTCTAGCAGTCAGAAACTGGATTTGAAGATTTTTTTCTACTATCAGGAGGTTCCAGAACCTCCTTTAACCTAGAATCCATGAACTTTTTTTATGCTTTGACAATTAGTTCAATGTAATTGATTTCCTTTGTAATCCTATGTATTTCATTTTATGCGTTTTAAAATATTCAGAGAAGAGATCCATAGGCTTCCCCAGACTGCCAAAAGGGCCTTTGCCATAAAGCAGTTAAGCCTCGATGTGGGGAAATTGAGGCACTAATGCACTATTGGTGGAGTTGGGGACTGATCTAACCAATCTGGAGAACAATTTGGAACTATATCCAAAGGACTATATTACTGTACATACCCTCTGATCCAGCAATACCACTACTAGGTCTGTATCTCACAGAAATTTTTTTTAGAGCGGGAGGTGGGGCAGAAAGGACCTATTTGTACAAAAATATTTATAACACCTCTTTTTGTGGTGGCAAAGAATTGGAAATTGAGGGGATGCCCATCAATTGGGAAATGTTGAACAAACTGTGGTATATGAATGTAATGGAATATTACTGTGCTATAAGAAAAGACGAGCAAGTGGATTTCAGAAAAACCTGGAAAAACTTACATGAACTGATGCAAAGTGAAGTGAGCATAACCAGAACACAGTAACAGCAACATGATGATCAGCTATAACTGACTTAGCTCTTCTCAGCAACACGGTGATCTGAGACAATTCCAAAGGACTCATGATGAAAAACGCTACCCACCTCCAGAGAAAGAACTGATGGAGTCTGAATGTAGACTGAAGCATCCTATTTTTCATTTTCTGTATTTTTTCATGTTTTTTTCCCTTTGGGGTCTGTATCTTCTTTCACAATATGACTAATACGGTAATATGTTTTGCATGATTGAACATGTATAACCGATCTCCAATTTCTTACTGTTTTAGGGAGGAGGGAGGTGAGAGGAGGGAGAAAATTTAAAACTCAATTTTTAAAAAAAATAACTGTTAAAAATTGTCTTTACATATAACTGGGGGAAAATAAAATATTATTTTTTAAAAAGAGCCCTGTTCCTCAAATCATATTCTATTAAAAAAGGAAACATGAACAGTGGTCTCAGCGTGTGGTCACTGGCCTTCAAGGTGACTGGCCACCAGTTACAAAGAGTTGGTACTCAAATTCAACTTAACATCCAGTAACCGGGCATCGACTTGAATTGCAGCAGGAGATTCCCAAGCCCTTCAGCCCATTGGGTGAGTAGGCTGTCTCGGGCTTCTCAGATGTCTTCCAAATACTCGCTCCAACAGCCGATCCCTGCTTAAAAAACGAGCTGAGCATTGCAATCATTTGCACGTCACAACAAGCCCCCTCTTGCGAGATGGATGGTCTGGGCCAGTTGACTCCGAAAGCCATCCTGACTCTCCCCCAACCTTGATGTGGCACCTGACAACCTAGGCAGGGAGGCAAAGCAGCTTTCTTGCAGCTCTCCTCCTGTCCTGGCCCTGCCAGTTGTGACAGTTCCCTGCTTGGGTGAAAAGGAAAATTGGAACTTGAATCTTCTCTCTCTTTGGAGATTGTTTTGGTCTTTGGCGTCTCTTCTTTTAGTGAAGTTTTACAGATTCTCTGACCTCTTTGTCTAAGGTTAGCTCATCAGTGAGGCTGTCTTGGCCTGTAGCCATGCGGCTGTCCCTGAGCTGGAAACCGACTTGCTTAGCTATACTGTTAGTTGTGTGTAAAAAGCCTGTAACATCCTGTGTTCACTAATTGGACGGCCAGAATGTGGGTTATGGTGACTTGCTCTCTCTGTAGCAAAGGGAAGGGAGTCTGGGAAGGGAGCTGATAATGAAGTGATGGGCCAAAAAAGCACTTGCCTGCAAAATTTGGGGAAGGGAGAGCAGATCTGAAGTCAAGTAAGGTAAGTCAGGTAAGAAATTCAAACGGAGAACCTGTGGGAAGTGTCTACCAATGAGCCTCCAACATCAGCTTATTTATAGATATTTATGTTTATATGCATATTTGTAGACATGTATAGCTATATATCATATATACATATATACACAAATGTGTATCTACATATCTGTGTATATATATACATACATTTCCATTTAGAGACTACAAGTATTATATATAATATGTATATATTTTATATATATATATGTATTTTGTTGTTCAATCATTTCAGTTGTGTCTGACTCTTTATGACTCCATTTTGGGGTTTTCTTAGCAAAGATCCTGAAGTGGTTTGCCATTTCCTTCTCCAGCTCATTTTACAGATGAGGAAACTGAGGCAAACAGGGTTAAATGACTTGCCTAGGGTCACACAGCTAGTAAGTGTCTGAGGCCGGATTTGAACTCAGGCCTTTCTGACTCCAGGCATAGCACTGTATCCACTATGCCACCCAGCTGTCATATGTGTGTGTGTATATACACATATGTGTGTACATATGTATATATACATTATATATTTCACGCAAACAGTATATATACTTAGATGAAAGCTAGTCTTAGAAGAAAGGTGCTAGCTTTGGGAGAAGACAAGAACCAGGAAAGATCTCTTACAGAAGGCGGGTTTTGAACTGAGTCTTGAGGTGAACAGGGAAAGCATTCGTGGCATGAGGGAAAAGGTTGAGTCAGAGTGTCTGAGAAACAAGAAAGTCAGTGTTGCTGGATTGTGAATACATGGAGGAGAGGAAGCCTCAGAAGACTAGAGAGGTAGGAAGGGGCTGGGCTGTGAAGGACTTAAATGCCAATCTGCATTCTAGGTAGGTGCTTAGCCAGTTAGTTTAAGTGCCATCTTTACCCCTGCTTGCTACACTTACAATGAATCTCTTTTTATCATGCCCATGGTTGACTTCATCTGGAGTTCAAGGTCTTCTCACCAGTAAATTTCCTATCCCGTGCTTGCATCTGGGCTACTCACTCTTTCCATCACCTGGTAGACTGAGAACTTCCCTGTTACCTGGGCCAGCTCCAGTTTCCACCACCACCACCTCCCTGGTGTGAGACAGAGCCCCAGCACAGCCTGCTGCATCCTGGGGCACCCAAGCAGTGGCCTTTTCTCACTGAAGGGTGAGACAAGTCTCTGGGAAAGCCAACACCCCTCCCCAGTCCCTGCTTTACTGAGAGCCTGGGCACCCATGGTCCAGTGGGTCGTTTTCCCACCAGACTGGTTTTTTGGAGAAGAAAGCTGTGATTCTGTTTTTCTGGCTTAGCTCCAGGAGAGGTGATTAAATCCTGCCGCAGTCTTTCACAGAAGGCTGTTCCTCACTTCTTACCTTAAGCTGGGAAGTACTGCTCAGATAGCTGAATCACTGTTAATGCTTCATCCCAAAGGCCTCTGCAATGCAGTGAGAGGTGCAGCAACAACTTGGCCCACCAGGTAAAACTGGCAAAGGGTTTGTGCATGCATTGGGACTACAGATCATCCCCTTCCTGTAAGCTCCCTTCTCCCTCCCATCCTTCCCTTTTCCTTAATTGAACCCACCTTGCCGCCAGCTAGGCCATCTACAAAATGGAGGGGATGCCTATTTCATAACTTTAGATTTAATTAGTTGTCTGTAAAGCTCTCTGCAGATGAGAAGTGCACAATTCTATTTAGCCAACATTTAATCAGCTACATTTGGAATTGGTTCATAATCACAGTATCTCCTATTGAGCTATTGAATAACTAATCAGGGGGAATAAATCAATTGCATCCCTCATCTCCCAGGCATAGATTTTCACAGATTACATGGCCATGATGATGGAATTATAATTTTAAAACTTTCCACGTATTGCCCAAGGCTAAGGGACCTCACCAAGGCCCCGAATCCAATTTCAGGCAGCCAGACATCATGTGTCCCGTGTGTATTCTACCTCCTCTTAGGAATTTATTGGGCATCTCAAAGGCATAGCTGGGCAGCTGTGTCTGATGGAAAAAAGAAGCAGTACCAGTGTGAATGGCAGGGGACCTTAGTACCATGCCTCTGACTCATTCTTCCAATTGGCAGCTACTTTATCGCCTCCACTGTACCCCGGTCTCCCCACTTCCCTGCCTGACCGATGTCTGGCCCCTCCTCGGCCCTCAGGGACATTGTGAAGAGAGATGAGGTCATGTCTGTGAGGCAGCCCTGGGCTCTTCTCAGGTGTAGGGTGCCACACAAAAACAGGCTTTAAGGTCATTTCAAGACATTTACAGTGAGTCAGAAGCAAAGCCAACAACAGCACCTGAACCGGTCGTCTCCTGGCTCAGGGCTTTCAGCCCCATTTGCCGCCTCTGAAGGCAGAGGTTTATATGTGTACACAGGCTCGTGTGTATCAGGTATGTAGCATTTCTCAGGCTCAAATGAAGCATTTCCTTTATTAACTTTTGAATACCATCATGAACACAATATATGAGCATGGTAGGGTAAGTTAAGCCAGGAAATCAACTGAAGGAACTTGCTGGGAGTTCTGAGGATGGCCAGGAGCTAGTTGGAGGAGTGAAGGGGGCTGGGGAGAGCAGGAAAGAGATGAAAGTCCTGAAGTCCTCTATGCTGTGACGTCAGTCTGCTCCTTGGTTGGTGAAATAGAGTTGCTAAGTCAGGGATGCATCTCTGCCCTTGCTTACTATCAAGCAGTCAGTCAACAAGCATTTAGGTTTCTTCATAATCTGGCCCTTCCTAGCTTTCCAGTCTTCTTAGCCACATATAGCCACACTCACTGCTGTTCATCCACAAGATTCCATCACCCATCTCCCTGGAATGGACTCCTTCCTCACTCTGCAGACAAAGAATAATATAAAAGTTAGCTGTTGTCTGAGTTCAAATCCAGCCTCAGACACATGACACTTAGGTGACCCTGGGCAAGTCACCTAAACCCACTGCCTAGCCAAAAAAAAAAAGTTAGCTGTTGTTATTTTTATTTCTCTGAGCTGAAACTTCTTGGAATTCCTGGTTTTCTTCAAGACTCTGGCCAAGTTTTACTTTCTACATCAAGTCTTTTTAATCCCCAGCTGCCGGTGCCCTTCCCCTCAAACTACCTTGATTCAATTTGGTGTATAGTCTGTGTGTATTTATATATTCCTGCTGTTCCTCCCCCTCCCCTTTAGAATGTAAGCACCTTGAGGGCAGGAATTATTTCACTTCTGTATTTATATCACCAACAACTCACACAGTGCCTGGCACATTGTTGTTTAGTTGTGTCTGACTCTTTGTGACCCTGTGGACGATGGCACACCAATGCTGTCCATGGGATTTTTCTTGGCAAAGCTACTAGAGAGGTTTGCTATTTCCTTCCCCAGTGGACTGAGGCAAAGAGAGGTTGTATGACTTGGCCATCAGTTACACAGCTAGTAAGTGTCTGAGATCAGATTTGAACTCAGGTCTTCTTGACTCCAGGCCTGGTGTTCTATCCATTAAGCCACCTGGCTGCCTGGCACATAGGAAGCCCTTCAATCAATCAATCAGCCAATGAGTAGTTATTATTACGTGATTATGATGTACCAAATATTGTATGAAATGCTGGAAATACAAATACAGAAAGTGAGATAGCCTCTGCCCTCAAAGGACTCGCCTTCTACTGGAGCATACGATATTCTATACAGTACAGATGACTAGGACATTCACTAGCTGTGTGACCCTGAACAAGTCACTTCACCCTGTTTGCCTCAGTTTCCTCCTCTGTAAAATGAGCTGGAGAAGGGAATGGCAAACCACTTCAGGATCTCTGCCAAGAAAACCCCAAAATGTAGTCATGAAGAGTCAGACACCTCTGAAAACGACTGAACAAAATGATACAGAGGTAAGGGTACTGGTCTTGGAATTAACAGATGAGGGTTCAAGTCTTGGCTTTGATATTTACCCCCTATAACCCTGAGCTAGTTAATTAATTTCTGTGAGATTCAGTTTCCTCATTTGTAAAATTTGGCCAGTAATACTTATATGTACCACCTATCTCAAGGAAAGTGCTTTGTAAACCTTAAAGTATTATATAAATGTTTATTAGCCAATGTGTGTGTGTGTGGGGGGGGGAACAACCCATCATGTTATACTAGCATAATGACAATACTGCTGGTCTAGACATTCCTTAAACTGAGTTAAACAGATATAGCTTTTTTGTCCACTATGAGATTACGATCAGGGTAGACCACAAACAAAAAAGCAATGAAGAGATATACATATAAAGTTCACATCACCCTTCTATTTGGTTGCCTTTACCCTAGACATGCCTAGGCATTTTTTTTCCATCCCTTACCACCTCTCCTACCATTATTATCCCCATTTTACAGGGTCACCCGGCTAGAAAGGATCTGCAATCCCATCTGAACTTGGGTCGTCCTGATTCCGGGTTCAGTGCTCTGTGCACTGCGGCACCACCTAGCTGCACAAAGACTTATGGATGAGTCATAAGACTACTATCCGCAACTCCAGTTATTTCAGTAAGTAGTAATTGATGGAACTATGCCCAAAGGGCAATCAAACTATGCATCCAGCAATAAACTACTAGAGATTTTTTAAAAGGAGGGGAAAAGAGCTATTTGTACAAAAATATTTATAGCAGCTCTTTTCGTGGTGACAAAGAATTGGAAATTGAGGGGATGCCCATCAATTGGGGAATGGCTGAACAAGTTGTGGCATATGAATGTAATTGAATACTACTGTGCTATAAGAAATGATGAGCAGGCTGATTTCAGAAAAACCTGGGAAGATTTACATGGACTGATGCAAAGTGAAGTGAGCAGAACCAGGAGAATGTTATATACAGTAACAGCAACATTGTATGATGATTAGCTATGAATGACTTCACTATTCTCAGCAATATGAAGATCCAAGACAATTCCAAAAGACTCATGATGAAAAATGCTCTTCACATCCAGAGAAAGAACTAATGGAGTCTGAATACAGATTGAAGCATGCTGTTTTCGCTTTCTTTATCTTTTTCATGGTTCTTTTCTTTTGGTCTGTTTCTTCTTTCACAACATGACTAAAATGGAAATATATTTTACATGATTGCACATATATAACCTATATCAAATTGCTTACAGTTTTAAAGAGGGGAGAGATGAAAGGAGGGAGAAAATTTGGAACTCAAAATTTTTTAAATGAATGTTAAAAGTTTTCTTTACATGTAATTGTAAAAAACAAAATACTATTTTTTAACAAGTATTAATGGAATATTTATTATATTCCAGTACTAGGGTAGGTACTAGGTAGAATAATAAGGAAGTATGAAACATAGTCTCTGTCTTTTAAGAAGTTTATAATCTAGGGGCAGGTAGGTGATACAGTGGATAGAGCACCAGCCCTGGAGTTAGGAAGACCTGAGTTCAAACCCAGCCTCAGATACTTAGTAGCTGCGTGACCTTGGGCAAATTACTTAACTCCTGCTGCCTCCAAAAACAAAACAAAACAGAAACCACCCCCCAAAACCAGTGAAGCTCATAATCTAGCTGGGAAGGCAGTGCAAATACTCAGGAGACAATTAAATAGGGCAGTATATGATTAAATGCAAAAATTCAGTGCGGCAAATAGCAATACAATTTAGAATAGCAAGATAGGAAACAAACAGTTAAAGTGGGACCAAAGCAAACTACTGTATAGGAACATGATACTTCATATCTATTAAAAATAGCAAGTCCATGGACCAATGAATACATGACTATCTGATTCCATATTCCATAACATCTGAGCCTGGGGGGCACATTGTTCATTGGGAGGTGTTCCCAGTACTTCGTTTTCCCAGGGGACTGTGTAACTGGATGCAGGGTGACTGTGTTAGGAGCCTAGCACTCTCACTGTGGAGAGAGAAACTGCCGAGAAGCAGAGTCTCATGAAAGCAGCTTTCATGGCAACGCAGTACAGGACGCTGGGAGCTGATTGCTTGCTATTAAAAATAAACTAAGGAGCTGAGAGACAGACAATATCCTGATATAACTGAGATAACTAATAGCCAGAGGGTCAAGAACCACAGGAAACATATTACTTGGCTGCATGATACACTCAAGAAAGTGAGCCTTTCTGGAAAATGGGTCCCCAGAGTTTCTCCTGTTATTCCTCGGTGAAGAGATTTGAATCTGCTGACTGCAAGTGGAGAGTGTTGACTCTATTTATTTGCTAATTGTTTTAATCCCAATCAGGTGTTTCACTTTTAAATGTATCTTCTTCCTACAGTCTGCTAGCTTGATGCAAATGGAGTTCTGATTACTTTGAGATTCCCTACTGAATTCCACAGATATTTTTCAAGAACATACAATATGTAAGGCTCCATGCTAGGTGCTAGTGATACATAGAAGCCCTTCCTCCCCCCTCCCCCATCCTCAAGAAACTTATTTTCTACTGAGGGAATACAATAAGGAATAATATGATAAGGAAATACGAGAGGCAAGAAAACATCAACATCTGTGGGAAAGACAAGGCCAGGAAAAGCTTATAGGAGAAGACACCTGCATTGAGCTTTGAGACCTGAGAGCGAAACGCAATCCAGGCATGCTAAGGGAACAACGCCCAGGCCAATTTGTCAGGAATGAAGTATTTGTGAAGGTGAGTAATAAGAAACTATTCTAGAAACATAGGTGGGATTGAGGCTGGGGACTTTGGATTTTATGCTAGAGGCAATTGATGAGATTTATACTGGAGAGGGCCATGGTCAGACTGAAGAATTTTCATTTGGTAGCTGAGTAGAGAGTGGATTTGAGAGAGGGAGGGAGTGAAAGGAGAATAATAACAGACATTTATGGAAAGTATTACTGCTCTCTTAGGTGGACATTTTAATTGCTGAAAGGCTCAGGAAAAGGACATTTTTTTGTGAACTGGAGAAAAACAGTTTGAAGAAATACAAATTATGCTGAAGGAATCTGAGAGAAAATAATCCCTCAGATAAAAATACTGAGAGGACCAGAGGGAAAGCAGTACAAAGACAAAAGTACTGACTGATTATACTAGCTGTTTCCCAATAGCTAATCTGCATGTGAGTGTTTTCAGGATTTTAGAATTCGTTACTGGAAAATTGAATGAAAAAGTTGTTTTGAGATTGTGGTATAATAATTGTTTGCATCACATTTGACAGAAATGTGGATTTGGGGTTTTCTCAACATAAGCGAGAGATGGGTCACTGCACATGTGGAGATCCTTGCCTACGTGAGTTGCACTATACGGCCACAGGGGTCTCTTCCTATTATCTAGTTCTGTGATTTTGCCTATTATCAACAAACTCTGTAGTTAGCTCCCCCTAATATGTGTCTTTGTCTCTGTTCTTGGAAATCTGTGGAAACCTACCTGGACCTGGCTTGCACAATGCCCCAAATCAGAAACCGCTATCTTACTGTATAGACCTCCATCTCCTTATTTTTGTTGAGAGAGCCAACAGCCTTCCCATTACCACAGATTTGCACATTTGGAATCCTCATTGGATCTTCTCTCTCCCTCAAAAGTGTTGTTGATATGCTTCCTGATCTCACAATCACATCCCCTTCTCTCCGAGAGCTTTCTTCTCTTATCTGGGCTATTATACTGTCCCCCTAATCGAGGCAGCTAGAGTGCTGGACCCCAAATCTGAAAGACCTGAGTTACGGCCTTAATTTCCTAATCTACAAAATGGGGGTGATAGTATGTGTGGTACTTAACCTCAGAGGACTGTTTCAAGGCTCAAACAAGATACCTGTAAAGTACTTTTTAAATTTTAAAAGACAATATAAACACAGCAGACACATTTAATAAGGCTGGGGGGAATATCTATGTCTTCCCTTCTTCCTGTTGTAAACACCTGAATTGAACCAACCACC